CCTACCGAAAGATTCGCATGGCAATACAGGTATTGTGGTCTTCGTTGACCGTTTGAGCAAGATGGCTCACTTAGCGGCTGTGCCAGATTCGATCGATGGTGTGGGTACAGCGGAGCTGTTTATCGATCGGGTGTTTCGCCAACATGGCTTGCTAGTGGCAATTGTTTCTGATCGTGATCCTCGTTTTACGAGTAAATTTTGGAAGTCCGTCTTCCAGGTGCTGGGCACCCGTTTGGACATGTCCACGGCGGATCATCCGCAGACCGATGGTCAAACCGAACGCGTAAATCGCGTTGTTGAAGATATCCTACGCAGCGTTTGTGCTGAAACGCCTAAGCGTTGGAGCTCTATGCTCCCTGTAGTTGAGTTTGCACTCAATAATTCCGTGCACGCCTCCACCGGCTACACTCCGTTCTATGTCAATGGTCTCACACACCCACGCGTTCCGTTAACGCTACCACCGAGTGGTTCAGGGCTTGGTGAGGGAGAGGTTGCCGATAGGCTTGCTGATGTCAGCCCTAATACTGTTAGGAAACAGGTAAATGCGTTTCTCGCAACGCGACTAAATGTCTTACGACATGTGCAAGATGCAATGGCTGATAGTCAAGATAAACAAAAGGAATATGCAGATGCGAAAGGCAGAGGTTGTATAAATGATTATGAGGTCGGATACCAAGTATTACTTAATGCTAAAAACCTACCTACCAATGTAGTATCCGCTGTCTTTAAGACGAAGTTGCGTCCGCGCTTTATCGGACCCTTTAAGGTCATTGCCAAGAAAGGCACAGCGTATACGCTTAACTTGCCGCGCAAATTGCGTACACATCCTGTGTTCTATGTCGCCATGCTAAAACCTTATCGGGATCCATCCCAAATAGACGCTAAGGCGCTCGCGCCGGGCCCATTGGCATTGTCGCGGGACGGAGCATCTGCACCAACAAGTCAAGTTGACCCTGCATTCGGGTCCGACTCTCTTCCAGGGACTCCAGCCGGAAGTTCATCGTCTGCCTCTCCTCACGAAGGGTCCGCACCTCCTGAACAAGCTCGGCATGAGCTTGTTCCGATACACCGACCTCCTCCTCCTTTACTCGATGCGCAGGGGAACCTGCAGTTCCATGTGGAACGTCTACTGCAGAAGCGTCGCCGCCATGGTCAAAACCAGTATCTGGTGAAATGGCGGGGTTATCCCGAATCATGGAATTCATGGGAATTTGAGACTCCCCTTCGGCAGGACTGCCCATACGCCGTGGACGTTTTTGAGCGTCGTGCGCAGGGTCTGCCTGTTGGCGCTGACGCTTCTCACCAGTAATGGTGAGGGTAGGCGGGTTAGCGGCCTCGGGCTGTCGTGAACTCGCGGCTACAAGAGTAGCCGAAACATTGGGCTGCTGGGCAGCAGGCGCATAATGCGTTCGTTGGGATTTCAATTTTCCCCGGGCCTTTAATTTAGCGTAATCATAACGCATCTTCCGCTCAAGTCGGATATCTGCCACATCGGCGCTTGCCCGTAGGGCCCACATGCTGCTTAAACGTCGCGCATAATGCGCCCAGCGGCTGAAAGCCGTGTCTTCTTCGTCCTCGGTTTCCCCCGCAAACAGAAGGATGGGAACACCCTTCATCGGAGGAACTGGCGCACCGCGCACTTGTCTATTAAGGCGTGCCAAGTATTGGCTTTGTGTAGTGATATGGGGCTCCAGATATCGTTGTCGAAGTGCCGTGCGCATGGCAACATCCTCAGGTGAAATGGCCTCAGGCCCAATGGTCCAACCAGAAAGGGAATGCCCAGATGCTTCCTTTAGGCGTTCTTCCACCGTAGGTGGCTTGAACCTGTACTGTCGGTGATCCTTCAGCCGCGTCATGTTCTTCGTTCGGCGCTTGGCGCCTTCCTCTTGGTCGATGGACCGCTGTTGCTGCTCGTCGAGTGGATTGGTAACCGTTACCGTTGATGATACGTCAGGCGGTTCACGTAACGCTGTTAGCGCATCTGCTGCACCACGTTCAGGGAACGGATTCGGTGCATGACGAGTGTCATCTTCACCCGTGATGGTGGATAAAGGGGACCCATCGGGTCCCCCAAAGACGGTGTCACTTTCGTAATCAACCGCTTCTTCAAGGTCGTCCTCAATGAGGTCCCTAAGAGTCTGTGACTCACTGCCGGGAGGCGTCATGTTGTGTGCCGTGAACAAACCGTGAGGTTTTAAGCGTTCGCTAAAGCACTACCTCTAAGAGGAAAGATGTCGAGTGACATTCTATGGGAACGTCAGTCTGGTGGGGGAGGGTGTAACGGGGTTACACGACGGTTGTAGCGTCTTTCCGAGAGTTTACACTTAAACTCTCCTTTCTATTGCATATAATGCATTATTATACTTCTCTTTAGAGAGGTATTAAGTAAGAGCGTTATAATACGGTATTCGGTAATACCGTATCTTATCGATTGGGATTCGATAAATCACTAACGCTGTATTAAGTACATCATACACAGATGTTTAGACGATACGTCGTCCAATAGCAAAGTCTGCATATAATAATTACTATTATAGTAATTAATCTAGTGTAGTGTACTTAGAGTAGGACTATTCACAAAATCTTAAAACATAAATAAAATCAGTTCTCCTTTTGAGTTTAAGATCGCAAGTCGTTCTGACTTGTTCTCTTGTGCACTTCGTGCGTTGGTTCTCTGAACCCCTAAGCTTCTAGCTTGTTCTTGCACTCTGTGCGTTGGTTCTCTGAACCTTAAGCATATTGCTTGATTGATTAAAGTCTCTCTCCTAGTTCCTTAGAACAGGGTTACTTTCAGTCGTTTAATTAGTTCCTTAGAACTAAGTGGCTTTTAGCCTTAACTCTATTTAGTTCTCTCGAACTAAGAGGCTTCCAGCCGAAAGTCTTCCTCTGGCTAAAGAGCTGTGCAGCTCCGCTACATAAGTACTTTAAGACCTGTCGCTCGGGTAAGACACACCATGTGTCACACCCTTGCGTATGTGATATATACTAGGTGTATTCACATTGATGGGGATGACGCCCATCTGGGACTAGGCGACATCAAATGACGTCAGTCAGTTACGTCATTGAGCGAGTTTAAATATATTTAAGCTTGCACGTTGGAATGCGCATCTATAGAGATGGCACCCATCATTACATCTTGACCAATCAGTAGTTAGATTTATATTTAGTTAAATTCCATTAAATATAACTGAGTGTTGAATTTGCTTAAACATATGCACCACGCACGAGAAGCTGAAAAAGCTTCTGCGTGACGTCGGTGCCTTCTTGTTAAGAAGTTCGTTGCACTCTCGCTAAAGCGAGAGGCAACTGGTGGTACGACTGCTTAAGCAGTCGACCAACCTCCCAACCACCCTCGCACGCGAAGGTAAGACGGTCTAACCGCTTCCTCGCTTGTGCATAAGGTGTGTGCTCGTAGTACGAGGCAACTTCGTAGAAGTGCCCGCCTACACTGGAGGACCTGGGAGAACATCCTTCTAATTGCACCAGAAGATGATTGTACCGAATATGATTGCACCAGACTAGTATACTTCCGATTGCATCAGAGGCACTTCGAAAGAAGCTGCCACGTACTACGCAACCATACACCTTCGAGCAGCGTGAGGAAGCGGTTAGACCGTTTGATCTCCGCGTGCGGTGGTAAGGTTGTTGGTCGGCGCTTAAGAGCAGTACCAACCGTTGCCGGTCGCTTTGAAGCGAACCGCGCAACGAACAACTAATAAGTAGCTCAGTTACAACACGCAGAAGCTTATTCGGCTTCTCGTGCGCAGTGGCAATGTTTAGCAAATACAAGACTGACTTATTTTGAATAGGTTTTAGCTAATTATAAGTCTTACTACTGATTGGCTAAATGTAAAGATCGGATACGCGTCTCTTTAGAAACGTATCCTTACGTGCGAGCTTAAATATATTTAAACTCGCTGATGACGTCCGTCTGACGCATCACCATGACGCCTAGTCCCAACTGGGCGTCATCCCGTTGAATGTGAACCCATCCATGGATATCACATTCACGAGGGTGGGTCACATTGATGTGCCACACCCAAGTGGCAGGCCTAAAAATGGTACCTCGTACCCATTTAGGCCTGCCCGTTAAGTATGCGATACCTAACGGATTTGAGTAACTATCGGCCCGTTACACCTTTACTGGTTGCCCGTTGATCACATGAAGTTTGCATTTTTTCTTGCAGGTCACGCCCGTCAACAGTTTGTACGAACAATTTGTATTGCTTTTGCCCGTCCATCGTGGAAGCGGTGAAAGTTGACGCATCTACTAATACCACCACCAATAATTTCTGTCGAGCTACTTTCAAGTCATTTAACCGACGATCATGTGTTACAGCTTGTATAGTGACGGCGTCGCGTAGAATCACTCTCTCACGATCAGACGTTAAAAAGCCCAGCTTCTTAGCATCCCGACCAAATGACGGTAGGTCCTTAATCAGGACTTCTGCTCTTAATTTTGTGACGAAGTTTATATTGAAGTTGAACAAAAGGAACAACAATAGCACCCAGTCTAGATGCAAAAGAGAGAGTAATATTTGTTTCGTTATTCCCTAGCTAGCTTGAAGTCTATATAATAGGATAAATCATATTACGAAACCCCACACAGGTGTTCGGCGTAAACATGATTGATTATCCACAATCAGTCTGTACCAGATTACTGGATCATCATCTTGAAGCTTGCTTTCCAACAGTTTAATATCGCTTCCGAAACCCAATGCTTCCGGCAGTTATCGTATAGAAGCCAAGTTGTTGGGATGATGACAAGCACGCACAATACGCATGCACAGCCTTGGCGCAATAAGCCATTACATCTTATGCTTTGGTCGTGAAAAATCACGAATAGTTAATGCTTTTACCTGACAATGTTGGCATACGTCGAGCTAATACTTTTCTAGTTTACCATTAATGGGATAATAAACTACGAGGAGAGCTGCGTGGCAACCACACAGGAATGGTGTCCAGGCAGTACATGCTCCGTCTAGATTGCTAAGGTGAGCTTACGCACCATACAAGATGCCCATATTCTTAAAATCGCGCTTTTTTAGCGACTTCTTCACCAAGGGAAGTGCTTCTAAGATAGAACCAAAGTCTGGTCGTCGCGCTGGGTCGTGATGCCAGCTGTGCTCAATAAGCTCTCCAATTTTAAGCGGCGTCTGGCGGGGCAATGCTGGACGCATTTGTTGTCGAGCAACAGCGAAGGCAGCTGCAGCAAAAATATAATTGGCATAAGTTTAGTAAATGGTGGATACACAAACACAAGCATATGTCCGTTTGACCTTGAATGGGTGTCAGACCACGAAAAGGTTGGTCTCTGGCTAGCAGCTCCCACAACACAATACCAAAGCTGTAGACATCGGCCTTGCTTGAATACGGCTCGTGGCGTATAACTTCCGGTGCCATCCACCGGTACGTCCCTGTTTCAGCAGTCAAATCGGAAGAGCTACCAATCTCAAGCACGCAACTCAGCCCGAAGTCGGATATCTTGGCGGTGCCATGCGAGTCGATGAGCACATTGCCAGATTTTAAATCACGATGCATAATAGAGCACAGGTGAAGATAATTCATTCCCTACAACCACATACCCATACAGAAATAATTAGCTATTCTCCTAGCGCCTAGACGCTGCAAATCAACGCACCATTGCCATCTCCGATGCCAGACGAAAAAATTCTATCGGTCCGCGTTGAGAACGGATCAAGTCGGTCAATGTGCCATTTTCCATAAATTCAAAAACTGAAGGAACACAGCAAAAAACATATCAAATACGACCAGCCAGTTCGCAATGCAAGGCAGTTGTACTAACATACCTAAGCAGTAACGAGGCGGGTTGATGGCCGCTCCGAGGAACAAAACAATGTTCGGGTGACGCAGCTTAGTGACGACTGCCACCTCGCGGTGGAACTCATTTAGCAACTCCTCGCCAACCGCCTGAGTGTTAGCAGACGAATCCACGACCTTAGCAGCTACGTGAGTGCCTCGCCACCAGGCGCTATACGTGCTGCCCGAGCGACCACTTCCAACAGCCTTCTCCAGCCGTAGCTCGTTGAGGTCCAGCTTCCATTCAGCTCTAATCTCGTTCTTGTCGACCATCCGCAGTACACCCAGCTTCTCGGCCAAGCTCACATTCTCGTTGTCACCTGGATCTTGTACACTAGTGATACTTGGCCGCATATCTTCGCCATCCATGCTGAGTCTTTGGAGATTGTGTTCAATGTGCGTGCGCAGCTCTGCTTGACGCTCGTCGCTCATAAATGAACCTTTAACTACAAAGCGATCCAGCAGCGCGCCGTCCGCTGTGGTCATCACGTCGGCGTCCAAAATGTTCCCTTTCATCGTAGTAAGTGCCCTAGTAATGGCATCCAAAATGTTCTCGCGGTCTAGTGACACCACGACGACCTCGCACACATTAGGCACGATCCTGCAAAAATATTACATAGTCAGTCACAAAAGACCTCACAAGTGCAAATCTGCAAGCACTTGTAACGTACTCTCCATTGTCATCCTTCTTGAGCTGAGCATTGACAGCAATGGCTGTTGGGTCCCGTTGGTTTTGAGCTAGCAGCCGCATATGAAGAGGCACGTCGTCCGGGTTAACGGATAGCGCGTACCTAGCTGGTAAACGGCGAAAGTGGACCTGCACCGATGCAAACACAGGCTCGTATAGATGGTTTAGCACCTTGCGCTGGCCATACGATCCCGAAGCTGACACGTACACGTCGCCCACCATGTGTTTCACAACGGCACGACACATGTCGTTGACCACCGAATCCTTGAGTCCCCTTTGCACGCCCAGTGCTGACGGCTTTGGTGCCACAGGAAAGTATCCCTTTTTCTCTAGGTCAGCCAAGGCTTGGTAGCTTTGCGCTTTCTTGATACCTGATGCAGGCTCACTGGGTCCAACAGAGCCGTAAGACCCGAACTGAGACTTGATTGGCGTTCCCATTTGGACTTCATCCATGGCTGAAAGTTTCTGCGACAAAAGACGCGCACCGGCATCCACATCCTGCGGTGCCAGCTGCGTGGCCGGCGGCATATTCGCTCGCAATGAGAGGTTCTCAAGGCGCTCAGCGATACGGGGAAGCGAGTTCGGTGAGCGTCCGTAGACACCAAAGGGAGATCGACTGAGTATTTCTTCGCTATTCATGCTAATATAATTGTGGATGTGACTGGAATCGCCCGTTTCCAAGTGCGCGAGGTCGGCCCCAACGTGCGATCCCGTGCGCCACTCGCGGTACAGCAGACGCGCGTCCGACGGCGTGTAAACAGGAGACGCCGAAACTTCGGCAGCGAGATCGTCGGTGCTGTTTTGGCGACGAGATGTAAGCGGAACGGGGCACGAGGTCGGAAGGATAGTGTCTCTGCTAGTTTGCATTTGGCAATAATGGGTTTTCTCTTGTTCTTTTGCTCTCTCTCTTGTGGTGTTAAGCTGCGACTCGGATGGTTGTTATCGTGGGCTCTGTAATGCGTCAATCGATGATTAGGGCTGCACAAAGAGAGGTATCGCACCAATCGTTGATTTTAGCGCATCCTTTTCACTAAATGCCTGGCACTTGAACTTGGGACCCAACTGCAACCCGCATCCGTAGCGATATCGTAAGATTCTTGACTAACGAACTGCGACAGTCGTTAGAACAACTTTGGATAGCTCGCGCAACTTAACCAAAAAGCAACTACAGTATGTCGTAATTCGTTCGAAGGAAAAAGGAGCAATGAGTAGTCTTGATGTATGGCGACATACGCGTGTTCATCAATCAAGAGGGATTTAGCAATATGAAGGCAAATTGCTGCGCAAGATCTATTCACATATACAAATCTTGTGTGGTGTTCATCATTCGATGGGCGTTGTTGAAATCTCCGCAACCAATATGTTGATTTCCCTTACCGCTTGCTCAGAATGACGAGCGCCGACAGGAACTTCGCCTGGTCTGCCGTGCGGTGCACGTATACGATCTTATTTCCGCTGAAAGAAAAGTTGCTGACGCCCTCAATGGTGACACGGCGACCCTTGACGCTCTCAATAAGCTCCAGGAACTCCTTGTTCATACTGACACCGGCACTCTTAATGGTGCCCGAAAGTGCCCAGTGCACACGAAAATGCTGACTACGGGGACCACCACAGTCTACCTTGGCGTGATGGAGGCGAACGTCACCAAACAGGTACGTCGTGCAGAGGTAGTCTAGCACTAAAGCGTCCTTACCACGCAAATGAACCGACGAGTTCTGGGGGCCACTGACAATTGAGTCGTCGCGGAAGTATTTGACCGTAGAGAGAATATCGCCCGAATTGTAGGCCTCCTCAACATGCTTAATGATCTGTAGCCGCTTATTCTGTAGCTGCTGATACTCACTCTCCGTAATCGTCAGCACCACGTTAGAAGCGACGCCAGATTCTTTCTTTTCCAAACTTCGAATCTCCTGCACGAGCATGTCGCGGTGTCGCTCAAGACGCATTTTCTCATCCTCAAGGTTCGAAATGCGGTCCAATTTGCGTTGACGACTTTTGCGCGCAGCAATGCGGTTTCGTTCGCGACGTAAATTCGTCTCATCCACAGACCCGTCCGACTCCGAACGGTTCGAGCCGTTTGTGCTGCCCGATGTCTGAGCCGACACGTACGGATCATTCTCGTACGCAGACATGCCAGTGTTATTCGAGTATTTCATCTGATTGACCATCTCGTTCAGACTCTCGCGAGTCAAACCGCCTTTTGAAGACGAATTGTCCATTACATAACGATTCACGGGCTCAGCTGGCGACGGCTTGTGTTTCTTAGTATTAAGCCCAGTACGCGGCTGCATGGCGGCATGTGCACTAGAGCGGTAGTAGCGTTCTTCGGCTATGGTATTTTCCATGCTAACCGAGGAAGGAGGTGGACCACGCGATCCCATGACGCGATTGTCTATGATGGCGTCGCTACTGCTACTCACACGGCCGTTTCGAGACAAATGCATGGAGCACACACTCTCGGCCACGGCCTGATTCGAGCATAAAGCGATGGCGCATCGATGTAGCGAATTTGAAAGGCGATGATTCGAAGCGCCAGTGCTGGTGCTGCTCAGTCCTCGTCCGCGATTCATGGTCTTCTTCCTAAATGAGGCTGGGCGGGCACTTTCTGTTTCTTTCTGCAAGTGGACGGTGCTTAACTGCGATAACGAACACATAAAACCTCAGACGTCACTAATAGGAACCATTAAAACCTCAACAGAAATTAAATTTTCCATACTGTAAGCAAAAGGAAAAAGGCAGTTCGGAGCGAGAGGGGGGGGGGGGATTCACCTGCGACCTGTAGGTTTACAATTTGCGTTGGACTTGAGACCTCTGACATAGTTACAATATATATTTCTAACGTGGCCATGTATCGGCAGTAACATGAGCGCGCTCTCACGTAACACCAATACAGACGGTCCCATTGTATACAAGAGTTGACGAACCCTGTTCGTTACCGCTTAACTCCAGTGAGGTGCAAATCCGGTCTCAACAAGCTTCAATAAAGTGAGGCATTTCATTCATATGATTGAACTTAGTCATGTAGTTAATGACCTGTCTATACACTTTGCTCGATACGCGTTAGCAAAAATCAGAAACCTTTTTTACCTGTACTACTTTAAATAAATTGAAAGATTGCATGCAGCAACGCTTGGCACTTTTTGAGCGGCGTCCACACTTAATGCCAAGAAAGCGATTTGTTTTACACAACATTGCTGGACCTTTCTTGTCGACTTTGGCCTGGTAACTCGCTCAAACCTTTGCAGTCCCACGTGATGGTCCCGCTGAAGAGACATATGGTCCGATCGGGCTGATGCCCGACTCAAGCGCTATCACGTAAGCAACACATGCGTTACGTCCTACTTAACATAAGGAAAGAATTAGTCAGCACCACCGTAAATCTATTTTGTGGTGAATTGGCATTGAGCGTCTTCAACAGGAAGGCTACGGTGGTAAACATCTACAATGAGCAGCACCATCTTGTAGCGTGGCAAACAGCATGGTCACCAAGATCAGCTGATGATGGATACCCATGGTCAACTTTGCGTCGGCCTATTGCTCAATTATTTTTTTATATTCTTTGAGAAATAAAATTAAATATGTAAGATGCAATTGTTGATCGAAGATATCACACCTCTTATGGACGCTTGGATGCGCCTCACAACCTACTAATCAGAATGGCGTTTGCAGCCTTCTAGAGTCCAAGTGATTGATTGATTCTAAGTATGCAACGAGGATAGCATTGGCATTCTAAATTTAGGTTGCAAATTCATGAATGGCGTTTGACTTTGTATTCGAAATCTATGCAGCCAGGCGTTGTACCATAAAAGGATAAAGACCGTCCCTACAGGCCGTGTTCGCGCTCCTGTCACATGGAATTCATACAAATGTCTATCTTGACACTTGTGAAGCGGTAGTGTTGATCTGCCCAACGCAACGGTGGATATTTTTTGCGCTGCCGAACTATTGACGATTATTTTCTTGACTACAACGCGTTGGTCTGACCTTGCCGCGATTTTTTTTATTGCTGGGCGAACAAGAAAGGCCACACTGTTCGACGCTGGCTTGATTAGACGACACACCAGTGACGTTCGGAGGGGTCTTTGGTAATGCATGCATGCCCAGCTACTGTTTTCACCTGGCTTAATTGAATGCTATACATGCAGCATACTGGCCTTGCAGTGGGAAATCGCCACTGGCAATTTGTAGGCTTACTGATCGGTGTGGATTTTCCGATTGTTTAAGTAGTGTCACCCTTGGTGCTTCGATAAACTGTTCTGACGTGGTGGGCAACAACTTGATGCTTATCATTATATGACTGGCAACCCTTTCTGAGCGAGTAGCTTGTTGAGCAAATAGCGCTTGGACTTTATAAATAAGCAAATCCGCTGCGTTTATGACTGCAGCTTGGTAATGCACCGCCTGATGTACGGCATACTCGTGTACTTCGACTGCATGTGTTTTCGGAATGATCGCTGCTGGTGTGTACGTCTGTTCGCTGCAATATTGTACTTACGTCATCACCGTACTGTATCACATGTTCTGTCGGTATTGTGATATAACTGAAGTTTATTTGCCCCGACCCCGATCATGAAAGAAAGTAGCAGGCATCTTCGTAATGAATGTGTCTGCATCTTGAATGCCATTTCTGAACTTTGTACTTCAAACGTCGACTAGAGACGTATTATCATGCATGGGGGATGTCATGCCGTATAAGACCTGTAATGTAAAAGCTTGGATGACTATATATTGGAGGCGAATAGAATACTGTAGCGGACAAAAATCTGCAAATTGCAGGAGCTGTCAGCATATACGATCGACAAAGGTTTTGGCTACATGTAGCGCTGTCGTTGATTGTAACGGGGCTACATATCACACGCCAATTCTGCATATGGGTACACTTCCAGTAGGCCGGGTGGTGTGGTCGACATCAGCCCTAGATATGTCATTAATGTTAGTTTGGCGTAATCGTACACGATTGATTTGGAATATTCCCGTTAAATCTAAGGAATATTCTCAGATTGATCATCTTCATTTCGATCGAAATGCAAAGTCTGCGACTCGCGGCAGCACGCTTCGGCCGTCAGTCGGTGGTTAATTTAAGCTCCACTTCGGTGGACAACATAGGTGCCCACGTCTACGTACAAACCATATTAGAAGAGCACAAGGCCTTCGTCTGTGGCCTCGACGACGCTGTCTACACTTTCTACAGTCCGCTTTTCGAGGGTTCTGTGGGTCAACACACACGGCACTCTCTGGATCACATACGCAAGCCACTTGAACTTATAGCTGCACACAAGAAAGAAAGCGGCGAAAGTATATTGCACTACGATATTCGCGATCGCTGCACGCCTGTAGAGAAGGACCGCCATGCGGCAATTGAGCAAATCGAGCAGCTGAAGAGGACGCTTTGCGCTGTGTCGCAAAGCAATCTGGCGCAACCAGTCCATGCTGCCTTTATGCTGTCGGCCGATGGTCATGAGGTCGACTTCAAGTCCACCTTCAACCGCGAGCTCGCTTTCGCCGTTCACCACTGTATCCATCACAACGCGTTGTCGAAGGTATTGCTGCGCCATCACTTTCCAGAGCAAAGTGTGCCCAAAGACTTCGGTAGGGCACCCTCTACAGCCAATTTCTATTTAATGCACGACGAGTAATTCTGGTGGCGACCGCCCAGCCGGAACTTGTAGCATGAAGAACGACGCGATGTAAGGAGAATCAAGCAACGGCTTCATTTACTTGTGGAAACACAGACCGGTTGTTTCTAGCTGCGGTGATGCAGTGTATAAAAGCTGATGGTGGGCTCAGTCAACGAAGCGAAGGTTTGCACACCCAACTCTTTCAGCGGCACAGAATGAAAGCAATAGAAGAGACGTTTGCTTGACCAGGCTACTGACCAATGCAGAAGAACCTGTTAAATGACATTATTAAAGTACTACTAATGCTATCTAGCATCTTAAGACCAATTCGGTATCGTTCCATGTACAGTGTCGTCTATGAAAAGTTACATGTAACATATGGTAGGATAGTGTTGAGTCAGAGGATCAATAACTGGTGGCACAATCAAATGAGACCATCGACGTTTCCTAATGAATGATGCGACCCTTCGCTCAATCTGATGCAATTCATCCCGTGTCTTTTTCAGTGCGTCGATTGGCTAAAATTCCCTGGTAGGCATTTTCCAGAAGATTTCGAAGCCAACAAGGCGTTAGATTCAAATTTACTTCCAAGCCACCAAGCAAGACAACAACAGATCAAAATGACGAGCGCCAAGGAAACCGTGGAAGCTAAAGTCGCCGCGACCCCCATGGTGGTGTACAGTAAGAGTACCTGCCCTTACTGTACGAAGGCGAAGTCGCTGCTGACGCAACTGGGCGCCAAGTACGACGTCGTCGAGCTAGACCAGATCTCCGACGGCCGTGAGCAGCAGGACGCTTTGGAGGAGATTACGGGCCAGAGCACCGTGCCCAACATTTTCGTGGGTGGCAAGTCTATCGGAGGCAACTCGGACCTGCACAAGCTGCACAAGGATGGCAACCTCGAGCTGGTGCTCAAGCAGGAAGGTGCTTTGTGAATACATCTAGGAGATAGCTTTAAAAAGTCATTTTAAGGCTGATGCTCACAATTTAATACAAGGCAAAGCTGTGTCGAAACATATACGAAGGAACATGCAGAAATGTACGATGCAATTGCCACTGCATTCTGCAAATCACCCCAGCAAGTGGATGTTGTAGGCCACTTGTAGTTGCATGCAGAGTTGCAAATTCATGTTGCAGGTACTTAATGTCGACGAAAGCATGCTTGCTACAGGTCATGAGTACAATCATTCCTTTCTTCGTACTTTACCTGTCTTAATCGATAAAGAGCTGATCATTTTTCATGACAATCCCAAAAACTAAAATGTTTCGAAGCGCCAAGCTCAAGAAGAACAAACGTCGACGCGTCACGAAAGATGAAGACGAATCGAGCACTAATCGACCCTCTACCGATGAGGATCTAAGTCTTGTATCTACTGTCTCTAATCGACGCTCGATCAATACCTTCTCGGTAAGAAACTAATTTGATGTCACTCTGAAATCGTTTTGCTTCTTGTGCTTTAATGTTATTATGCTTTACCGTAGACTGGAGGCATGAAAAAGGCCAAGAACGTAGTCCAGAAGCAGTTAATCGAGTCAGAGCGTGAAATTGTGCCACAACAATATGCAGGTGATGCTACCTATGAGACCCAAATCGATACGGAAAAAGACCGGTAAATGTCAGTCATGGCTTCAGGGTTTAACATTGTTATACTCATAACTTGCAATTCTCTGTACTGTAGTGATGCACGAGCTGTGATGGAGCGAAGTATTAAGGCAAATCAAGATGGTAGTGCTGATGTGGATAGTGGAAAAGTGTATCGAGGCCAAGCTGCTTACAAGAGCTACATTACTAAGAAGGAGTCGCAAATCGGCATGAACAAATACACGGGGTGCGTCTTGATTAGAGATATTAAATCATAGGCTAAGAGATCAGTTCTGATCTAAGCTGCCATCCTTTATAGGACACAGGGCCCAATCCGAGCTCAGACCTGGGCACGGGCGATCTCGCGTTTCGACTATCAGCCTGATATTTGTAAAGATTACAAGGAAACGGGATTTTGCGGCTACGGAGACAGCTGCAAGTTTCTTCACGACCGTAGCGATTACCAAAGCGGGTGGCAGATTGAGAAAGAGTACGCAGAGAAGGAAAAGAAACGGCAGAAGCGGCTCGAAGCGGGGCAAGGTGCGCACTGTTTAAGCCAGTCTAACTGTGGAAAGTTTTGGCTTGGTGTTACAATGTTTTTTGTTGTGTCATGGACAGACCCTGATGAAATAAGTGATGAGGAAGACAAGAATAAGGTCAAAAGAAGCGCTGAAGAGCAATTTGCTTGCACAATCTGCCGTGGACCCTTTTGGAATGCTGTGGAGACAATGTACGTTTGTCGAAGACAGCAGGACATAAATGCAATTGTTGTACCTCATGCTGACTTTTTGGTGGGTGGTCGTGTAGTTGCGGCCATTTCTTTTGCGAAGCGTGCGCGCTGAAGCATTTTAAGAAATCTTCACGGTGCTTCAACTGCAAAAAACAGACCAATGGTACGCGGCTGAGTAAACGTATAGTGCTGCGGTTAGATGGTGCACTCACTGTTGGAGTTGTGAATGTAGGCGTTTTCAATGCTGCTGAAAAGCACCGAGTAAAAGAGCAAGAACAGCATGCAGGCGCAGTTGAGACATCAAATAGCACTATAATCTCAACGATAGATGCAGAGGATAACACCGACGGACACTGGACGAAAGTCGCAGAATCGTCGTAGAAGCACTGCAGAGTAACGCAGCAAACACAATGATCGATCTTTTTGAGGTCACTTATATTGACGTGCTCCAAAGCAACACTTTTTACAGCTCTTTCCATAATAAATACTTTATCCTGCTCCCTCCTATTTTTCACGCGATAATTCGGCCTCCAAAATTGTTTTGGCGTACGGATAAAACACAATCCAGCCGACGAGAAATGGATTCATTAACTCCATGATGCCATTATTCCAGACAGAATATGTCCCACGGTTCCACGAAGGCGCCATTGCTGTTTCATGAATCAACGAGATGAAGGAACGCCCCAACTGGGATAAACCCACTGCACCGAGAAGTGCGACGATGTTCCAGGTGCTCATATCCGTGTCGCCAACCAGCATCCAGATCACCATGCCGACAGCGCCGAATAGTACAGACACGATAAAGTCTAATACCATCGATACTCTTGAGGACATATGTTTCCAGCGCCATAACAGGCGATGCATCAGCTGACAAGTCACCATATTAAACACGTAGTGACCCAACTCAGCCGACGCAACCGTGACGAAGAAAGAAGCTAGTTCAAAAGGCAAGTTGTTTGCGAGCGGGTGGTCAACGAAGTCCAGCACTTCCATCAAAATGACAGTCACGTGAAGCAGCGCAACAGTATCCAGAGTAACCATTAGAAAACACTCCAGCATTTTCTTCGACACGATAATACGCAAAATCACAATAATCGCCCAGCTGGCCAGTGCAACAAACAAATAGTCCACAACCGCCATTTCCAACTTTGACTTCGTATAGTGAACGATCATAGTGTTCATGCCAGTCACAGTCAGCGCACCTTCGTGAACGAGTATAGCAACGCCATCGCTACGCGTAGGAGCTAAGCAGGCGCTTAGCACACCAGCAAAGGAACCCACCGCAGCACACGTGGCCAATGTTTTGTTAGTGTGCATTGCTATGATGGTGCTTACAGTGGCAATGATTGACGCCGCTACCAACGCTATTGTTACTGCTGCACCACGTACATCCTTTGTCAACCTATCGGTCATACGGTTCACCGCAAACATCTTAGGTTCCATCCTCTCAAGAAGTTCACGATCGTATTCTGCAGTGTCACGTCGTGGCATCTCTGGATCCCCATTGCCAAATCTTATAGCTGTGGACGTCTCTAGCGGGATCAAGAATCGATGCCGAATACGGTAATGCCACCAACTTTTCTCAAGTAAAGCAATGGCCAAACAGACTTGAAGAAGGTAGACGGTGTGAAGTGAATAGCCTTGATGAATCGAGAAGAAGATGAAAGAGAACAAAAGCGCGGCTACTACCACCGTCGCGAAAAAGACAAAGAATTTATAACTGATGGAGATCGTCTTGCGTGGTGTTTCCTGTAAATGACGAGAGTGTGAGCTATAGCTGGTGTCCGATAGATCCATACGCTGCTTGGACTGAGCGGCGTGCTTTCAACTGAGCTTGCCACCCCCAGCAAAAAAGCGGGGGGGGGGGAACGACGTTAATAAATTTGGTGTGAGACAATAGCATCTTTTAATCGAATGGCGTGACGATGTACATAGTGATTAAAGCTCCCACATTTGCGCATAACCGCGCTGAATAGCTACTTTTAGGCGAGGATGATAAGTTTTGCATAGACAAGCGTTCCCAAGAAAAACAGGTTGTTGAACAACGCATACGATAGTCACTGTATAGTACAACGGGCTGTTCCCGTCTGCTTTTCTTGGTTGTAGGTGGGAACAGACTGTCTAGTTACCGTTAAGAATGACAAGATTGCTGAAAAAATGTCTTATGTGCACTTCCGTATTCCGGTTTGACGATTGTGTCTTGGAATATTATCGTTGCTAGGCGGAGGTAGACGTCATTGCTCATCCTTATCTCGCTTTTGTTCCTTGAGTTGACGAAGCAGACAGGTTTGACTTCTGCTATCTCCGTGGACGCAATTTCCTGCTAATGGATACTTCGGTTCCACTGAATCCATAGCGTGGTCACGTAGACGGAGCAAGCTATCCACCATATTCTGTTCCAGGCCCGGCCAGCTATGTCAGTGGTGTCTGGGAACATGTGCTCAACTACCCGCCACCCGCATCCTAGGGAAGTAGCTCCGGTGCTGATCGCGATAACGCTGCTTGTCTGTACAAGAGCATTTGAGCGGATGATACCTCCATCGTGTCCACTGCATGAGATGTGTGCCCAAGATTTGGTCGCTCCTACGCAGTCCCAGAGGATATGTAGGAGGTCTTCGTGTTGCCCGGTGCATGTCAAGTATATTTTTCGTTTTAGGAAGTACAGATTCAACTAATGGGTAGCTACTCTGTAGCATTCCTAGACCTGGAAGTCCGTACGTGTATTTGTATTTCTAGAGATGTGCTAGTGACTGCGACATCGGAAAGTGGTTGCCATTCTCTGAAGCTTCCGTCTGCTAAAAGCAGGAGCATCCTACGATCTTTTACTACATTTTATAGCAAAGCACTGACTAGTGGTTTGTCACTATCAATGACAAGCCTCCAAAATAAGAATAATATACATATTTCTCAAAAAAGTGCTTACCATACACTCATATCACTACAGCATTACGTAAAAGTCAAACCTAATGGCCGGCAGCAGGTACAGATCAATAATATACAAACACTCAACGCGGTTTTCCTGTAGAAATAGATATACACGACAGATCAACGAGCCTGAGAGGATCAACAACCAGTGAAAGTCCCTTTTTTATCCTCTATCCAATGTCGCTGCCATACATTTACCCTAGCCCTCATTAAAATAAATAACTGACACGGAGCCTCAATCGTTTAATCATTATATAAATGTATATGGACTTAGAGGAGCGACGGCTTCCTTGCCATATTGTGTGTTCGTCCCACGTACTTGTGACATTCTTTCCAATTGTAACATTTGTACTGCTTCCTACAGCTGTTGTGGTGCTTGTAGAGATTGGAGATGCTTATCTTTTGCTCTTTCTTGGACAATTAATGCTGGCTGTGGCTGTCATTGAATGGAGTTGGCTGGCTTTTCGTATTCGACAGCGATTACTACTTGCTATAACCATACACGATGACGACATATTGGCAACAAAACAGGAGATAGGAGAATTGGAACCGCAGATACAGGAACAAGAGATACAGGAGCGAGAGGATCAACCAGTTCTTACAAGAGAAGACCCCAGGGAGCGCTATGCGCGTCAATTATACGAATCCATGCGAGCTAAAAGCTTTGCTATTGATCCAATGGTGAGTAAAATGTGCTGCGGCCGTTGGTACATTGCTGCGCTTCTACTGGCCTTATTGGGTGCTGTCGTAAGCGTCGTCTTGGCTTACGCATTAAATGGCAACAATCCCGCCTCTGGATGGCACATGACGATCGGCGCGTCCGTGGAGGCGGCGTTCGTGTCTATTTTCTGTAGCTCCCTTGCCCCCTCTGCAACCGACGCAGTTGTGGTCATCATTTATCAGATCTGCGTTCTGGTGGCCAGTATGAACGCATTTGTGAAGCTGCAGCTACATTTCATCGCTTCTGATGCACAGATTGAACCACTGTTTATCATTTTGGTTGGTGCTATCATTATTATCGTCTTCCGTGTTGTGACGAGCAAGGTCGTTATGCAGAGCTTGCTGCTCGTTCTGTGCGACATGCTTGGCCTTGTATGTATCGTGTCACCGCTCATCGCTTTTGCAGACCTGATGGACGAGACAATGAGCCAGTCGCTTCGAAATCAGCTCGCGTTGTTTGTGCTTGTAGTTCTGGCTGCAGATGTGGGTGATACTCTCGCTAAAGAATTGCAGCTGCACTGGCCTCTGGCTTTTAAATGGTGCCGTCCTCCGCTTCTCAAGTCTGGAGCTATTACTAAGCATATTGAAGCCTCAATAATCTCGATGACCTGTGGTGCAGTGATGTTTGCCGCTGTTCGTTTGGGCTCAGATGGCTCGGATTTCAGCTTTGTGGAAGTGGTTGTGCTGTTTGGCGCCATTGCGATTGGACAGTGGTGTCGCCAGTGGATGACACACGTTCGGCAAATGGCCAAGGTATCAACTTCGGCGTTCTATTTTCCCGTGGATAGCCGATCTTATGGCGTGCTTGATCGAATGGCTGTCTTTCTTGCGGCTATCGTCGTCTATTACCCGTACATTAAGCAATGCTTTTGATAGAAGAAGTGCTGTATATTTGGCACATACACATGATGGAATTCAGACAACGAACGACTGGGAAGCAGACCGCGACGCAACCAAAACAAGTTTTCAGGCTCAAGTTGTACCTATGATACCAGGATCAGTGCCTGTGTAGCTGAGCTTGCACTCTGCTCGCATACCCACAATGGTATTACTTATTTATTATATTTATTGGAGCCAGAAGAGCAACAGTTATTGGCCTTACGTCTACGTACCAAGTATGCCTTATTACAATGTCAAGGCTATCAAGCTTATGAGCGTGCCCATTTGAAGCTAATGGAGAAGCTGGCAGGCAATCAGCGTTGGTCAGCTTGTTACCTCCACATGAAGCGTAGATGAAACATACAAGAAGCTTTTGGTACTATTGATTTGATATCAAATGCAGCGAACGCGGTATTGGAGACTTTCTTAGTCTTCATCGCTACGCTCACACGATACTACGGATTTTACGATATTCGCCATGGATGCGTGAAGCAACCCACAACTTCATCGTTGTAATTTTGAGAAACGCGCATGTGTTGTGCGATATCATCATAACAGGGCGTTCCTAACTAGTGTCCGAATGCGAGAGTTGGACTGTACGAGGCCCACATAGAAACCCTCACGTTTGCTCTCGAGCGCCATTTTAGCAGCGTATTCTGCTGCTATTTTGCTTGACAATTCACCCATCTCGGCGTACCTGGAGCGACCATTTCCGCCTCCAAGAGCTTCCATTTGTCTCTCCAATTCAGAAATAATGTTATCTTTCATGTATATCTCGCTTGCAACCTCCGCCCATTTTTTATGATAGACTTGCTCATTGCGGGGTGCGTTCTGGAATGGAGTGTCAAACAACGATTTAAATTCTTCGTACCGAGGTTTCCACACGTGTGCAATAAGAGCTGCCACTCTAACATCACGCTTAGTCTTTTCCGCGCCAATGGATGCTTGTAACTCATTTACTTGTCTACGAAAGTCCGTTGCTGCCGTGGGACTATACCCCACTAGAGCATGAACGTGACTACTGGATTCTTCAACTGCCCTTTCGTTCAACAAGATTTGGTCATTCATGTGCTTGTACGCGTCTATCAGGCTTTGTGTGTCGGAATTGACGGCTTGCATGACCGAAGCAATCACACTTTGGTTTTCATTACCATCGTCAACACGTTGCAGACCGCCTAGGTTATCTCTATTGTGAAGCGATTGACCGTCAGCTTCAAGCAACACACCGAGCTTAGTACTGGCCTCGTTGTTCGACACCCCGCGCTCTGATAGTTGAGATGTAACTGCAGCATTGCTGAAGTTAATTAGCGACTCAAAAATATCCGCTGGCTTTGCCTGAAAGCTACTAATAACGCCACCAGTCACACTTTCAGATAAGCATTGGGTCGCTTCAGAATCCACACGCGGCTTTGCACTTGCTGTTTTTGTAGTAGCAGCACCTGTTGATTTCTCTCGGCTCAACATCAATACCTCGTCTTCAAGTTGCTGCATCCGAATCATGAGTTTTCTCGCCCACCGTCGAACGCATGGTGGGCAACTACATCCTCCTGCAAGTAAATCACCATTATGTCCCTTGTTCAGTTGATGCCCGGATTTTCCCTCTGAAGTCGACACTTTCTTTGAAGTTGTAGTGTGCGAGGGTGTCCGCGTGCGTGGCTGTGTTAAGCCGGATACATCCGAGGGAGAACCAGCTGACTCATGTTCTTGTGCTGGTTCTTCCTGCACACGTGGCCTCTTTACTCCACGACTTAATGATTCCACCTTGTCACTCTCATGTAACGTTTCATCCGGTGCATTTTTATCTAGATCCAATTTTGTCTCGGTCTCTTTCGTTCGATTCACAAGATACGCTTTGCGGGCCTGATATTTTGCCCTAACTGTCCGTTCTGCTCCTTTGCTCAATTCATCAGAGCTCATTGACGTTACTATAGTCGGTAATGTTTCACCCGATAAAGTCGTAGGATCCAGCACGTTCTTTCTATCTTGGGTACACGGTTTCACTCGATTCATATGAATACGAAGATTTTGTGAACTTGAAAATGTCTTGCCACACTTGGAGCACGTTTTCTTTGGCGTCAAAGATTGACGACGTATCACAGTAGACACTATTTCTTTCTCTTGATCACAAGATTTAATCCTCTTAAGATGTTTTCTCAATCCCTGGCAACTTGAAAAAGTTTTATCACACTTGAAACAAGTTCTCGACTCGATTTTACCTCCTGTTGATGATATCACAACACGTGATTCGTCACACGGATCAATTGTGGTTCCATGGTTTCGAAGACTCGCTTTCGATAAAAACATTTTCTTGCATTTTAGACACGTTAGTGGGTCCGTATCATCCCCCCTATTGGAAACATAGGACTCTAAACTAGCATCGTCTAGTTGAGAAGGAGGGGTTTTACATACAATTTCCTCATGGTTCATGTCCGTGTTTGGATCTTCTTTTTTTGGTACCCGTTAGTGATTTCTTTCGATGATGCAAAAGACTTTTTACTCAATTGTTCATTGAATTGTAAAAGAACCAGTTCGTTTTGAATGGATGATGTATCAAGAAGAGGCTTTTGTTCCTGGAAGACTCGATTTCTAATCGTCTTTTCGATTGGCATTACGTTTTTCTAGACAATTTTACGTCTAAAATAAACGATTTTTTTTTTAATTAGAATGCAGGAATGATACAATCAATTCAGAACAGTAGTATTTTTCAAACTTGATTGTTTATACCTTGAAAATTAATAAAAAAAACGAGGAACAGGGATGGACAATCCAGCAAGGTCTTCTTCTTCTTCTTCTGGTTTGATGACGTCTCGTAAGCCTTTAGCAACGCGCGTATTGTCGGTAGATTCGTATTGGCAAGTACTAAGAAAGCTAAAGGGACGATCTCCAAAAGAAATTCTGGTACCCCTTTGGCCGGGCGAAAGTTTGCAGCAGTACGAGCGTGAATTCCGACGCTGGTTGGCTGCCGATCGACTCTCAATAACGGATTTACGTAAAGACCCAACAGTTAAACGAAAGTATCGATTGCAATTTGCCGAGACACGAGTGGGTCGATCTCGTAGTCATTCACAGACAATGACGTGTCATTCGAGATGGCAATCACGGTCACGGTCTCCTAAACGCTCGGATAATAATCTGCAGCAACGACACCATGCATCTAGTAGAGAGGAAAGGATGCAGTCGTATGGAAGACGTTCTTCGATTGATAGTGGACGCATGGTAATAGGCCTAGAGTTAACAGACAGACTGCGTCACGACCGAAGTTATGTACGATGGCATTCGCAAACAGATCGATACCCTGATGCAGATGAACCTCCTCGACCGTATAGTAACTGGCAAGCACCGCACGGTGATAATTTTCGTTATTGTCAAGATGATCGAGTGTCGCCGCCGCATGATGTTCATCGTCGATATGATAATGATACCCAGCGCTGGAAACATTCGCGATCGAGGTCACCACAGTATGATGTCAGAGTCGCGTCACCTCCCCACGTGCGTAGGTCACTCTCACCGCACGATCAAGTCCGATCGAATAATGACAATGTTCGAAGACAGTTGCTTGCTAAACGAGTGGTCTCGGTGGAGGATTTTAGGGACGAGATGAATAAACTTCGAAATGGCGTTATACGCCAAGACGATCTCAAAAGGTCGCATGAAGCAATGGCTCGCATCCCTGTCATTTTATGGCCAAACGAATCGATGACTGAGTACACACAGAACTTTGAGCGGTGGCTGGAATCACGCAAGCTTTCGCTGGCGTTACTTCGTGGTAATCCAGCGGAAGAGCGCTCGTTATGGCACTCGTTTGCGTGCACAAGGGCGGGGACGTCAGAGTTAGGCGAACCACGCTTGCGTCCTCGATCTCAATCTTTATCACAAAGCAGTCAAAGAAGCTCCGAGAGAAGCCGTTCTCCATTGAAGAGCTCAAATCGCGAATCGAAAGAGCATTCGTTTCGACGAGAATATGCCCGTTCTCCTGATTACCACGGTGAGTCGAGATCTGCAGGAATCCAGCATCCTTCGTCAATGATAAATCCTCCTGAAATTCCACGATTGTACAACAACAAGACTCGCCGGCAGCTGTTAGAGAGGCGAGTTCTATTGTTAGAAGATTATCAGAAGGAGGTGGATCAAAGTCCTGGGGGGAAAGCAGCTAACGCGAACAATAGCAGCTTAGAGTCGCTCATCCCTGTTCCCCTTTATCCAAGGGAATCGATGGGGCACTACGACCACCGTTTCTGGGTCTGGTTGAGGGAATTTGGCGAAACGAAGGAATCACTGCGTTCTAACCCATTGCGGGAACGGAGATTTCGATTGACATTTGCTTCCCTTAGGCTCAACAAGCCGCAAGTTTTGACGACAAAAGAGGACTTTCCTATTGAAACTCAAACAACTGTAGTTCCGCGATCAAATATTGAGACCCATACCAAGATACCTGTCGGCGTTTCAAAGACAGCGCGAGAGCATGTAGTTATGAACGGAAAGATGCCTGCCAACACTGCTAATCGGCAAGCTCATGCTATGCCCAACAAACCTAGCTGCAAGCGCGCTCGAATGGATGCGGAAGGTATGACTCAAGTTCATGTGACCCCAGATTTGTCTTCCGGTCACTCCACAGTTTGTCCGGAACAGAAAAGAAAACCAGCACTCTCCTTGGCATCATCAAACCCAGCGTTGCCTCAATCAAGTTCAGTGCTAACAATGGCGTCTTCAACGAAAGCTTCTTTGACGGCTACAACAGATAATACTTCTTCTTCTGCTGGACCTGTATGTCCGTCAATCTTTCCGCAGACAGCGCCAGAAAGACAGACAGCTCTTGCTAAGGCGCAAACAGCACGCTCAGCGTCAATCTTGAATGAGAGGAAGCAAACAAAAATGCGTGCAAAACATCGAAGAATAGCCCCTGCTCAAAAAACGAAGATAGCAACAAGCTCGAATGCAGACGCATCCTCGACAGAGACTGGAGCATCTCGTGCTAGGGACATGGCGACAACTGCAGAACCGGCTTGCCTTGACAAAGGCTTAGCTATGAACATTCAAGCGAAGTTTTGGGATGGGCGGACACCAGAACCAGAACCACTAACGTCAAAAACAGGTCCAGCTGCGCCGCGTTCTTTTCCATTCCCGTCGGCGTCATCAATACCACCAGAATTCCTAGACGAGCCATTACCCACAACGGCAGCCGCCTCGATCCGAGCACCACGGAGTGCAGACGTGTCTCCAGCAACGACTACAATTACAAAGGAAACACCGAGCGTCAATGTTGCTGAGAATGACTCTACAGATACTGATGTCGCCGAATCTGAGCCTGACATTGCGCGAACAGAGTCCATGGCACAGGAGGAGTCTGAAGCCGAATCCGACCCACCAGACGAGTCCGAACAACACGATGGCGACGTCATGAACCTTGAAGGCTGCTGCTGTAACAAGTGTATGCGGAGTTGGGCCAAAATGCTGGCAAATCGCATGGATCAACTTGAACAGAACGTTCTGGACTTGAAAAGGCAAGTCATCGGTTAAGTTGATGCGCAGGCAGTGACAAACTCACAAGTTTGTAATCAACGTCCTAGGAATCAATCGATCTTTCGTCGGACAGTTGTTTTAATCAGCCGGAACTCATCGCAGATTGTAGATCCACCTCATCGACAGAGTTCTTGGTCACCCGATCGCTATCGTCGTTATGTCATACGCTACGCCGACAGGTCCCAGTGGCGTAGGCATTTGCCTTAAACAGATCGATACTGCCACCGACGAGAGGAGAAATGTCGCCACGTTGACGCAGGAAGCAGTCTCCATTTGTGTGAGCGTGTATAAAACGTCGTCGTCGGTAGAAAACGTAATGTTGGTGAAGACATTCCGTCGCATCGTCTTCGACAGGACTCACCCCAGGGTCCAAGAATAAAAAAATAGGAATGACGGCTGTTCCAGTTCCGCTGACATCCACAATGAGCATTGAGAAGATCAATAATGAGTTTTCTCCAGTTCGTTGAAATCACACGCTGCGCGAGCTCGAAACTGCGCGGTCTTGAGCTCATGATAGGGCTGGCCGATATCTTCCGCTAATTTTCTGGAGAAGCGCGAACACAGTGACAACCTTCATCATTCTCGGCTCGGGGTGGACAAAATCGTTCCTATTGCTTTCCTTTCGTGAGAGGGGCTTAGTTCATCAGGTGAAGGTTTGTTACGGCGACGCTGGCTTCGTGTTAATCATTTATTGTATGGCTTACCTTTGATCAATCGACAGATGATCCTAATACAAATAAACGTTGGCTATGGGTCTTCACAGCAACCGGCTTCTTACCAGGTTCGTAGCAAACTGGGGAAAATAGTCTGCGTGAATAAGCAGTTAGTAGGCAGGCTAGCTGCTAGTAAAGCGAAGCAAAGCTACCGACACGATCACAAACTCTTCAACGCACAATGAAGTCGACACTTTCTTCAATCGATCCAATTTCACTGTTTCGTGTGAATCACGCGTCCTCGAGATCAGCACTTTCAGCTCGTAGCTCCTCCAAAATCTCATTGATGCGGACTACGCAATCTGTGTGCTTCATTGTAAGTGTTTCCACCGACCGTTCTAAGAATGCAATAGTAGAATGATCGGGTTCATGATGCTTGGCTGCATCGCTAAGCCGCATTTTTTCAATCAACACGGCAGATGTCTAATGCAAATATTGACACAAAGCAAGTCAAATGAAGTCACCAAACCAGAAAAAAACAGCAGTACAAAACTACCAAAAGAAGCTTTTCCTTTTCTTCCACTTGGATTTTACGGAGAAGCTGAGCGATCGCCACTTGCTGCTTCTCGTCACGCAGGAGTTTTTCAATGTGGTTGATCTGCTCACTCACAGCCGAAAAACGATCTTTGATCCCAGAACCTGATAAAAATGTACGCAAAGAAATTAAAAATTTTGCGTACAATTTTGTAAGAATTTCAAGTTTGGAATGTCCTACAAACTCACAAAACGCAGGAAATTGCTGGGTCTTTTTGTGAACTTGAAAGCCCCTGCCACACAATGTTAACGTCAATTCAATGCTACTGTAAATATTCCGTATTTTCATGACAATTTGTACGACGAACTGTCGAAAATCCTTGAAAATCTGGACGCGCATCTCCTGCAAACGGGTAAAAGTCTGGACAAGCTCTTGGGAATTCTGTAACTTCCAGTCTTTCTTCTGTTTAAAGCTCGACTTGTCGTTGGTCTCATATACATTCCCGTCCTGGGGATGCTCTTGGACCTGTTGATTCTCTGTGCAGTGCTCATGAGCGTGTGCAGGACGGGAAGATAGTAGTGTAAAGCACTCGTGGAATTTCATGGTAGAATTTTTTGTTTATCTAAAATGAATATATAATATCCGTTTCTATAGATGCAAAAATCCGTACGATTGGAAACGAAAATGTACGATAAAAAACAACATCTGCGTGCAATTATCATTATTCACCGTAGAGCATATAATTACCTGCTTCATCAGAAGCCCTTACTTAGACTTTGCCAACGTAGCGATGTGTTAGCTTGTAATTTGTATCTAACGTCTTGAGCAGCGATTTGCCCGTTGAATCCAACGCACCAAAGAGTTGGTCCTTCTCATAAGGTGAACAAACATCAAACAAAGCAAAGACACCTGGTCGTAATTTCTGTTGAAAACGTACGGCCAATTTGTCACGAGTAACACCCACAAGAAACGCCATCAAGAGGTAAACAACATGTTTACGCAATGGCACATCGTGCTCTTTCATGTATCCGTACAAACGTGCCAAATTGGAGCTCCATTCGAAACAAAATTGTGAATATTCCACGTGATCTGAAGCCAACACTAGCAATTGAAAAAGTGCATTTGATGCCTGGACGAGGTGCGAAATACCAATCACCAATGGACCAAAATGAGTCCGCACAATACGCAGCAATAATGTGTACGAAAGCGTCCACAACTCGTGCAGCTCCTGGGGTTTATACGGGTTCATTCCAGCTTGCCAGCACGATACTGCTGAAATTATTGGCTGGAAACCCGTGAAAACGTGTTGTAGCTCGTAACTTTTCCATGTGAAAAGCTCTGCCTTGGAAAACACCAGTACAAAGACCTTCAAGTTCCAAACACGAAGAAAAACGGCGGTATCAAACGAGTCGGATGATAGAGCTCCAATGTGCAATGCTTGGGCAGTAAAATTCTGGAGCAAGGCTTCAACGATTGATTCCTTGTGCTCGTTTAAAAGGAACCGTCGTGATGCATTAAGCTTACGGTCACCACCCAAAAGCACGTACAGGGCACGCAGTGCACCTAGCTTTCGCTGATCTTCATGTGCAACGAGTTCCTGCACAAGCGTTGACATCAGCAGGCGGAACTCATCCTTATTCGCGTGACCCACAATTGCTTCCATCGCTGCTAGCTCCGCCTTCTTCTGGCTTAATAAAGACGTGGTGTTCCGAGAAACAAGCGAAAGCGATACCGCCAACAAACACCCATACGTCTTTAAAGAAGTCACAAACGTCCGGAATGAAGCGTACTCCTCACAAAATGTCTCAAAGAAGGACAAAGCCGCATCCTGGAGCTTCATGTCGTCCGTGGAATTGCTAGTCGCGGTAATCAACTTCATTGAAGCTGCCAAAGCACCCTCCACATGCTTCAAGAGCAGTTGCAAAACTCGACCCTCATATACTTTTGTCTGCTGACTTTTGTGCTGGCGAGCTAGTTTGTGCAGTACGGACTGGTATTTGAGGAGAGCGGCAAGTACGTCAAAGGACAATGGCGCATGTGTTGTCTCGATCACCTTTGCCTGAGTAACAATTTTTACGACATCTTCGATAAACTTTTTCTCTTCCTTAGAAGCATTTGGTGTAGACCGATGTGCAGCCAGAGCCTGCACAACGATGACGGCACGCTTCAGTATTCTTGTCATCTTGTCTACAGATGTTCCTCCGGCACTCTTACTGTCTAAGATACTATTCAGCAATTCACCAGCAAATGCGTTGGCACCGATATCCAAATAGTGTCCAAGCACGTCGGTGACGAGTGCCACGCTAACAGAGTTGTCCACCGCGAGCTGTGAGAAAATGAAGGATGCCCCACTACGTAGCTGCTCGTCGAGGTTTGTCAATGCTTTCCGCGACTTATGCAAGCCAACTCCAATAACTTTAAAATGCTGCTGGATCCAAGCCAGCACAGACTGACAGACTTCTGCTTTGCTATTGACATTGTCGGGAGACACACAGATTGCACGGTATTGAGCAAGAGCGGTCGCTAGTAGCGGTCCACACTCTTGAGGCTTCAGATAGCCTGACGGGATCTCTAACAAGAAGCTGAAAAAACGACGGGGCAATTCCAGGCTCGTCAGAGACCCATGCTGTACTTCGTCCACAAAGTGTTTCCCTAGGGTAGTCAATGATTCTGGCGCGATATTTCTTAGGCTTGAGATCTCATAAAACCCCGCATCACAAACAATTCGCTTGGCTGAACTGTCCAGCTCCTCAGATACAGCTACACTAATGTAAGCACTCAATATCTCTCGGAAGAAGTGGTCACATTCATTGCTGCTCGCATTTGTCATTAACTCAGGCAAATGGAAACTCACTGCCTCCCAGCATTTCCAGTTGATAACATACTCGATGATCAAGCGAATTACTCTTTCTCGTCCCTCGAAAGCATTGCTGCCTTGCATTGGATTCGAAGCTTTTGTCTTTCGCAGCCAAAACACACAAAGTTTAATAATCCCGGCAGCACCAGCGCCGTGGCTGGTGCTACAATCAGTCTTTTCAATATCTGCATCTAATTTGCTGCCTTCCGCCTTCATACATAATGGAGAAATGCTTAGCAGATGTTCCATTGCAGTGTAAAGTCCATCGCCTTCAAGTTTGTTAAACATCTGACCAAACGTTTGCTCGCGAATGGAAGCATTTAGTACAGAATCAAACATCAGCAACTCCCCGAATATACTGAACAATTCTCGCTGATAGGATGTAAACGGACCCGTGACTTGAGCAAGCTCATTTGCAAACGAGGAAAAAAGCTGTTCATGGGTATGCAATACAAGTCCCAGCACTTTAGAACGATTCTGAGGTACCACGTGAATTTCTTGAACAAAAGTCTGAAAGAGGAAACGTGCAACCGCCATCCCACGCGCGTTTCTGATATCGTCATCTTTTAATGCATAAGACGCGATTTGCCCCACAAACAATTTCCACAACACATCCGTCTGACCAGGAGGCAAAGCCATGAACGCTTTACGAAGTGCAGTTTCGCATGAAGGAATAGCAAAGAGTTTGTGTAGACCTTCGTGGGCTTGCTGAATCGCGAAGACGCTTTTCAAGAATGTATCCAGAAGACGCATGGAATCGTACGCATGAATGAGCTCAATAACTGCATGGCTAGCTGCCGCGATAACCCCACTTTTGCCTTCTACGTTCTTGTTAGCGGGATAGTTTCGTTCAGCTCGCATTCCGAGCAATTCGAGTATCGGAACTAGGCATCCATTTACAAGGTTGGGTGAACACCGTACTGCACTGGATACAATCTCACACTCCTCTGAAGCTTGATCAGCATTAGCAACTTCATCGTCGGGCTCTACTTTGAGCACTTGCAAAAATGATGAGAGAATTTTCTCCATTGTTATGAATTGCGTGCGTTCCTCTGTATCTTCTGTCACACGGTAGATGTCACATTCACAGAGCGCTCGAAACAGCGCATTGTATAGGGTCACCAACACCGGCAGGTAGTCACTCTTTTTTGCCTCCTGCTGAAAAGATAAGTACGCCACAGCACACAACTCCGACCAGAATTTGAACGGCGAGTACATTGTCGACGTGGTAGCAATGACGATCGCTGCGCGTTTTCGGCTAGTTTTCAGGTCCGTTCTGGTGTCTTCGATTTTTGTAGTGGCAGCTGCACGAATACGAGTAGCGAAACCGCGCACAAGCAGCTCAAAAAATCCCCCCACTGATGCCTTCAGCTCCAATTGCATGTCTTGATCTGACAATAATCGTACAAGTTCATCGAACAGATTCTTCTGGTAGGACACTAATCCCGATGTCGCCTTTGCTTGACCTGCGTTTCGTCGTTTCTTTAATCTTGTGTCGTCTAGCTTTTCCTGTGCTTCATCTTTGCTTCCACCTTCTTTCTTCCAAACAGCAGCGTGTACCACAGCTCCGTCAAATTGACAAATATGTTCCGCGTCAAACAGCGCGTCTTCTACCACATGATCCAGTAACGTCATCACAGCTTCAACACCCGTCACACCTCGTTTCTGCAGCGTCACGAGAGAGTGGCGAAACCCCACAAAATCTCTCAGCGACGTCTTGGCAATTGCCAAAAAGACTTTTTTCTTGTTTGTTTGCGTCTTCTGGAGATCTCGGAATACAAACAGCGAGGCATGCATCATGTCCACGTATAATGTCTCCAGCTCTATCTTCTCCTCTCCTAAATTGCTTCTTTGCAACTTTATCAGCGACGTAAAAGTTGCATTAAAAGATCGCTTTAGAAAGTCAGTAAACACGTTCGTAGGAGGGCGATACATCAGAAAATTAGCCGTCACAGCTTTTACAACCTCATTCAGCAATCCAAAAAGATACAAGAGCACAGCCTTCACGTCCTTGAGCGTCTGTAGTGTCTCTTTATCCTGTTGCGCCTTCTCCAGCTTCTCAGCGAGCGCGGACAGCAGCAAATTGCACGAGTTCAGCGGCAATGTCGCTTGCTGTGCGTCTCCATTTACAGTGAACGCGTTGAGCGCCAATTGCAGCAGATGCAGCGCCTGGCGCGTATGATCTGGACGTACATCTTTGTCTCGTTTGGCTTTTGTGACTACAAACACGGCGAACTCCAGCACTTCAGACACGATGCGGTGCCACGGCAGATTGAAAGCACGTTCAGTACGGGCTAGTGCGCTCTGTGGGCCGAATTGGAGGTCATTGTCAGGCTGTAGTAGTGATACACCTGTTTGCAATAAGGCGGCGTCACTGTCATAGCCATGGCGTGTACGCTGCCAACGTACGAGCGCTAGCGTGGCGTCCCAATCGAAGCTCTTGGTCATAATGGATGTGAACCAGTCAAATGGATGCAGACCCAAAATACCAGTTAGAGGGGACCCAAAATACCAGTTAGAGGAGACCCAAAACTAGTCGTTACATTTAGAAACATAATCTCAGCGGCCATTATGACTGTACTAATAAGGCACTCTATTTTTTATATGCAACCAGGTACGTATTATATAAATCCAGTAGAGAATTGAGCAGCGTAGTGTAAACTTAATTGAGCGTCGAAGCAAGACTGAACCCCACGCTATAAATCGTCGTTGCTTGTTTCGTACAGCTTCTTTTCGTACTACAGTATGCCGAGTACCACATTCTTATACGTCTTTCCCTTGAGATTCACAACTGCAATCGTTTTCTGTGGACGACCAATGGAGTCATTGATGACCTTCATCTTCCCATTCGGTCCCCCGGCGCTGTTGAACGCTAGTGCTGCATGGGCATTGCTCGAGAAGGTCACACTGCATGAGCCTCGGTTTTGGTTTGGCAACCATACAATTGCCTCCACTGCGGTCGGGACAATATTGGTGTTCTCAAGAAAGAACTTTTCAATGTCCTCACTCAATAAGCCCTTCGGAATTCGATGCACCCGCAATCGACAGGAACGTGCAATCATAGCGTCAGAGATACCGTTAGAAGTGCGCGGTTGTTCAGTACTTTCCTTCGTGAAAGCGGCCATATCGACGTAGGACGCTTCATTTGACGGAGCTTTGACGGTCGTGGCTTTCGATGATTTGGAAGGATCGCCAGTTAGTTGATCAAGCTTGAACGCCGACGTAACAAGCACAGCAGGGCCTGTATACTTCTTTGTGACTTGTATCCTCCCAGGATATAGGATCTCGTCACGCCGCTCTTTGACACGAGGTCCGTGCAGCTCCAGCGCCGATGGGATGATCCGACCGGTCTCATGTCGAACAGCATACTTGGCTGCCATCATAGCAGCTTGAGCATCGACGGTACTGTCATGTCCCTGCGGCATGTCAAAGCCAAGCAAGAATTTGGTAAGATCCTTGAGTCCCGGCGTCGAGCGCGACGGATTTCCATCTATCCGTTGGAAAATGAGGGACGTGTCAATAACGCGTCGATGATTGATACGCAAACTGGCCAGATCCCCATATACTGAGTGACCCACTACAATTGTGTCCTGGTTGATGTACTTGAGCATTTTCTTTTGTGCTTGTGCTACCGTGATCTTGCAATTTGCAATCTGCTGTGGCGTGATGCCGTGAATGTCCGTCTTCGGATCAAACATATGATATCCAGGCTCCGGTTGGTGCACGATAAAGTCCGAGATAATGCTACGCAGCATATTCTCTCCATCCACTGCCGATACTCGACATAGAGCGTTGGCCTTGCGGTCACGAGAGCCTTCTTTCTGTGTGACGCACATCTCGCAATCGACAGCTACAATCTTCAAGTGCGTCTTCCTCTTTTTCTTCTTGGTTGTGACCCAATTATTTTCATCCTCTGGAAACGAGAAAAAATGGTTGAAACGCTCGCTCTGCTGCGTGAGCTGCACGAGCTGTTCCCACTCCAAATCCGTCACATTGTAGCCAACTTTTCCGTCAGGTGCCAGCAGACGATTCATCACATCCATAGCGGTATATGTTGCCTTCTTCACGCGCTGCTTCTTGACACCAGTAAATTCCTGCTGCTCCATCTGCAGCTTGCGCTTCAGCACGCCGCGCATCACGTCCGGATGCGCAGCCATCGGAATAGCGCCGTTCTTGGCCAGTCAGCGATTATAACGTCTGTCATTGGACAAAATGCGAGCGGCAAAAATGCCGAATGATGTACGTCACACAAGTCTTCTTTTGACACACCAATGTTACACGAATAAACAACATCATGCTACGTAAGACTGTGCGAGACGTGACCCAGCGGGCGAGGCAGTCCCAGGCGTTACAAAAGATTACTGCCAATTATGAACTACTACCAGCTTCAGCTGCGTATGATATTCGCTACATTTTATGGGTATCGAATGTATCGCTTCATAAGCCCAAAACGGCAGAGACGAAGCTTAAACCCTTTCGAGATCCTTTTGCAAAGGAAAACCTCGAGCAGGATCTCTTCGTTACGCAGCTGCATGGCACACATAACCTCGTCCTTAATAAGTTTAGCATTGTGGACGAGCATGTGGTACTGGCGACTGTTGAGTTTGCCCCGCAGGAAGAGCCGCTTAGAGCCACTGACTTTCGTGCCATGTGGACAGCCATGAAGGGTTTGGACGCTTTTGCTTTTTTCAATTGTGGCTATGAGAGTGGTGCCAGGTACGAGCAGTAGGGTGGCATGCAGTCTGATATAGAAGACATGGTGGAGATGGTCCACGTATTGACACTGATGAGCTCAATGTTTTGGATTGTAGTCAACCCCATAAACACATGCAACTCATGACCTATTCGTCCATTAAAGAGATCACTGGAATTGACATGGTACGAAGATCGTACTCATGACGTATTCAAAATATAAGGTTGATACCTGATTCTTCTTGTCTTCCAGCCACCGTTGCTGCATTTTATCGACCAGAAGTTGCGCGAGCATCCAAAATCTGAGATTGTCCAGCTGTCGGAGCTTCCATTTTGCCACTTTCTCCACCGCATCGATCTTCCTGATGATATCGACAGTGAGAAAGCCGTAGCAAACATCGTCGTCATCTATAATAAGGTCCTTAACCAGATGAACAGCATGAACTATCCGAACATTCATGCACATGCGGGGACCTCATCAGCGCCACTGCCCGTGGCCTATAATTTGCTGTTGACGTCGTCTTACCTCTTCATTATCCCGAGGAAGGCACAGGGTTTCAACGGAATCGAAGTGAACTCGATCGGCTTTATTGGATCTTTCTTCGTACGCAACAACGAGCAGCGCATCTTCTTAGAGACACACGATGGACCGATGGAACTGCTGCGCCAAGTCACGTTTCTGCCGACACCTGTCTAATTGGTGTTAGAAGTTACAAAATGCATGAAAAAAGACGTTGATAATGAAAAGTGGGCTTCTGTGTGTGTTATCTGTCTTTTGTATCGCCGTTCACGATGCAGAACCGAACACGTCATCATTGAATAAATAAACTGCGCAGGATGAATCTGTGGCTCCGGAGGCAACGAGGTCCTTGTTTGTGATCAGAAGTTACAGACTGGTCTTAACTGATCGGACGTAGACGTTTACACGCCAATACCTGAGCCAAAAGTCTCAAGAGTGTGTGCCTTCCACCCGTCCAGATTCATGTGACGATTCTTGCTGCGCAGTAGCAGCTCCATCTGCTGAGAAAACGACTCTTCAACCTCCAGAAAGGCCATGACGTCCTGTAAGAACTGACACTCTGGATGCCACGAACTGGGCTGCATACGATGCAGGATGGCGAAGATGATGTGAAGGAAATTGTCCATCTCCTGTTGGCGTTTGGTCAGATCGACCTCACTCTCCCCAAGACTTAGAAAAGGCATCCGTGTAAACTTGAGCCGCTCAAGGAAGCTTCGTGTGACGTCAAACGGGCACCCATTGACGCCGTCGCATCGACACTTGCCACTTCGTCGGGAGAACAGCAACGATGGGTCGTGGAGACTACCGACACGTGCGAGTAGCGACTTCCGGAAGCGTCGGAAATCGTTAAAGGATCGTGCTACTAGCTGGCAGGACTCGCGTTCGTCCGAAAAGGCGCGACGGCCAGGGATCAGTGTCTCTACGGACACAACAAAGGACAAATTCGTGCGCGAACCTTCAAAATGTGAAACCGATGCTGATAATTTCTTGAGAATTTGCACATCCACTTGGTTGTCAGTACTGGGCGCACGCTCGACGGTCGCACCCGACGTGCGGTGATGATAGAGCTCATTGTCATTCGCGACGGTAGCGCGTCGTGTGACGGACTGAGGGGACAGTGACGGTTGCAATGCCGAGACATTCATGTTTGCGTGGCTCCGAGAGCTCATCATGGCGACGAAATAGTTGATTGATGGAGTGGACTGACTGTTAATCAGGTGGTAGGTTGGCGAATGATAGTATTACGTTTTGCTATTGCTATTAAGGCGCAAGAATACCAAATACCCAATACACAAGAAAAACCGTCGGCGTCGATCCGGAGGAATTGCGACAAATCGAAAAATGCGCCCAAGCTTGACACAGCAGCGGGAAGTCGGAGCAAAGAAGGCCTGGCTTTATCAGCGTTGGTGGCTAGTACACACTGGGTAAAATTCGATTGAGAAGAAAGGACCCAAAAAATGAGAAGCAGCTGCGGCACACTTGGTATCAGTATGTCGCAGGCTGACAAAAGTGGGCACGTAAGGATGAAAATGGGCATTAAATTGACAGAGCGTCAGGTGATCGTCATGCGCTCATCATTTAGAGGCCAAGCTAACGAGTACATGAATGCTGAAATAAAACCTTCGTCTCAGCTTGATAATCTTTGTCCATCCAAAAAGGGTCCAATAAAAATTGCAGAAGTGGCGTGGGCAAAAGGAGAAAGGTGTTGCCAAAGGTGGGAAGGCCCCAGCGTTGACGTTTCACGACCAGCTGCTCGACGTGGGCCCTTGGCAGCATCAAGACTCGATTGGCGTTCCTGAAAAGGGCGCTTCATGGCGCTCTATCGAGTTTACATACATTATCATGTAATCGAGCGCGCAAACATGACCATATAAAATTTGGTACAACATCGAAAGTGGTTGGTCCAAACATAGCGGTACGGTGACAAGCGTCGACGAGACTGGCGCCATCGGACTGGCAGCCTCGCTGACAACGATACGAACCAACACCAAGCAGAACCTTTGTGGCTGATTTGTCTCCAGCACGTGAGCTCACTGTCGCCTCTTGATGTTTTGTCTTTTGCAGAACACACGGTATCGTGTGTTTGCGAAGCGGTGCAACGAATTTATGGAGCAGCAAGTAGGCTAGACTCTTACGCATGGTGAATGCAATACCACTACTGACATTCACTTGTACTGAACTCGGATCGGTGCAAATCGCCCGGCAAGACCGATTTGAATCGTCTGATCGATCCTTTCATACAAAACCTCATGTTAAACCCACTATCTGAGAAAATATGTAGAGTCAAGACGTTTCTACTTCAACTTCAACCATCATTCAACTGACAGCTGCACATTTGTCGCCATATCGTCACTTTCATAGCTGTGTCCTTTCGAGCTGAAGCGGGTGGGCTCGATTTGTTTCCCGCCATATGCTGCTGCAGTCGATTGCGACGCAGAATGCAATCGACTTCGTCGATGGTAAACCACCTGGTCTAAGTTTAACATAAAAGATGATGGATCCTCTCTCTACCTCCTGACTATACACTACATAGACCCGTGGTGCTTACATTTGCATCTCTTGCCACGTTAGAGTTGACCTCCTGCTTTTCATGTCCTTTATCGCCTTTCCAACAGCGCTCATTTAAGGCGTAGTCCTCCCACTGTGTAGAAGCGCAGCTGTAACTGCGCTAACTCCTTTTACATGGCTCTCTGCTCACACTAAACCTTTCAAGACTCAATTTGTTGACAAGATTCTTTGGCCGTCACGTTGTTGACTCGACACCGTTATCTTATTGATGGTTGATCCGCTTAGGGCGATGCAAGAAGACGCTTTTTCCCTCTCTAGCTTTGCGATCTAACATGTTTTTCTTCTGCAGATCTTTTGAGAAAGAGTGCAAGGCGGAGAGCTGAGAGTGACCATCGCCTAATTCTACTTAATGTTCTTGCTTTCAGGGAAATGGATTCTTACAGCAGATCGTCCACTAGCGCGCTCTGGTCGCTGCACACTTGTATGTGCGCTACAGTTGCTACTGAGCCTCGAAGAACAACAACTGTGTAATGGTATCTTTAAACAACATGTGATTATTTTGTAGAGCGCAGTCTTAGCACATGCGCGTTTCTCGAGGTGTTGATAGCGAACTTCGAGCACCTTTACCTACTGGAGCGATACATTGATGCATACCCGTAGCTGACTTGATCATTCTCTTTGATACTGGAAAAATCGTATTCTTTCTAATACAGCGTCATACTCTTGATCTTCGTATTATTCAAGATCAGTGCTCAGGAGCTCATTCTTTTGCCGCAACCGGTTCAAACCACTTCTAGATCGCCACTAAAATACTCGCATCTCTTGTCGACGGAAGTAATTCTCGCATCTCCTGTCGCTGTAAGTAATTCTCGCTGCTTAGTCGAGAAGTGATTGATCGGCAGCAACAGCAGGTTCTTGACCACAGTTAGAGATCGGTAAGAACGTTATAGTAGCAGGAGCTTCGTCGTCCCAGAATCTACTTAGACATTAGTTGTGTAATTTTTAGTTGTGCTTACGATGCGCCTGATCAACTCCATCAAGCGATCTTATTCCACCGTGTGTAGCTTTTGCTAGTCGCTCCGCGTACTCCTTCCAGCCCAATGTTGCAGCAGTCAGTGTCCCCAAAGCTATTACCATCACTGCATCTCCGGACGAGGCGGTAGTCGCAGACTGCATGTCTTGACTGCGACCGGAACCCATCGATTGATTGGAACCTACAGATGAGAGGTAACTCGGCCTAAATAGGATGCAGATACAGTCATATACTATGGGGTGATACTGACCACCAATTCAGACAAGCACGGGATAGGGGAGCTTCTATATCGGCTTTCCCAGACGGGGCCAGCCTGACTTATCCCTGACATGCAGCATCGGTTCTGAATCGTAATGGACAGAATCACGTTCTAGGGACATTCGCTTTGTGGACCGAAATTTGCGTTCGGCATAAGGGTCAGCGACTAGGAGGCGGAACGGAGAAGAACAGAGACTTGTTAATGCCTGGGTGAAGCATGTTCGATGCTTTGTCACACACCAGGACTTCGTGCCTATTGCTCTCTGTCAGGTTCGCACGCTGCGCTGCTTCCAAGAGAAGATCTTTCCCTTTCAATCTTGGCCCCATGATAGGGGACTTTCTGTCCAAGGCAAGATGACGCTCTTTGGAGACCTTCGTTGCTTGGTCGTTGTTGCTTTTAAGCCCAAATTGTGGCACGTTGCTATGATAATGACTGTAACAATTATACGTAAAATTTTGAATAAGCGACATATTGCACACGAAGCAAATAGATGCGGAAGACCTTCACACGAGTGTAACTAAAGAGTTATACAATGGCCGGACAAGTGTGACTTAGTTTCGTCTGCAGGAGATGAGCATGCAAGTTTGCTACATATCAGTAAAAGTATATAATGCTTCACCTGCGATGATGACAAAGGTATCATATCTACTTGACAAAATTAATGATAGATTACAGGCGTAAAGCTGGTAAATCTCCAAGCACAAGTTTCCCTACAATCGCATTATAAGCCTGATGTCGTACCCTCTCATTTCTACTGTCACTAACACACCAGCATAGTAAAGAAGATGAAAATGCAAGCCACTTCAACGACCTGTAGTATGGAAAACATGCCCCTGATTTTTATTTGGACACTGTCGCTGACAACGTGCGCCGAAAAAATGACGTCGTCGCCATCACATGTATCATTATCCTAAAGTTGAGATGAGAAGATTGCCGACAAGAAATGCGCGATTAAAGCAGCTAGAAGGCAAATTGAGTGTGCCTTGTCATCGCTTGTCAGTCTAGAGCACTATTTTCACTCCGAGCAAGCAGATTCCTCGACACTGTCGTTGTTTTCTTCGACAAAAAAATCCTGCTTGGCAACGTCGCTGGAGGGAATCCGTTCCCCCGTCGGAGGGATCTTGACGTGAGGCGGGTACATCCAAACAGCCACAACCAGCTTTCTCACGGGCACGGGACGGTACTTTCCTGTCGACTCAGCAGTATCCGAGATCGTATTTTGTCTAGTCTGTATTATTGCCTTGAACACGCTGCAAGACATTGAGGAGACCTGCTTCCTCCACCACCTGCCACTGAACCGTCACATCCGGAAGCTCGAGCGTATGTGTCCCATTCTTGGCCTTGCTCTTGACGAGTTGGTTCATCTGTCGAAGGTCATCAATTTCCCGCACAAGCGCTTGAAAAGCTTCATCTTCATCCAGTAGCTCCAGCAATCGCTAGCAACAACATCATTCATTCAGTCGGATGAATTTGTCTTTATTGCCTATTTTAAATCATCACCTCAATTGTTTTAGCTCCTCCTGTTTCATGTGTGCCATTAAAATGACTCAAATCTTGCTCTCTTAAGTTCACATGCAGCGTTAACGCATGCTGTCGTTCGTTGCTACCACTACGAGCCTTTAGCACGAATGTGTTACGTTCACGCAACATACTTGCAAGTGACCCTTAACATGGCTACATTTCTAGCAATATATCTTCGGACCTAGTCGGAGATATATTACTGAGACGTGAGATAAAATAGTGGTTACCGGTTTTTTCATTCGATAACTTTCATCCAATTGATACGATGTTGTCGCCGCTACCTCGTACGCCGGGTATTCGCCGCTCTTCTTTCTCGTATGACGCCGAGATTTCACTTGAAAACCAACGTGAAGGAAGCATTCAAAGTGCAGTGAAGGAGGCACGTGAAGAGACCAAAGCTTGCTGGTTATTTGCACTCGTTGGTGTCGGTTATCTCTTTCCTTTCTCAGCACTCACACAGCCCGTGGACTATTGGAAAATGCTCTTTCCCGACTTCAATATTGAATTTGCTCTTACTTCTACGTTCATGTACACAAACCTGCTCTTTCTCGCTGTCATTGTCGTCTTTTGTGGTCACCCTTTGTACAAAAGTCGTATCGTTGGTGGCTTTCTGGGGCAATTACTTGTATTGGTCTTTGTCCCCACGTCCTACTTCTTGTTTTCATCCGAGAACGCCAATGCAATTGCAGTCGTAAGTGGTACAGCTATGGCAGCAATTGCCACTGCTTTCATTGACAGTTCTACCATTGCACTCGTGTCACATTATCCTCGAAGTGTGCAAGAAAGTTTCCAATTGGGTGTAGGGCTCAGCACTCTCATTGGAAGTTTGTACCGGGACTTGACCAAGCTCGTCTTCCCTGCTGATCGATTGTTGACCTCGTCACTCATCTACTTTTACACTGGTGCACTTACAATCATTGTCTGCATCGGTGCATTCTACAGAGTCATGCAACTCGAGATCACCAACAAGTACTTGCTGCGGAAAGCTGATAGCAGTGTGGAGCTCATGGAGCGTTCGCTGCTGCTAGAGGAGAAACAGCAATCGGGTAGTGACCCGCTTAGTATTCCTGATCCCGCGCCGACCAGATGGACCGTGCTAAAAAAGGTATGGCACTTGGAAGCACTGATTCTGGTAGTTTTCCTCGCTAGTCTGTCAGTGTGGCCACCACTTGTCACGGAGATCAAGACGTACAACTTTCCGTCACTTCAGGAAAGTGGCTGGTGGTCGTTGATCCTGCTCACACTCTTCTCGATCAGCGACTGCGTCGGACGGTTTATCGTAAACCACCGCTTCGGTCTTACGTCCAGCAACATATGGATTCCAATCATAGCGCGTTTCATCTTCGTCCCGGTCATTATCGGCATTGTCAAAGAATGGTGGCTTCAGAGCGACATTTGGTCTGTCCTCAGTGTGCTGGGACTTGGATTCGGGAATGGCTATTTGGGCACGTTGACTATCATCTTCGTGAGTGAAAGTGTTCACACCGACGAACAGCACCTTATTGGCCCCTTCACAAGTTTCTTTCTAAATTCTGGTCTCGTATTGGGATCGACGGTGGGTCTGATCTTGGAAAAAGTTGTGCTAGGATAACGAGACTGAATAGAAACTGGAAAATACAAGTGGAATATGTCACGTTGGATGATTTAAACCTCTGTGAACCTCGCCTTTGAAGCGGCACTTTGGCCGTTGGCCCTCTTCTTCTTTGTAGACTCGATTTTCTTCGGTAGTACTGGCTGGGGCAGGAACGTGTGTGACCTTAGCTGATTCGCAATCGTCGCGTCCCAAAAACGAATGGCAATGGCTCTAGCCGTGTACTGGATGCCGTGGAAGCTGTAGGTACCGAAGGTAAGGTCATTGTTGCCAGTAGCCGGTAAGTTCCCGTTACTTCTCACATCATTATCAATCGATACATCTGCAGTTGGTTCTTTGATAGCCACAGTGCACAATAGCACCGTCTTTTTGACATCAGCTGCAATCCTCGTCAGCGACTGAATTTGGTTCCATGACAAAGTTTCACCATCGTCCTGCACGTAAACGACGTATTCCGAGTGAAATTCTGCCGCGGATCCACGATACAAGACGTAGTGAGCTCCATAATTAAGACCGGGTCTCGGAATCCAGCCAAGACGACGAAAGTGCTGGTAAATGACAAAAATCGTCGTAAACGTCGCACTGGAGCTGATCAAATCACTTGTTAGCAACTCCAAAGCCCCTCAACAGACCCACCAATTACAATGTCACCTTTGGAGTCGTTCCCACAATTGTCGCAGTGGTTCCTTCACTTGTAAAATGCCGTCAATTGCCACGACGTAATAAAGTTCCGATAGTGACAAGTGACGTTTCTTTCTGGTCGCAAATGTGTCAATCTCAATGGACGGTAGGACTTTCTCCACGTCTTCTCTACCTTTGAACGACATTGGCAACTTTTGCAAGGCTGTAACTCCATACCCGTTTGTCTTAAAATATTGCCACACGATCTCCTCCTCCATTTCAAACGTCACTTCCACTACATTCACATTTGCTCGAATTTTCCACCCGACCATATTGTAATTTTTTAATTATCGTCGTATTGGTCCACTACATTACAATACTACATTAGAAATTTCATGTAAAATTCTATTGTTATATTTGGATCCTTCCTCCATGACCACGAAACCTGTGCCTGTATACGTCGTATTGCCCACGTCTACACTCATCCACTCACCTTCACGCGACCATGGCATTGCTCTCAATACAGAAAAATTACATCGTTCATTTGGGTGTGAATTGATACAAGAAGCTGGGATTCTATTGCGTTTACCTCAAGTTGTCATGGCTACAGCTCAAACACTTTTACATCGTTTCTATTATCGGAAATCTCTGCATGAATTTGATGCGTTTCGTGTCGCTCTGAGCTGTTTATTTCTTGCTGCTAAGGTCGAAGAAAAGCCCAAACGAATTCATGAGGTTATTGGAGTCTTTTACGCCATGTTTCGACGTCGGAAATGGAAAAATACGACAGTGACACAAAAACTCATGGACTTGAACGGTCCGACGTTCAGTCAATGGCGTATGTGGCTCATTATGGTTGAACGTCAAGTACTTATTGACTTGGGCTTTAGTGTCTATAACGTAACGGAACATCCACATAAATATGTACTGTACTATGTCAAAGTATTGAATGGCAGCTCACAACTTGCACAACAAGCCTGGGGATACATTAACGACAGTCTACGGACCGATCTCTGTGTGAGATTTAAAGCTCAAGTTATTGCTTGTGCTGCTATTTTCTTAGCCAGTAGATTCCAAGAAGTGGCACTGCCCGAAGATCCGCCATGGTACGCGTTATTTGACGTGGAAAAGACACAGCTGTATGCTGTGAGTATGGTGATCATGGAACTGTACAAGCAAGAGAAGTTAGAGTGGCTGGAACCGCTTACGGAGGCAAATCCATTTGCAGTGGATGATTGCCCTGTTGAAAAAGAGGTATCGGGTCAAGAAGAGGAGTCTGTCGCTGTTGACAACAAGGCCGAGACGGGTCTTTTGCCGCAGGAATTGTCAACCATTGCAAGCACAGATGCATCAGTGTCTGCAACAAATAAGAACTTGCAAGAGGTAAAGGTTGCCTCAGCAAAATCTTCTAAGCGACACAGTCGCTGGGACAATGGACTCGTCAAATCTCACCGCGACCGCAACCGAAGTCCAAGACGTTCTCGCAGCAGATCTGACGAGCGTAGGCGTGAAAAGATTAGTGGCACGCATAGCTACCGACGACGTAGCCGTAGCCGGTCAACAGACCAATCAAGGAGCCATCGAATTCAAAGACGCCGTAGTCGAAGCTACAGCCGCAGTCGTAGTAGAAGTTCGGGTCGTTACAGACGTGGGGCTCGATCGTGAACTTTGTTGAAACAATGTTAAGAAAGGTGAAACTTCTTGGGGGGTGACACGAATTGAATGACGATGAATGAAACAATGTCGTGCGGGTGTCTCAACTCGATACAATGTCATCAAGTAAATACTCATCGACGGCATCAGCAACATGAGAATTGCGTACCTGGTAACGAAAATGATCCACTCGTTCTGGAATCTCAACTTTAAACATATCTTGCAATTGCAGGCACAGCGCGTGTGCGATTCACCGTCCGAAAGTATCACAAGTGCCTTGTCTCCATGCAACTTCCTTCCACAATTGGAACTCCCTTGACCGCGTAATAGCTGAAGATCACTGGAAAATGTGTGATGACCCTCTATCTCTTCAAGCGCATTGGTTTGAGTGATGAATGCGGCATTCGTTGGCCAGAAAGCCTTAAGAATTGCACCATGGCATTCATGCACTGGTCCGTTTGAGAACGAGTGATGACATCAGCCTTTAGAAGTGGCAAGTCAGGATAAAAGTAAAGCTTCTCAGACTCAAGAAACCCAGCGAGCACGTCACGACTACACTATCAGCTTTCACCTTGCTTGCATTAGTGCACTCGATAACTGCACCAGTCGTGTCGTCATAGTTGATCGAGGAAACACTTGCATTAGTGCGTAGCATGCTCCGCATTGGTGCTGCATAACACTCTTCATTCCATAAGTGACCAAACAGTGAGCACTAGGGTCGTCTCTCATGCAAATGTAGATCACAACTATCGAGTGCCATCATCTTTTAGACAACTCGGACATGAACTTGGATGCAGCCACAGATTGCGAGCCACTTGATCTCCTTGAGTTCAATATTGATCTCTTGCGTCAACTCTGCTATCGGGATCCCTTCCATACCAAGCATCCAAGCTATTCTTACATTCACCTTCACTGGCAGGCTCGTCACGAAAGGCACGAGTGAAAATCCGTCCGCCAATGCGTAGCTGAGCGCCGACAACCCCAACTCGACACACAACGACACTCATTTTAGCAGAAATTGAATGGTTATGCGCACATCTACGCCGTTCGTGATTCAGTAGCATCTAGCATTCAATTGTGACCGTTTGAAAATTGAGCATGGAATTCTCTGAAGATATCGACGAGAACGAATTAATCGATGCTTTCGACGCCCAAGAGGCTGAAGCCCGTGCCTCTACCGAGTCGACCAACCCTTCAACGCTCCACAGGGACGCGTCCTTTCGACAACCGACACGTTTAAACGTTCAGGAATCTCAGGGGAAGACGAGAATTCCAACGCTATACCCGACATTTGACAGTTCTGGTCCGAAAATTCCTGTCGTAGGCACAATGACACCAAAGCAGCAGCATCAGATGAGTCTAACAAATGCACAGACAATCGATCCTGCTCCAACTCACCGAAAGGAAGAATCGATGACGGACGTAGAGCTACAGAGAAAACGACAAGAGGTTGAACGCGAGATGAGCGTGTACCAAGAACGGTTTGATTACATAGCACACGCCCTGGCGGGTGAAACCCCACATCAAATCCAAAAGCGTAAACAGCGCAAGGAGGAACGAATAGAGCGACAGGAAAAGCGGCATGAAGTTGTAGAGATGCGTCTACAACATCGGCTTGAACGTTTGGAGGAACGAGAAAAACGCCGAACTCGATTTCAAGCGAGACATGATCAAGCTCGTAGAAGTCCGTCGCCAAGTAGGGACTGTGAAAGTCAACGTAATCTACTGGAGAATGTGGGGCTTCACAGCAAGAACGGTTAGCAGTTGCTCTGAAAACAAGAAGAACTTACATTTCACGATGGTAACTGCAAAGTGAATTGATTAACGTCCTTCTTCCAGTTGAACCTGCTTCGTGAACCTCATCACATGAGGTTCACGAAGCTCATACACGAGGCATCTTTCCACGACAATGATCGATGCAATCACTTACGATAAAAAAGCTCGCAGTAACCTAAGGCAACGGTAGAGGCTTCGTTTCTCGCGCGAGGTATGCGTAGGCTTCGGAGTCATCCTTTAGTAACGGCTGGAGCTTGTCATGTACTTCCTTGTGGTACGCATTCAACCACTTGATTTCCTCGGGCGTAAGCAGACTCACGTTAATGAGCTTCTGTTGAATAGGGACGATAGTGAGAGTCTCGAACTCGCAGAACACACGATTGAGGGGGCTCGTGATGTGAGGAGCCTAATGCATGCACGTAGTTAAAGTTAGCAATAGTCAGAGCTTTGTGCTACCAAATGAACACGGCAAAGAAATGCATGTGTGCGGGGCTTACCTTCTTGACAACCATGACGCTCTCAATACGAATACCAAAGTTACCGTCTTCATAGTAGCCAGGCTCATTACTAAGGGTCATACCATCTTGAATCTTTAAGCCGTTCGGGTTCAAGCGGAACGACATCAACTGTAAATAATTGTCAGCAATTACAGTAGCAATAGTGGACATGTTTAAACGACGCTTTTTACTTACCACTCCCTTTTCGTGTACGTCAAGGAACGCGCCAACACCGTGGCCAGTTCCATGGCGGTAGTCCAGACCAGCCTTCCACAAAGGCGCACGCGTAATGGCATCAAGTTTGACGCCGTCGATCTTGTCAGGGAAGACGGTACTCGCAAGAGCAATATACGCCTTTAGAACGTGGGTAAAGCACGCCCTTTCATAGGTAGTAGGCTGTCCAAAGTGAAGCGTTCGAGTGACATCGGTCGTGCCGTCCAGGTACTGAGCACCAGAGTCGTTCAAATACATAGCAGACGTCGACATTTTGGCACAATTGTCACGCTTCGGCGAGTAGTGGATGATGGCTCCATTCGCCCCGGTCGCCGAAATGGTTTCAAAGCTCAGTGACACGTAGTCTTTCATTTGCTGGCGAAACTGTTCCTGCTTGTCTGCGACCAGCACTTCGTCCCACTGGTCCTCGTGACCAGCATCCATCTCCTTTTCAAGCCAACTAAAGAACTTAACAAGTGCAGCACCGTCACGAAGGTGCGCCTGACGCATACCTTCAATTTCAACAGTGTTCTTGATCGCTTTTTGGGCCATGACTACCGAGGTGTCTTCCTTGCGGTTTGCAGCCGGTATGGCAAGGAAAACAGCAACGTTGCATTGTGCGGGGTCCACGAGAATTTTCGTGTCCTTGTTAGCTAAAGTGAAAGCCGAGACATCTTTCAACGTACTTGAGTACGGCTTGCAAACGACCCCAGCTGATCCCAAGTACTGAGTCACCTCATCCTGGTTTGCCGCATCCAAAAACAAAGTTGCCGAGTCACGAGTCACGACAGCATACGACGTGCTAACGTCCACAATAGTCAACAATAACCACATTAGATACGTGTTCAGTAGAACAACATGTGAAGAAATCAGTCTTTACTCACACAACGGGGTTGAACTTAACGTCGTTGCCACGAATATTGAACAGCCACGCAATGTCGGCAAGCGCAGTGAGCACGATAGCATCCGCCTCTTTTTTCTCGACCATCTCGCGAAGATTCTTGAGCTTGTTTACAACAGAACAACCAGTGTATTTTTCCGATAGAAAAGTCACGTGCGAGGGCGATACAACTGGACGGTCCTTCCAGACAAGATCCACCAAATTATCAGTCTCATGCAGAGCCACGAGTTCAATTGTTGTCTCCTTCAGAGCTTTGGCAATATTCCTACACAATAAAATATAAAATAGTGAGCCATATGACGAACAAACAAGTCGTGATGATGGATTATGGATACATACCGAGCTGTAGCCACGGATGTCAAATATGGGTCAATAGCCAGACAGCTGTTACTCGGGAAATTTGTTTGTACCCATTTCTGTGTCAGAAAAAGTACAGTATACCATATGAGATCAGCAAATACTATCTGAGACTATAAAAAGGTCTCGTAACACAAAAAAGAGACGCATTATAGTCCCCACCTCAATTGTAGCCACATTGGGCTCCTCGGACTTCATGAGCGTCCAGTCCTCACTGAGTTCCTGCTCTGCTTGTAGAAAATAGCGACCATCGGTCCACATCAACGCCTTGTCTACCGTCACTAACGCTGTCCCATTTGATCCCGTGAAGCCTGTAAGAAACTCACGTCGCTTATGAGCGTCCCCTACGTATTCACTTTGATGGGCATCGGCTGTATCCACTAAAAAAGCCTGCAACGGTCGCCCTGTAATCGCTATCACGTCCCCCTTATCTGTCTTGCCCAATAGATGACGCAGAGGTAACAGACGCACGTTCGTACGATTCATAAGCGTACGTAACTCACGCAACTTATCGGCAGCCAACATGAGTGAAAGAGTGATGGTCACTCTTCAAAATGCACCAAAAAAGGATGACACAAAATATACCAGATGGACAATAAATAGGTCTTGCCTTTTTTCTACGCCACTTCGACATGGAGTGACCAAATGGCTACGAAACGTTGCAAGATGTCTTGGAATGGTCTCGAGGCGTCAATATCTTGTCTTTAGCCTGTGGATACGGCATCGTCTTGGGCTCGTGCTCCACGTTCCACCCTGTGCGTAGTGCAATCTCTTCTGCAAGCACTTTGGCGATCTTAATATGGCCACTGACAGCGTAGTGCATCATAGACGCATAATCTTCTTTCTCGAGACCTTCATCTACCTGTTTGTGTTTTGACACCGTTAGCCACACCTTAGATAGATATAAGAACACTCGGATGATCAATCGCGCATATATACCTTGATAAAGGTGTAGTGCATCTTGTCGTCATGCTTGCTGACCTTGGAGATTGCGACTTTAATAATCTCTTGCAGCTGTAATGACACAAATTTGCGGTTCGTTTCCAAGTCTTCCGAGCTAATGCAGCCGTCGTCATATACCACACAGAAAATGTGTGCGTCTGGACGGTCTACATGACAGCATTGAGAAATCAATCAATGTCCACGAATACATTACGAGATGAAAACACTTACAGGAGCGCACTTCGAGCAAAAAAGCCGCATAACCCGTGATAATGTCTGTCTCCGCTGATGCGGGTGGTGATAAGTCGTTGATGCCGAGGTTGATCACCACGACATCAGGTATCCAGCTGGACATATCCCAATCACCTGGTCGAGATGCTAGCGTGTTCTTCCACAAGACCGGCATGTTAGGACCCCAATCTGCAGAGTTGCTGTGGACACCCTTACTTCACAAGGCCAAACACAGCACGTCAACTACAAAGAGCGTCTTTCAACAACAAACAGCAAAAACAACTTGCCCGCTCCACGCCAGCACATGTTCTTCAGCATCAAACATACGCGCCGTCACACACGCATAGCCGTTGTAGACGTTCTCCATACGCCCCTTCATTCCGAATAAGTTTTTGGCGCTGCTGGCTTTGCCCTCGTTGCCAAAACCACAAGTATCCGAGTCGCCAATAAACTCCATTTTACGTATAAATTGCGGCTCAGATTGATCCACCGAAAAGACCTCAGCTTTTTCCTCGACAATAAACCCATAGAATGTGCAAACCTGTCAAAAGTACCATCATGACCGCTTGTAAGAAAGTTACCCACCGATAACACTAGATACAAATTCCGAACTAGACCGCACCTTGAATGTAGACATCGCACCTCGCATCTGTGGCTCAGTGCGCTTACAAATTCGGATCGTGTACTTAAGACTCGTGTCCAGATCAGTTGCCACTGCAAATGACCAAAATGACCCCGTCAGCAAATGAAGTCATACAAAATTGCATTAAACCCGTCGACTCACCATCGCAGCACGTCGCATTCAGTGACGCACGGAGGATGCAGCAAAGCTCATCATTTACAAACACGTTAAAGTAGTTACCTGTCCATCAATTCAATATCTCATTAGCAAGAAGTATCCACCAAAACAGCCGGATCTTGTCAGACAGACGTCGGATCGCCCGCCCCTCTCATTAAGTTCAGTGCGTGGCATTTTTCGAACCCCATGCCCATCAATCCGACGCTGTCAATAATTTCCCAAGTACTCATTAAAACGCACCATCTCCTTTCAATCGAATTGCGACACAACTGGTACCTTGAACAGTGATCTGAAACGTCACAGCTGGCCAGTCAAATTGCACGGTATTGATCTTAGTTTTACGTTTGCATTGTGCGCCATGATATAGCAATCGTCCCGTGTATTTGATAAGGTCACGGGCACAGGCCGGTACAAAACGGAATGTGCCGTCTTTATACTGCGTCACATCAAATTTATACACATTCTGTGAAGCGTCGTCGGCATCCGTGACCTCTTCGTGCTCGTGCTCGTTGTCGTCGCTCATGCAGGAGATGGCGACGACACGCGCGTCTGTCGTGCTTGCAGGCAGAAGTGACACTGATGACAACGATGAACTGTCTCTGCCGCGACTGTCTCCATTGTCCAACTGAGACATGCTACGACGTGCGAGCCAACGTCCACACGAAGACCCCGGAGGTTCTTCGTGCATTACGAAGAAAATGCGTTCGAACGATTTAATTTCTATATTAAATTGTAGAGGTTTCTGTAGCAACATGGCTACATTTACAAGAAATATCTCACTCGGACCAATTGCGTTCTACCGCATTCATTTGCATGAAGCCCAGCTATAATCAACTCAACATGACGTATCGAGGCAATGATGGATGACTGCATGGCATGAGCTCTACATCAACTTGGTGTGCTATCTGCGAGCGGCGGTGAGCGCGCATTGCAGTATCTGTGCCAATATCTCTAGCGTCAACTTTTACGCACAGATTCATAGTGCACGCGTGACTAATCTAGGCGCTAACCTTGTCAACAACAGATCTTGACCTTGTGAGCGCAGATTAATGGCCATAATTCATGAACGGGTCTTGAGACACGGCATAGGATGTTCCAGCGATATGCAAGAGCTCGTACAAGTATCGATCGATTTGGTTTGTAACTCTTGAGATCACGTGAAGATACTTCTTTCGTTAAACCGTAGCTTGGCGACAAACGTGCCGACCATTACGTGTCTCCAGTACAAATACAAAATGACTATTCAGATCTTCCAAAAGCCATACAGAGACATCAAAGAGCGGCAGTTCCGTATAGAAGTCTTCTCCAATGACCTTGACAAAACCTGATGCAGTAGAATTCTATTGCCGTCCTTGTTACGCTGCGTCAGTAGAATTCGGTGCCGCTGCTGTCCTGTGGGCGACGTCTTCCATTGTCCAGATTAAACTTGTCCACAAACCTCTTGAGTCCAGTATTAAAGAGGCTGCAGCGGATTGGCATCTCCAGCTCATAGAATGGATTCTGTGCACAATCAACACGTTGTTAACAAAGATGTCTTTATCACAATTGGGTATACAGCTCGATACCTTTAGTACGTAGTCCACGTATAGTTCGTATACAGTCTGCAATGCCACATCAAGATCAGGCGTCCCCAATGCTGCTGTGATAAAGAATTTAATACCCGTAGGCGTCTGAAGACATTGGAGACGAAAAGTGCCGGTCTCGAGACTGTCGATTCCACCGGAATGAGTAGGTGCTGCTAATGCTGCAATGGCGTGCATACTATGAAAGGTAGAGCCTAGACGTAAGTGGTCATTTGAGCTCAGCTTGGGCGCTGCAGGGCTCAAGTCCTGGTGATAGATGAGCCCCCCGGCCTTGTTAATGATATACAGCGAATGTAGCATTATTTTTGGATTTTAATGTGATTATGATGATTTACATGACGTTTCTACCCCAAATAGAAATGGCTACAGCATATTTCCTGTATGGATACATTATGTACTACACCTTACAAATGAGCAAGTCGCTCGCTATCTTCTACGTCTATTGTTTATTGGTTTGTACTGAAATACGTTATTTGAAATGTAGCGTAACGGCGTCATGGTGAATAGCAGGATTTAGACGATCGAATGAATGGTCAAGAACAAGCATAATCGACATGCTTATCACAGCGACAACTTGATGCCAAACTTCGTTGCAGCACTGTGCTTCGATGGAGGAATCTACGCGGTACGTTCGCCTTTAACACACCACTTGTTAGCACTTTCTGGAACTGCGTCGCTGTTGACTCTGTTAGCTGTTTCGTACAAGAGTCCTTTTGACGCGCTAGATCCAGCGATTCGAGCAAAAGCAAACTCATTCCACTCACGCCATCCATGAAACGATGTAAGTGCGAAAGCAACGCGCGAGCTGGCAGCTCGTAGCTTTCCCACTGTTGACATTCTTTTCTTACACCAGTCACCCTCTTAGGTCTTGCAGCGATTCATGTTTTGCGTAGGCGTCACACTGCTTGAATGCAGCGTAGCCGATTGCATCTCTCCGGAGCTGGTCAAACTTGCGACATTCTTAATGCAGGAGTTCTTTCTCAATGCTAGCTGGCGCTGACATACACGCTCATTCTTACCATAGTGTCAGCCATTATCTTGGCGGACATGAAGTTGCTCACTTAGACGACCAAAGTCGTGCGTGACCAGGATGATTACGAACTTAATGTAAAGCCCCAAGCACGTCATCATGAACACGTCAGTCAGTGGTAAGTCAAAATGTTAAAAATTAAATATCGAGGGTTTTCCTGTATAAGTTGGTAATCTACCTGCAATATGCGATCGTACCCTCTTTACACGGTAGAGCACAAGCGGACAACACGATTTTGGACCTTACTCAGGAATCAGTCAAGACTGTAGTTATTGTGTAGCGCACACCTATGACCGTTGCTATATTGTAAGCTCATTCCATGTTGGCATGAACAACGTCGTATGTATGAGGGCTCCTATTGATAGTGTTACGTTCATCTTGCGTCGTTCTGATTAAATGATATTAATATGGTGTTTTTATATGCCAAAATTATCAGAAACGTGGCTGCCTCTACCCTACACTTTTATATCTTATTAGACCTTTTATACTGCCAAAGTCAATATTACCTGTTACTACTGATATTCCTCTTAGTATACGTACCTGTATTCGGAAGCGAGGCAGCCACTCGTTCGTACTCAATCTCTTTTATCCAATCATTACACGCGAAGATGCCATGTAAACGCTGTGATTGGTGGACTTGACGTATCCGGTCAGTGTGTGGCGGAGAAGCCAGCGAGCCACGTACCTCAGAGGACGCCCCCTTCGATCATTTAGGATTTTTCTCCGTGTCGCTTAGTCCTTTTTTTCTAGATCCCTCTTCCTCGTACAGTCAAGATGAGTGCTTTATCTGCTTACAAACCCGTTGCCACATCGGAAAAGAAAAGTGGTGCCGTGTCATTCTTGTTGGATTTGGCGGCTGGTGGTGTCGCTGGTGGTATCTCCAAGACTGTCGTAGCTCCTATTGAACGTGTGAAGCTTTTGCTTCAAGTGCAGGCCGCATCGACTCAGATCAAGGCTGAGGACCAATACAAGGGTATCGTTGACTGTTTTGTCCGTGTGTCCAAGGATCAGGGTGTAAGCTCTTTGTGGCGTGGTAATTTGGCCAATGTCATTCGTTACTTCCCCACCCAAGCGCTAAATTTTGCCTTTAAGGACAAGTTTAAAAAGCTTTTCATGGATGGTGTGACGAAGGAACAATTCTGGCGTTTCTTTATGGGTAACTTGGCTTCGGGTGGTGCTGCTGGTGCCACTTCATTGCTCTTTGTGTACCCTCTTGACTTTGCTCGTACTCGTCTTGGAGCTGATGTTGGTAAGGGCAAATCCCGTCAATACACTGGTCTGGCCAACTGTCTATCGACGATTTACAAATCGGACGGTCTCTCGGGTTTGTACCAGGGCTTTGGCGTGTCCGTTGGTGGTATCATCGTGTACCGTGCTGCCTTCTTTGGTGGATACGACACTCTTCGTGACATTGCTCTGAATGACCCCAAGAATGCCCCTGTGTGGCAAAAGTGGATGGTCGCCCAGACGGTCACGTCCATGGCTGGTATGATCTCGTACCCTTTCGACACGATTCGTCGTCGTATGATGATGCAGGCTGGTCGCAAGGACATTCTGTACACGTCCACGGTTGACTGTGCGAAGAAGATTCTCAAGAACGAGGGATCGGGTGCTTTTTTCAAGGGTGCTGGTTCTAACATTCTCCGTGGTACGGGTGGTGCCATTGTATTGGTGCTGTACGATGAGTTCAAGAAACTTATCTAGACAGTGGCTTGCTCTCAAAGCAGTTGCTCATGGTGGATCGACTTGAGTAAAAGTTGATAGCTCAAGACCAACACTCCCAGGAAGAAATGGCGAGGTTGTTTTACATAGACACAGATATATTCCGCACATCGAGGGAGGGAGTTTGAATGAATACCTTGTCATTTGTTTCTACCATCGTGTACTGCTTGAATCACGTCCTTTTAAAGGTATCGGTCAACTAGTCAACACGTGTTTGTGCTACTAGACCTGGGAATACAAAAGAGCTTGGAAGAAGTTTCAACAACGCTGCTGCTTGATTACTGTATTACTTTTTTCTTGCATCAATCTGTTGTCTATCAGCGCTTTTGCTCCATGGAATAGAAAGATCATCTACTTACTTAGTCTCTGGTGATGCTGACAAAAAATAGTCAAATGATGACTTTGCACACAAAATGCCTAGTGCAAGCAGGAAGCAGCCCAGCCCACGCATTATTAAATCAATAGTGTGGTTTTTCAGGCGCTGTGCGGATACAACACACGTTTGTTAGCACCTTTGCGGGACAACTTTTCATCACCAACACAGTTCACCAACCTGCTTGTACTTTTTCAAGAGCGAAAGCAGCAAGTAAAACCACGTTGAAACGCCGCAGCAAACACCAACCGCAAACACGACAGCCAAGAATAGCGTAAACTCGAGCATGCCGGTGCCGTACACTTCAACCCACAATCACGCAAGAATTACAAAAGATATACGTTAGCTTGAGCACGATACTTGACTGCAGCGAAACTGCTCTAACCTGATGCAATAGCACCAGTATAGGACGCAAGCAACGCCGGGTTGATTCCGGACATGGTAAGTCCCATAAGGATATTCTTGCAAACTTCGCCCTGTGGTCCTTGCACTGAAGCTTCAAGGTCCGGATCGAGTGACGGTTTCATGTCTGCCTTTAAGAACACAAAGCCAATTAGCGTGAACATAATTGCTCCAAGCACTCTGTCAGTATCATCACAAGACGTTAGTATGTCTTAGTTGAAACCATATTCAAAATCCAAAGCCACATACTTGGACAGTGGCAGTAAAAACTTGGCTCCAGCCAAGAAACTGCCAAAGCCCCAAAATGCAAAACCTGCATACGTCTACAAACATAAAAAAACATTAGCAACAACAAAGTACATTTGCGAGCTACAAGACGTTTTCTAGTAAAGTCTTGTCGTTTCTTACCGCTTCTGATATTGCTCCACCAATTGCAATAGTCAGTCCCGCTGTATATTTTCCTTGAATGCCAAGCTTTAACACCATAGCGGACGTAGGTCCAGCAATAGGCACGGAACCCAAAAAGCCAAAGCAGAAGCCAGCAACCAAAGGCAGCAGGAAACGTAACACTAGCGATACTTGCGTCGTAAACTCCGATGAAGGTATCGAGTCTGTAGATTCCATTGCTTCTTCTGTCTCTTTCTCCATATCTCCATCTCCATCTGATTCTATCGACGTTGGAACGTCAATTAAGGGCTTCGTCCGGACAACGTCTAAAGGCTGGGGAAGAGTCACTAAAGAAGGTGCTGGAACCTCTGGAGATAAGCGATAGAACAGCAAAAACAACAGCATAAGAGCGGTAATACCTCCAATTACTGCACCTAAACGTAATCGACGGTACGGTTTCCATACATTGCGTATACTACGTTTGTACAGAGGCACCATGGACACTTAATTTTGTCGTGTCGTTTTGAGTATTGTCGAGTTATTGTCGTTTTACGCACAGCATTTCCCTCGATTGAATGACATCGTCTGGTTATCTAGCATTTTTTGACCAATCATCACGCGCGAATGCGAAACGACGCGATATTTATAGCATGCAACACCTCAACTCGTGTGCACCACATCATGACCATCGCTTTACAGAAAAACTTGCCTATAGTGATACTGCCTGAGCTGATAATTTCTCATAATTGCTACATTTAATAACAAGCTGAAGCTCCAGCTTACAACGTGAAGGTAACACTTCAAGTTGTCTGTTCAATTAGAGTGACAAAAACACAATCGGCTTGTGATCCTGGAGTTTTTATTCGAAGATAACCTCACTTTGAGCGTAGTTAGCTCATCTTGCACCAAGTTGCACAACTTTGCAGGCTCACTCTGGTGCTTTCGAAAATCTAGTTCTCTCTCTTGTCCAGACGCACCTCGATCAATCGGCTTTCTACTTCCAAACCGTTCAGGCGCTCTACAGTGTGATAAATAGCATTTCACGTTAGCACAAAAGCCCATCACCAACATCACAAGAAATACTGACCGATCGCTTGCGATGCATCCGCAGCGTTCGTGTAACGAATGATACCAAAGCCGCGAGAGCGACCATCGGGGTACTCTGCAATGTCGGCACGCTCCAATTCACCCACGGTCCGGAACAGGTCTTTTAGCTGCTGCGAAGTGGTATCCCATGGAAGCTGCATAAACCAGTTATACAAACAATTAGATTCTCCGAAAGCCACAAAAAACTGACATGACGTACGTTTCCAACGTAAAGCTGGCGGCCTTCGCCGACTCCGCGCGGGGCCGCGGCACGCTTAGCAAACTTTGAAATGCTGCCACCCTCGGGTTCCCTGTCCTCGCGGACAAAAATGACTCGGCCTTCCAGCTCGGTACCATTAAGCTCCGCAATGGCTTTTGCAGCTTCCTCTTGCGAGGCATACTCCACTAGCCCGCATCCCTTGGATCGACCATTGGGCTCTTCCAACACTGGCCAAAGGAGTAGATAAACCATCAGCGAATTACCAAGTTTATAAAGCACATTACAGCATCATGGCAGTCTCACCATCAGCATGGACGACAGTGCCTGCATTCTTCATATGGTCCTTGAGATCCTGCCACTTGACGTTCCACGACAAATTGCCAACGTAGACCCGAAAGCCGCTCTTGGGCTTCGCAACAGACGAAGACTGTGACTCTCGGTCTTCCCGAACAAAGATCTTGCGTCCACCCAATTCCGTGTCATTGAGTGTGGCAATAGCATTTTGTGCCGCTTCCTCCGTCTCGTACGTGACGACACCACATCCCTGCAATCAATAATAAATAGTCTCTCAATTGTAATACTCTCTCATTAACTAAAAGCAGTATATCCATAGAAATACAGACCTTAGAGCGACCGTTCCATTCTAGGACTGTAGCAAGTGCCACAGGCCCTGCAGTCTGCATATGATCCTGGAGATCTTGACACTTGGTGCTCCAGGACAAATTGCCCACGTATACACGGCAACCCAAAGGTGTTGACTGCTCCATCTCGACATCTTGATCTTCTTCTGTAAATTTCCTACTCAACAGCGCAGCATCCACCCATCAGTCTCCACCCTCTTGTCGTCCTACAGAGCCACGTCATCCTCCACATACGTGCTCATTGCATTGCTATTGGCAGTTGCAATAACGTCATTCTTGCGTTCCTGTACGATTTGGTCCAATGACATGTCCAGCTTCTTCTCCGTGTTGTTCGATGCCATCGTTTAGCCACGTCTTGTCCTGTTGCTTGATAACTCAAATTATCAACTGAGACGTATCAAGCATTGGTGACGACAGAGATACTATAGAGAAAGCTAGTGAATCGCTTTAGACAGGAAGATCATGACGTGACTTGTTTCATTGGTGGAAAACGATCCGCCGTCGGAAAACCATGAAAAACCGGTATCTTAAGATCGCAAGACATAACTAGAGTGGCTACTTAATCGAGGAAAAGACAAATAATTACTGAGATAGTGCCAAGTGTAATTTATGTTGTAACCTTTTGTACAATTGGTATTTCCTTCATTTGGACCAAAATGGGGAGCGATACTATAATCATCAAGGGCAATAAACGCCTCTATGAGGACGAAGGCGACGCAAAGGAGCGTGATGAGGGGGCAAATCTGCAGCCACTGGATGTATTGTCCATGCAACAGCTACTACAGTCCATGGGAGCAGACAAATATGAACCACGAGTCGTAGCGCAGCTGCAGGAATTTATGCACCGTATGGAAACTTCAATTCTTTGTATTATTTATTCCAATAATTGGCCAAAATCATTACAATAAATTGTTTTGTGATGTAGGATACGTAACCGAGATACTTGTGGACGCTCAGGAATATTCCATGTATGCGGACAAGCAGGTAGAGTCAACACAAAACAACTCAACAACTCTAGAAAACGAGGCGTTACGCTGCCCAAATTGTTGTTAAATTTGTTATTGGCACAGACGATTGGCCCAGACGATATCCGGCTGGCTGTTGCATCAAGGTTGAACCATCACTATGCACAAGTGCCACCCCGGGACGTGAGTTATGCGTGTTGATAATGAACATTTGAAGCTGATTCCTGTAAAGTACTGAAGTAGTCGGATGTTGATTGCGTAGCTGATGATGGAGCTAGCCGACAAGCGCAATAGTATTCCGCTGCCCCCTATCTCGAACGAGTACGGCGTGCGTCTTCCGCCGCTCCAGTATCAATTGGTCACGAAGGAAATTCACAAACAGGATCAGGTGCGACCAATTGGAACGACAATAAGCTTGATGATCTCGCAACCAACTTGGTGTTATTTTCATTGTTGCTGCAGAAAACGCCGAACACGCCTCGTCTTGGTGATGTAACAGGCCTTGGAGGTGGGATCAGAGGAGCAGCTCGACCGCCAATGCACCCGCGCATTGAGGGCTCGCGCAACAAGAAATTTGCTCGTAGTCCTATTCCCATTAACCTTAATCCGAGCATGTAGTGCTCGTGTTGCATTGCTTTACGAAGCGTGACATGTTGTCATATGGCTGTTTGGGTAGGCTGGTGCTACTATCTCATAGCAGCGAGGTCGTGGGCTGCTGATCCTACATCTTGCCTTATCGCCATGCAAGCAGCAGGCAGTTTTCGAGACTGTCGTTGGTGTCACAGTAGTGAACAAGACGTGTCTTCATTCCGAAATGCTCTAGATACGCTGCGCGCCCGGCATCTATGATGCGCTTGCATTTTCGTCCCAAAAGTGCTCGATCATCTTTACTGAAGTACAAACCACCACGAACGCACATCGGTTAGCTATCACCTCAGCACATACTCACTTCAGCGATATATAAACGTGTCATGACAAACCTGATACCAAGAATGTGCTCAACTGCATCGCCTTCGAGGCCCATGCCGCAGGTGGTCCAAGACGTCATGCTAGTAAGCAGTTTAAATTCCTCAGCCTTGAATCCGTGGGCTTGAAAGAACGCCGGGTTCACGTAGTCCTTCCACGCACACACGTGATGACAGCAAAGTGCAATCGCCAAACCCTGAAAGCGAGAGCTGACAGAAGCGGGCTTGCTTTTACCTGCAGGCGCTTTAACACTATTGGTCTCAGGAATTGTTTGAGCGATAGCTCGTAAAGATAGGTCAGTGGCTACCCCGCACAGATGCTTAGACATGCACACGACGGGTTTGTCTAGAATTTCTGGCATGCCAGCAAAGTTCAGATGACGAAGATCGATCTTCGCACGCAACGTAGTAGAGTTTACCTTTGCAGCTTCTTCATCCTTGCCCTCACCACCAATAAACCGATCAGCTTTGCCTCGCGTATGCGCTCGATCAATCAACACGTACAGACTTTCTGGGAACATCTGAGCCAGTGCTAACGATAGCATTCCTCGTCCAGCACCAAGCTCCACAAACGCTGCATTCGAGTCTTGCAGCAGTTTCACTTGCTCCATGTGTCCGATAATTGATGCTTGTTGTTCAATGTGCCGCAACAAGTTTCTAGATGCACCTGCTTTTTTCTTTTTTCCAAAAGCTGATCGCAGCACTGATGATGGAGTTTCTCCATCACTAGTTCACCAATACAAGACTCATATGCTGCTTCAATACGGCTGCGTAGTTCCGCAAAGTCAACAGCAAGTAATTTGTCAATGATACCTTGCTGGTCCTTTGTTGATGGTATCAAATGGTCGCTCTCTTCTTCCTTCTCAGTAGCAATTTCTTGCTGTCTTGCAGTATTAACTGACATTTTATCCTCATCTTCACTTGTGCAATGAGTCCCAGAATTGATATTGTGGCTGTAATATGGCAATTTCTTCATAATATCAGCGTCTTTAACTCGATTGCATACCAGCACGTGCTTGGCCAAATCGTACTCGTAGATAGTGTGCGATGCATCCACAGGACACGGGATACGATGCCGCGTAGTAATCTTATACTTCTGTGACTTTTTACTTGCAATGGCATCCGTAATGGGTAAATGATTGCCACAGAACAGCGAGCCAGGTACTCTAATACATCATAGTATGAGAAAGTTTGCAATCATTTCGATACAACAGAATACATACATTTTTTTACCTGGAGATATTACAGTAACGGTTCTTGCGCACAATTTTAAACATGCAGCATTTCCATTGACCTGTTTCCTTGGCTTTAGTCTTCACTTGCTTGCGTCGCTTCCTCTGGATATCGAGGAAGACCTTCTCGGTGGTCTCCATTACTGTTCAAGTGACTGGAGAGTATCGAACTGATCGATGATTGGATGAAATAAAACATTTTTATTATTTGAATCGAATAAAAAACGCTTAAAAATAATCGGATTTTGAATCAAACGTTATTTGTTTTTTTGAAAATCGCCATGGAAGATAATGCCGAACTTCAGGTATAATAAATGCACTAAATTCTCCTAATTTGATTTTTTGTATGGAACTTGTCTTACGATACCGTTAATGTGTGTTGTTGTTGTAATGTCATGTCGAGAAAAGAGGGAAGAAATTGATGTTTTACAGGTATTTAGACTACTGAGAATATGATTTATACTGTTCATATGTATACCCTATTTACTGGGAATTGATGGTGCAGACAATATTTGACAATGAGATTACGCTCAAGAGTGACTCGGATCAACTGAGTGTGACGAGATCTATTACCATTTCAGTGCCTGGTCCACGTTCCATTGTCCTCCTGGTTCATCTGCCTCAAGGTTATCCGTCCACAGACGCCCCAGTTGCTGAAATTTACGAGTCTTTTGGACTCACGAATGCTCAACGAGACGAGATCATACAAAATCTGGTACATTGCAATCTGGTTCATTAGAATCTGAGACATTGAGAACTTCTAACGAATTTGGTGAAACAGACAACAATTTTTGAACGATCGGGTGGTCAAGTTTGTCTTTACGAGTGGATTGAAAATGTGAGGGAGAAATATACCACTATTGAGCTGGATACTGCTCCAGAGAATGCCAGAGATAACGATATTAAGAAAGCTGAACTTGATGCCGTGCAATCATTCGAGTCGGACTCGCAAACGCTACGTCCTCGTGTTCGGACAGCGCAATTGGTGCGTGACTTGAAACGTGAAGCAGTGATTGCACCGCTGATAGTGCACGGTACAGCGATCGTTGACCGCAAAAGTACCTTCATCGCACACGCATGTCCTGTCAAGTGCGTTGAAGACGTACGCTCGTTTCTCGCTTTGGTGCTTGACGATCATAAGATTGAGCGAGCAATTCACAACATGCTCGCGTATCGCATTATTGGTGAATGTATCGTTAAGGATAATGATGAGGACGGAGAGCACGGAGCTGGAAGCAAACTTTCGAACCTGCTAGAGCTGCTCAAGGCTGAGAATGTGGCTATCCTGGTGACGCGATGGTACGGTGGTATAAAGCTTGGTCCTGATCGCTTCAAGCACATTAACGCATGCGCTCGACTAGTACTGGAAGAAAACGGGCTTTTGAACGAGGCAAATCTCCACCACGGCACCAGGAAGAAAAAGAAGAGGTAATGGAGCAACAAATACTGTCGCTAACGATACAATGGGAATACTTCAAGTCGTCCTTATGAGAGTATAAGCAGAACCTTTGATTGTCATGTGATTCTTAGAATGTGATTGTTTATTCATACCCGCAGCGGTGCAAGACAATAAACGCAAGTACCTATAATTATTCAAAAGCATTGTGTAGCTCTACAAAATGCGGTTGCCCATCGCCGACGAGATGAGCATCAGTGCCATGTCCACCGTGATTTGGGCACCATCACCCGGCGCCAGTTTCGGGTTCACCTCGACCATGTCCAGTCCGACCAACAAGTTGGTCTCCCCCACAGCTTCCGCAACATAATGCGCTTCGCGCCACGTGAGTCCACCACGCACGCGTGTGCCCGTCGAAGGTGCCACCAACGGGTCCACCGCGTCGATATCGTAACTCACATGAAGTGGACGCTGCTTTTTACCACCAAGATGGTCAAGTGCCATTTCCATGGTCTTGCCAATACCATATCGATCCACGTCCTGCATCGTAAACGCCTTGATTCCCTTTTCATGAATTACCTGACGTTCAAACTTGTCCACATCACGTAGACCAATATACACCAATTGTTCTGGTTTCATCGTCGGGCCATGAACAAGCCACTCGAATCCTGGAATCTTGGAGCTGTCCATCATCCCTTCCATAAGGAATGAAATTGGCATGCCGTGCATATTGCCAGAGTCCGAGCCCATAGGCGTGTTGATATCAGCATGAGCATCTACCCAGATCACACCTGCATCCGGGTGCACCGATAGCAAACCTGCAAGTGATCCTGCTCCAATTGTATGGTCACCTCCTAATACCAAGCAGAACTTGCCTTCTCCTGTCTTTTGCTTGAAGATTTCGTACAATTGCTTCAATCCATTGCCAACTAATGCATCATTTCAATCATTAATAACCTCATAATAAAACTAAATATCATCTCGAGACTGACCGGGAAAACACTGTTTAGCTTTGCCATAGCTCGGGTCCATTACTGGATCATTAGGAGACGGGACAGCAAAGTTAAGATTGCCATTTTCTTCTACGGACCAGCCCAAATCCACCAGCGTCTTGTGTAGTCCCGCCTCCCGTAGTAGATCAGGACCATCGTCCGTACCGAGCAAAGGCTGTCCGTCTATAGAAAGGACAATTCCCAGATAGAGGGTATAATGTTAAAAGTAGAAAAAAGGTACGTTTACTTAAGCGCTACATCAGAGCAGGTACATGTCATGGGAGCGCCAATGATTGATACAGTCTGCGGAAGATGCAGCAGCATGTTTCGTTGATTCTTTGCATGAATGTGAGGACGCACGTGGTCCCATTGACAACAAGAGGAGTTGGAGATACCGCGTTGTTGGACATGGTACACGAAAGAGGAAGCTGCACGACGCATTATTTAGGAAGATCTGATTATGACGACTTTAGATGGATGAAGTAGTTATAAAGTACTAAGTATACTGATTAAGCGCTACACAAGAATCAGACGATTCAATGCCACTAGGATATTGTTCGAGATTTTATCCAATTAATGAGGTATTGGGCAACACGATAGAAATGACTTCTAAAGAATCGTTTCTCGACTAACAGCAAAAGTGGGGAGCTAATTGGAAAAATTTTTTTTTTTTATAAATGTAGTAAATAATCATCACCCAATTCATTAATTTTAAACCCTCACATTTGAAAAAGCCCAATATGCCATGGAATGCCAATAACAACCCAGCGGGTGATATTCGTGCACCGGCCATAGCAGCAGCACTCCGTCTTCAACAGCAAAAGACTACAGATACAACTGCAGTCTGGACGTGTTTGCTGCGTGTCGAGGAACTGGACGAGCTGCCGCTTTCTCGCGATCAAGTTTCGACGTTGCGTCATTGTGCTCTACTCCATCCCGAGGATTTTCCTATTGAAGCTTCTGGACCAGATGGAGCCGTTCTAATACATCCGAGATTGCACGCACAATTTGTATTAGCTGTTCGTCAGCACGTAGCAGTTCCAAGAGGTTTTATCGCCTTGTCACAGCCGCAATTGATTAATTTGGAGCTCTGCAGGTTCCAGACAGAGAAATGGACGCTCTTTCTAGAGCGTGTGCCTGTTGTTAATGCAGTAGCAATTGAAATACGTCCATTGTTGGAAGAAAAAGAAGATACTAAAGAGCACCATGAGGAGGTATTGACTGTGGCTGGAATCTCGACCATGACACAATCACGTGCTGCTCCAATTGTGACGGATGGGAAAGACTTTGCAATGGCGTTTGCCAAGTATACGTGGCAACGGGTGCTGACAGAGCATGAACGACTTGTCATGCCTTATAAAGATGGCCGTCGGTACTTTATTCGTGTCCTTGAAATCGACGCGGAAGATGAAGACGAGACGGAGTTTACCATGCCGGACTCGTATCGTGGTCGAGTCGATGAAGATGTGCAAGTGTTTTTATCGTCAGAGGGAGGTCAGTCCTCAACGTTTGAGTTACTGAATGCTGCAGTAACTGATTCTGCAGGTCTAGTGTCAACGCGCTCGGATGTCGTCACGGTAGTAACGAATGACGAGGAGGAGTTTCCAGTCAAAAAAAAATTGCTCTTTCCGTGCATTAAACTATCGTCAGCTGTACTTTCAGGTAAAGGTGTACACAAGGATGCCTCGACCACTATTGATGTGGACGTAGATTGCTGCACGTTTGATCGAGTACTTTTGTATTTAGAGCACGAAGCGCGCAACGACGGCACGGAGTTTCAATTTGACCCTTCCGTTACTGATGATCTTTTAGCTGCAGCCATCACAGTGGGGTGCATTGGTCTACATGAAGCTTGTCAGAGGCGTTTTGGCGAGTTTCAGACACGCGTGCGCACAGAAGCTATCCGCTGGGAGGAAGTCATCCGCCGCAATCAGTCGGGCGAGGTGTGGCTTGTTATGCAAGGAATGGTACTGGACATTACACGATGGATTCCAGAACACCCAGGTGGCTCGGAATTGATTGCCCAAGAAGCCATGAACGTAGACTCGACAATCATGTTTGAGATCTATCATGCTAGTCGGCAGTCGTTTCGCTATCTCAAGCAATTCTACATCGGGGAGTTATCCGAGTTTGATCTTGTTACAATGCCTAAACCAACAGGGCAGTCGTCCGAAACTTTTCTCGAGGAGCTGCAGCAATATACGACATGGCGCATCAAACCACAAGAGCACACATTCAAGAGCTTTTAGTTGCTTTGAAACCGTTGGCGTATGTGGTATGGAAAATACAATAGGCATGCGCGGTGCACATTCGAAGAGATGCATCGATGTACAAGGGAGAAGCAGCCTGAAAGCTGTAAGGACTGGGCTCCTGTTGCAGCTTCGACTCCATAGTTAAAAAATGTTGGTGAGTTCAGATGCACATGTGAGTTTTAAATAAGTTAACACTAAAAATTTAGATATAAAAATGGTGCATAGATGCGCATGGGAGTTACTGTCGGATAATACATACCCTACCGACCCCTAAACCCGAAATGCCGCATCTTCGCTGTAACCATCTGGCCTCACATTTTATATGTATATTTCATCATCTCGGTGCGAAAAATCTGTCGAATGTTACGAGTGGATGGCGATTTACGATCTGCCCACTTCTCACGTTCCAGACTCTTCTTTTAAACGTACGAAGCGTTTTTTTAATGGTTAGTAACAAGTTTTCGCATTGTACGCTCTTTATTTGATCGACATAAAGAGATCATCTCGAGCTTAAAAGATGAGCCGTTGCTAAGAGTAGGTATTTAAAAAGATACAGTCTCTCCATGGCACATTGCACACGTTGGTTCGATGATGTTATGTAGTAGAGGGCGAAATGTTTAGAGATTCATTCAAGCTTTTGTGTCATATTCTCTAACAAAGAAGAAATACATACCATCCGCAGACATCATTTTGACAAAGCCAGTTCAGTTTCTCTGCATATATTTTTTTTCTCATGAAGGAGCGACCATGTATGAATTGAACAAACAAAGGTTTAGCAGACAACAAGTTGGTTTAAGGTAAAAAAATCTGCCAGTTGACGTGTCATTCCAATTCTTTCGATTTTCCAATTCTTTCGATTTTCCAATTCTTTCGATTTTCCAATTCTTTCGATTTTCCAACACGGCAGAAGATCCTGCAATAATAAACCACATGAACTGGATTGACAAGTACAATGTGACTGTACCATGTTACGAGGTCATTGGCTCTAAGATTTTTTTCGTTATCAAGCTCATGAAGAATGAAAAAGGTGTTTGTGCTCCAGTGGTGACCTTGTCATCATCCAATGAGGTTTTAACGACTTTACGGTCGTATTCGCAGTTCCGACATCTCTGGAAGACACTTCGTGAGCGTCTGAATGAACCGCTTGAAACTACACGACGTTACCATCCGCTGACATTCAACTTGGTGCAGACTTGTCATTGTGCTCAGGACCACTGCGTGTTTGACGCACTGCATCCGATATTGCAGTCGTTTGCGTTTCCATCACGTCGGTCGCTTCGATCCAAGCTGTCAGGTCTTGACCACATCGCCATCAATGCGCGTCGAAATGCTCTCTCAGCTTTCGTCACGCTTGTACAAGATTTTTTCAGCACCTTTGCTAGTGTGGCATTGCAGGACATTAATTGTTTGGTACTCAAGACGTACGTGGACTTTCTAGACGCTGCGAAGCACTTTCCGATCGACGTGTCGGCTGCGCTACATCGTCCGTTAGTCTTGAGTGGATGGAGACAACAATGCGTTAACCGGGGTAGGCTGGGGCAAGACAAAGATGACGGAAAAACCATCGACAGTGTACCTGAACTAAGCGAAGTGTATCTTACCGCCCCATCGAACGCAGTCGAACCTCGAATTGCGGAGGACTCGACCTCGTTATTATCTGAAAGAGACGAGGAAAAACTTGAGCGTCCGCTACTTCTAGCTCTGGAGGTAAAGACCGTGCGAATTCACACCATGCATTCGTTCATGGAGGAATTTTGCGAGCAGGTGCTGAGTCAGTTTGCAAGCGACATTGACGAACTGGACTCGCCCGAGTTCACCCAGACGCGTCGCTGGGAGATTTGTCTATACATGGCGTGCCGAATTGGCCACACGTATGCAGTGCAGCTCATCTTGTTAAACTACGCTGACGCTAACACGGCCTTGGCGGATGGCTCGTCATGCCTGAACATTGCGGCCCGCATGGGACGAATTGAAATTGTTGCGCTTCTCATCGAAGAAGGTGCGAGCGTGAACAAGGCAAACGAAGCTGGAGTCACGCCACTAGTCGCAGCGTGCCGCAACGGGTGTCTTGATATCGTCAAGATGTTGCTTGATGCTGGTGCCGAGGTATCAGCCTGTAGCAAACGCGGCACTTATCCTCTGCACGCTGCCATTGTCTCTCAGAATATTGAGATTGTATCGATGCTTGTCGATCGTGGTGCCAACGTGAACGTCATGACTGCTAGTGGTATCACACCACTGCACTTTGCAGCCAAACTCGGTGCAGTGGCGCTTTCTGAGTACTTGCTACGCCATGACGCCGACCTCGAGAAGCGCACGAAGGACGACAGCGACGCAATGATGGTTGCGGAGGCCAATGGCCATACCACGATCTGTGAGCTGATCCAACGGTTCTCGGTTGTGGTTTCGAGCGAACAAGTAGGTTCGGATCCACATCAGCAAGAGCGACAAGGTTCTGGTCATGGTGCATTTGCTGTTGCAGCGTCGTTTGTCACGTGCAGTCGTCTAAACGAGAGAGTGACGTGCAAATCTTTTTTCTCAGAAGATAATACCTAGTATTTTGATTCCTTGTTTTGTAAGAGAAGAATCCTCACTACATGCCACATTTATATAATACTTATCGGATCCTTTGATTCCACGTCACAACATGTCGCGCTATAGAAATATCGAATACAAATTATCGAGTCTTTCAAGTCTTAAGTCAATAAAAATGAAGCTTAGACTTGTTTATGGTCGTGAGAAAAAAAGAATGATGCAAGTCTCGTCAATTATGACAGACTTTGACCGAAACAAGTCGCACATTATCAAAAGTAGTTATGGTAGATAACAACAGTGACGATGAGCTAATGATTCGTCTTACAAGAATCATGAGTATGAGATTCTTAACTGACTCAAGTAAAGATTGTGCCTATTGTGCGGTGAATGATGCATCAATGGTCTGCACAATATGCAACAAGACGTTTTTCTGCAATGAAGTACGTTAAGAGGAATAATATCGAGAGAGAGTATCGATACAAGTTACTAATGAGAAAGCATTATATTGATAATCGACATGCAAAAAGAAACACGCTGTGTACATCGTCACCTTTGTATAATGATGAGAATAGAAAAAGAAGTAGTCGAGGACGAAGAATCTGAGTCAGATGACAGATCTACTAGACACACCTGATGCGATGGCTCCGAATGATTCTGGAGTACGTAAATGATTGCATGTTATGTATTACTTGTTTTGTTTAGGGTGCTGTTGGTGTGATTATCTGTATCTGACTGCTGGTAGCCTGAAAAGAGTGCGTACATCTCAATGACTGTAGCGGACGATTCAGCGTTTAAGAAATGTGTTAAGTTAAAGAGTATGGAACTGCCAATTGATCAGATCAGCATGAAAATGGAAGGTGATGGTGTAGACCCTGCATTACTGGACAAGCCTAGCAACGTGTCGCCGAATGACGTTGGTGCAAGTCGAACTGCTATTGCTTCCTGATGGACGATATCGAATGTGTATGACGTTGAGATGATAAAGCCGCCGCTGCAAATGTCGACAGGAAATCCAGCAAGTGGAAAAACACGTCTATTCTCCAAGTCAGGGTAAAGTTGGCTGGCCCTCAACACCTGCTGCTGTTGTTCCCTACGAGCCACTGTATGTGAAAGATGATGCAAAGGATACAAAGTAGTTTAAGCTACGGGAAGTGGGAATCCCTGACGAGCAAATTAAGCGCACGATGAAAACAGAGAAGGCAGAACCAGAAGTGCTTGATCATCCAAATGAAGTGTCACCTAATGATCATGGTGTTCGCTTGCCATGATGCAAGCTGTAGAGAGGAAGTCGGCGGCACTGTGATAAAAGGATTCTGACATTGTTATTAGTGTTATCTTTTTCGTGCTAGCATGATGGACTAGTTGTTCTTGTTCTCCATCACTCTTGTCCAATCAATCACCCATCCACGCACCTGTCCAATTAATCGCTCAACTGATCCTCGAACGCCTTCCTAAGTCGTCAGCCGTTTCCTCAACTGTAACTTCAACCGTGCCTTTTTCTAACACTCCTCCTCGGCTACGACTTACCGTCCTAACCTAGGCTGATCATCTCACACAGCGCCGCGAGCTTGACTGCATCTAGCGCCTTCGTCAAAAGATCCGCTAGTTGTTGCTCCGAGCGGACGTACTGCGACACGATGATCCCGCGTCGAGCGAAGTCGCACACGAACTTCGTGCGAACATCGATGTGCTTGGCCTTTAGAGATGACGCCTCGCCTGCCAGCTGCTTCAGTGCCGCCTGATTGTCGACGTGGAGTACCATCGGTAGCGCCGGCGGCTTACCGATCTCGGTTAGCATCTCCCTGATACCAAGAAGCTCGCGCGCCTGCTCCGATGCAGCGACGAACTCCGCTTCCATCGTCGAGAGCGAGACGCCGCCTTGCTTCTTCGACGTCCAGCTGACCGGCATGCCGTTCAGGCGGATGATGCCGCCAGTCAAGGACTTTCTGTCACTCTTTTCCGCCGCAAAATCGGCGTCCGAGTACGCCTCGAGCTGGATCTTGCCGTCGAGGTGCTTCGCTGGTTCCATCCGAAGCTTGTAGTCCCGCGTCCCCTTCAGGTACCGCGCGATGCGTTTGGCAAGCTTCATATCGTGGAGTCGCGGCTGATGAATCTGACGCGTCGCCTTGTGCACGGCGAACGCAATGTCCGTCCGTGTGCAACGCGCGATCCACAGAAGACTGCCGACGAGGGACTGGAACGTCTTGATTGTTGGCGCCTTCTGCACCTTAGTCTCGGTGAGCAGCGCGCTGTCATCTGGTAGCACGTCGTAGCAGTCAGCCCCAATTGGTGCTTTCGTCGGGTTTGCATCCTCGAGCCCATGCTCACGCAGGAGCTCGCCGATCGCCTCGGCCTGGTCAAGCACGTAGCCGCCACTGTTATCAATCGTGACACGCATGCCGAGGAACTTGCTCTCGGTGCCGAGGTCCTTGATCGACAAGCTGCCGAGCTTGACGAAGAATCGGTCGACGGCTGCAGCGTCCGTGCCGGTAGCAAGTAGATCGTCGACGTAGACGCCCACGATGACCAACTGTCCACCCTCGACTTGGTAGTATAGACACATGTCGGAAATACATTGCCGGAAGCCGGCTTCGAGCAGTCGAGCGTGCAGGAGCTGGCTCCAGAGTCGGCCAGCCTGCTTGAGGCCGTACAGGCTCTTTCGTAGCTGCAGCACTACTTCCTTCTTTGTCGCTGCGCCTACCATCTTGAGCGCGTCTTGATCGATTGTCATTGCCTGCGGCACCTGGAGTAGTATCTCCAAGTGCGCTTCCTTGTCAGCCTTGACATACGCGTTGGGGATGTCGCCATGCTTTGCTGGGACACCCCATATCGCCGCAAGCGCCAAGATCACCTTCACGGTCGGCATGTCCATGAAAGCCGCAAATGTAAGCTGGTAGTCGACCCCAAAAACTTGCTCGTTGCCGCAGGCGACCAGTCGAGCCTTCAAGCGCTCTATCTCACCGTGCGCGTCGGTCTTGGTCTTGAAGACCCACTTCGTGTGCAGAGTGTTGCTGCCTGGAGGTCGCTTGATCAAGCGCCACACGCCATTGTCTTCTAGGGCTTGGAGCTCTTCGCGCATGGCCTTTTCCCAGCCTTCACGCTTAGTGCTGCGTAGCGCTTCACCGTAGTTCTTGGGATCGCACTCATACACATGAGCCACCACGCTGTCGTCGCCAGCTGGCTCCTCCTGATGGGCGGCCGCATGTGCGCGTTTGGTAGCGCCGCGCGTCCGGTGAGCCGCGCGTGTCCACGACTTCGATTTCTTCTTGCCGCTGCGTATCGTCGGCGATGCGGCATCGTCAGCAGCCGGCAACTCTTTGCTTGTTGTTGCTGTTGCCGCTGGCTCCACGGCTTGATCTTCATACTCGAGCGCGCGCTGCAGCTGACCATTCTGCTCTGCGCTGAGCGTCTCGACGTTGCGCACATGCTGCGTGATCGTGACCTTGTTCTCCTTTTGGAGGAAGACGCGAAAGCCCTTAGTCTCGTCGCTCTGCCCAATGATCACGCTGACTTGTGCGCGCTGCGCGAGTGAGTTCTTGCCTGGGTCACGGTAGACCGAGCAGATAGAGCCAAAGGCGACGATGTCGCGCAGATCCGGCACTTGCTTCGTCAGTACCTCGATCGGCGACGCGCGCTTCGCATTCGCGCTCGTTGGGCTGCGGTTGAGGATGTACGCCGCGTACTCAACCGCATCGCCCCAAAACGTCAATGGCAGTCGGCTGGCAAAGATCATGCTGCGCGCCATGTTCAGGATCGTCCTGTGCATGCGCTCGGCCTTGCCGTTTGACGCCTGATTCCTCGCCTCGCTGATCTGCCGCGCGACGCCCGTTCGCTTGCAGAAGAGGTCTACATTCGCGTATTCGCCGCCGCCATCAGTGCGTAGCACGTGGATCCGGCAGTCGAACTGGCGCTCAAAGAACGCGAGGAAGTGCTCAAACTTCTTGGCCGCCTTGTCCTTTGTAGGCGCCAGGAAGACGCGACAGTAGTTCGACTTATGATCGACAAAGTTGACAAGGTAACGATTGTGCAATCGATCCTTCGGGGTCATCGGACCCTTGAGGTCTGAGCAGATCACCCCGCCAACTCTGTCGATCGGCGAGTTTGATCCAGTGTCCTTCTTCGACTGCACGTTCCTTGTTTGCTTGCCCTGTGCGCAAGTCGGGCGCTTGCGATTCGTTAGAACGATGCCGGACGCGGGGTCTCTCGCCATGCGCTCGACGGTGTCGTACGCGAGATGCCCAAGCCTTTGGTGGAAGTGCAGCAGCGAGCCGCTTTGCGTGTCCGACTCGGGTTCTTCCGGAGCTGCCTGGATCGTCAGGATCGCCATGAGCGCGTCTCTAGGCGCTCGTCGCTCGCGAGCCGCTGCAACTGTCTGGACGTAGAGCACATTGTGGTCCATCGCCACATCGAACGCGACTTGGCCATTGCTGCGTCGTGCCAACACGCGCGACTCGCCGTCGTAGACGAGCCCAAAACCCTTGATCTCGAGATTACCGTAGGACATGATGTTGCGCGATAACTCGGGCGCCAGATACACGTCCGTCAGCGTCACATCTTGCTGCTGTTCTCTCGCAAGCACAGTCAGCACGACGCTTCCGACTTGCGTTAACTTGATGGTCTCCCCATCTGCCAAGTGGCACTCTTGATCGCAGTCCCTCGCGTCGCGCAGCAGGGTTGCGTCGTTCACAAGGTGGCGGCTGGAACCGCTATCGAGTATCCAGTCGTCATCTTCGTCATCGCTGTCGTCACCAATCGCCATCGCCAGGCTTTGACCGGTGGCGCGCGAGCCGTTGCGACCTCTTCCTTCATCAACAGCTAGCGTGATGCTGCCGCCGTCTTTTGGGCCTCTGCCCCTCTTCTTGTCGTCATTCTTCTTGCTGCGACAGTCCTTCTTTAGATGGCCGACCTTCCCACACCCGTGGCAAGTGCGTGTCTCCTTGCGCGACACGGACTCGTCCACGTGCGCGACGACCTCCTTCCCGAAGGATCTTCCTGATCTAGCTTCCATCTCGATTGCTTGCGCGAAATGCGCGAGCTCTTCCGCGTGCACGAGGTAGTCGGTGCGGTTCGTCTGGTACTTCGCCATGAGTATTGTAGACAGCTCAGACGAGGCGTAGCGCACGATGTTGTCCAGAACCTGCTGCTCAGCGCCGCCCGCAGCGTCGCTGACAGCGACCAGATACAAGTAGTGTTCTGGCCAGGATCTCTTGCTTTCTTTCTTCGCCGTGAAGAGTTTCATCGCTTGAGCGGCGGTTATCGTCGTCTTGAACGTGTCCAGCATGCGCTGCATCACGTACTGCAATGTAGGCAGCACGGCCCACCACGTGTCGACCTGCTTGCTGAAATACCGCTCGGCAGTGCCAGTGAGGTATTGCCCGAGCACGTCAGTCTTCACATTCTCGCTCCACAGGAAACCGCAAGACTCCTGTGCCATGTCGACCTGTCGCCAAAACGTCTTGCCCCAGTCGAAGAAGCCGGACCCGAGTCCAACGTACACCTCAGTGCCATCGAACTTGCGGATCGCCAGCTTGCGCTTCCTGGCATCCGGAGTGCGATACTGCATCGGCATCACTTGTTGCTGCTGCTGTACTGGCTGCCCTGGAGCTGCCGGCATCGTCTGAGGCACTGGTGCCGGCTGGTATGGTGGCAATGGGGCAGGCGGCTGAGGCAACGGATCAGCACGCTGCTGCAGCTGCTCTCTCGCTCGCATCCGTAGGTCTTCGAGCCGCGCTGGTGCACGCCGCAATTGCTGCTGAGACTGCCGATCGTGCAAGTCCTCAAGCTCCATTGCGCCGCCGTGGAGTCGCCCTGCGAAGTCCGCCCCGAGCTCTGATCGGAACAGCTCGCTCTCGTGAGCGCCACGCATGCGCTCGTCTTCGTCCATGCGTGCTTGGGATGCTTCTATCTTCTGCATTCGCAAGTCCATGCCCGTGAGCATCTTGAGGACCCTCTCCAGTGCGTCAGGCTCCGGGCTCCTTGCGTGAGCGGTAGGAGAGACGACCGTAGCAGGCGCGGCCGCGGCCCTTTCGTGACCGGTTGCCGGCGGCGCCTGTGCCGCGTTGATGTCGTCGTTTGCTTCCCGTCTTGGGCTCATAACCTGTTCGCTTGCCATGATGCAAGCTGTAGAGAGGAAGTCGGCGGCACTGTGATAAAAGGATTCTGACATTGTTATTAGTGTTATACACTAATATTAAAAAAAATGCAGAATATATTGTATTTGTAGAATATATTACAAAAATAGCTGAAGTTAAAGCTATAGTTGAAAAAGTATAAAAGAAAATTGTTACAAAATTCATATATATTTGTGTTTGGATTATGTAATTTAAAAATATATTTTAAAAGATTTATTTTTTATTATCTTTTTCGTGCTAGTAGTTGTTCTTGTTCTCCATCACTCTTGTCCAATCAATCACCCATCCACGCACCTGTCCAATCAATCGCTCAACTGATCCTCGAACGCCTTCCTAAGTCGTCAGCCGTTTCCTCAACTGTAACTTCAACCGTGCCTTTTTCTAACACATGGTGTAAGCTGTGGAATATGGACTATTGCTTGGTACCGACTCCGTTCAGACTTGGTCGTCGCGTTTGCTTATCAAGAACAAGAAGACACGAGACTGGTATTTCTCGGAAGAGGAACGGCTTGATGCTAACAAGACATACGGGCGCCTATGGGGACTTTCGTTTTTGGAACGTAATGGTGATCAGTTGATTGCAAAGCGTGCGTACATTTTCAACGCTCCAGCAGCTATGCGTGTGATGGCCAAGAGTAAAGCGGAATCGATCGGCAGATTTGATTCCAGCTACTGAAGGATACGGTAAAGCTGAAACACAAAGTATTTAAGAGCAGCTCGTATACGACGGAAGTGCGGCTACTGCAGCAGTTTAGTATCACTGAGCGTTTTGAAGAAGAAGAGGACGATGTCCTATAAGGAACTAAAGCTTCTTCCTATGAACGCAACATGGACACGTCAAACGTTAACGTAGGAAGTTGAGGACACGAAAGTATGAAACCAAAACAACATTTTACGATCAAATCAATCTATTCCTCGCCAGCATGTCAATATCAACTTGTCTAGTGCCGAACCTGACCGAAGAGCGAGCGAAAAAGCTCAGTCACGTCCATCTCCGGCTTGGGGTAAGGCTCTGGGAACATAAAGTTCTCCAGCTTGGGGTGCACCGTGTAGCGCAATTGACGGCCCTTGCTTGCCTTACGGTTTACAACTTTCTTCTTCTTGCGATGAGTGCGTCGCACCATGCTGTCCTGGCCTGCGCCGCCTCCACCACTCTCAATAAACTCCTTCAGAAGCTGCTGGTAGAAGTCCGAGTCGTCATACATTAGCTCGTCCAGTGCTTCGTCGGCACCTTCTACCGCGTCAGCCTCCGGCATATCTAGCGGAGCATGTGCCTTTCGTTTGACACGCTGAGGGTCCACCAGCACCGACTCAACTTGGGCCAAAATATCTTGATTCACAGCCTTAAACTTATTGGCTTGGTTGGTCTTACCACCTGCTTCCAAGTTCGTCTTGCGCGTGTATGTGTTGAGGATTTCATTGTACTGAGGCAGTATTGCACTACTGCTCGTTGCAATGTCCTGCCACAACTCATCGCACGAACGTTTGCGCTTTGCAGTGGGCACTTTAACCGTTCTCAGGTCTGGAACATTGCACAATTTCTCCTGCAAGACCGACACGGCCTCGATAGTTTTGTACAACTCTGCTTCAATTTTCTCCTTCCTGTTCATCACAACTTCCTCGTCTGTCGCCTCTCCGTCCGTCACGTCATGTGTCACCACATCTTTTTCCGTCATGAGCAGACGTTTTGTATAAATCTGCACTTCAAGACATCGCTCCCAAATGAGTTTTTGATTCCGCACGTTCTTGGCCTTCTGCACAATCTTCTCACTGTCCTGTACACCCATAAGCCTGGCTGAATCCTCCTTCTGAAAGCCACGTATAAGCATCTCATTGCTCTCTTCTGCTTCTTCTTCTTCTTCTTCTTCTTCAGATTCTTCTTCTGCTTCTTCTTCTTTTTCTCCTTCTTCTTCTGATTCTGATTCTTCAAATGGTTCCGCTTCTGACCAATCAGCAATTGCGTCTTCATCAGGCGACTCTCCGTCTTCCTTCAAATCCTTACGAGTCACCACTTGTCCTGCATATTCTTTGCTTTCCAATAGCCCCATATCCCAGTTTTTAACACGTAAAACTGACGCCTTTTCCTGCTGTTTCATGCTCTTGACTTGCGTCGCCTGTAGTCGCTGCTTACGAGACAAGCGCAAACGTGTAGCATCGAATCCATCCGCATCAGAATCAGATACTGCATTATCATCTAATACAGCACGTGTTCCATCGTCAAAATCCTCGGCCTCGTCGATATTAAACTCGTCAGGCGTCATGACGTCCCCAGCGCTTCTCCACCAGGCAATAAATTGCTTAAGATGCAATGTTTAATCAATTTCAACGAATCAAAACTAAGCATGTATTTTAACCAATCAAATACCTAGAACCATACACTACAAAATAAACTGTTGAAAATTATTGTTATTTTTTAAAATTAAAAACGATGTACAATTATTGACAACAATAAGTGTTAAATACTTATAGTCATGCCATGTACATGCAAAGGCACACTCAAGTCAAATAGTTTTAATGCGCGTCTGTATTGTGTTCCAATTTTCCGCAATAGACCTCAAAGTGTTTGCCAGATCTCGTTCCTACAACTCTGATAAGAGAGAATAGAATCGGCACGTGTCGACGTAATCGACACTTACTTCTTTGCCTCCTTCTTGTCAGCCAGACGCTTGGCCTGCTTACCGAAAATGCGTTGGTCAGCGCGAGCCACACGCAACTGCGCAAACACACTCTTCTCCTTCATCTCAGGCGTGATAACAGCCGTAGTCGACTTGACACTCGAGCGGGTGATTGGAAGGATCGGACCCGTGTGCTGCACGACATTCTTGGTCTCGTCAACAGCCGAGTCGCCATTCTTGACCTTGTTGCTCTTGCGTGGGAACACCACAAGCTTGGCCTTGTAAGCCTTAAGACGGTGCACATTGGTCTGAAGAGACTCCACCGACTTGTTGGTGCGACGAAAGTCCACGGCAATACCAATGCTGATGGCCTGTTTGCGGTTAATACCCGCCTCTTTTAGCTCTTCGAGCGTAAAGCCCTTGCCAGCACGAACCTTCGAGCCATACTTGATCGTAGGGCAGTGCACAGCAGGACGCAACAGACCAGCGGCAGGACGAGGAGCAATGGCAGCAGCCTTAGCTTTACGTCTCAAACGACGGGTCTTTTTCTTGGAAGCCTAAAGTAGCAGTACCATACAAAAACATAGAGCTTGGAATCAGTACACAATTTGATTCTTCCAGTGTCATTGCAGCCACACAGTCAGCATCACTTCAGTGCTAATTGGTCTCTTAGTCCTTTCCAAGACTTTTGCAATAGTTTCTTCCTCTAGTTTTGGACCTGTACATTTTTTCTATCATTGTTCTTTCACGGTCTTAAAGAGAGCTAGTAACTGAAGCTGCTGACTGTATAGGTAGAAGCGTATTAGCTTTCAGTAGATACTCTTGTCTTACCTGATCAAACCAAGTTTTGATTCGGGATTGCCAATACTTGTGGAAATGTCCATTAGGAATGACATTGTTGTGCTTGACCATCTTTACAACTACATAGAATAAATAAAAGACAAACAACACATCATTCCATATTGTTTACTCTTCTGCAACTTCCTTATCAATACAAACTCATAAGCAGTTTTTTTACCTTTACGACAAGATACTCAGAAAGTTGCGGGCAATTTGGAACTTGGAACCCCACAATGAACCACCACAGGCCAGTCGAACGAAAATTGGTGGTTCCCCGCTCTCCAGTCGTCGACTTGACTTGGACTCACTATACACATCAGTTACAGCCAATCACATCGTACCATTTGTATTCCTATATTAGGTTGTGTCCGAATATGAGGTAATGTACATTAAGTATACGAAGAGGGTACACTGTACCGTTCTCTCCGAGGGGGTACATTTAGCTTCTTCCAACTAGAACTTGATCCAGGGAGGGACGACCCGTCTTCGTGGTGACATAGCAACTACTTCCAACGCTACCATTATGTTTGGCTCAAGCAGTACGTTCTCTCCTTCTATCTCCTTCTAAGTACGAGCTGATATCGTTTTTATTCTTGTCGATGTTGCAGACCAAACTGGCTGTGGGGTACAAAACCGTAACCCCTTTGGGCATAACCAAGGTACGAAAGGTTACGTGATTACGGTTACGCTTTTTTCTTTCTTTTATGCTATTAGATGGACATAGACGGGTTCTCTCGATAGCATTGCTGCTATGTTTTAACTGCGTCTAGAGACGTTGTTCGATATTGATTGCTCCACTGCCGTCGCGTGTCCAGGATCGCCCCATTTAAACCCTTTTCAGTCAAGTGGTGAAGCCTCTTCTACTGTACAGACGACATTTGGACAAGGCTTTGGCTTGGCTAATCAACCTCCACTACCTCCTGGTGGCTTGGCTGGTGCTCCACAGATTGGAGGGTTTAGTAATCAGCCATCTATTCCACTTGGAGGGATGAAGAAAGCACTTTTAGAAGGAGTAAAAGGAGCTGGAGGGACTGAAATTCCATTTAAACAGACAAACAAGAACAAAATGGTGCAGAACAATTCAAGTACGACATTTAGATCAACGACATTTGGACAAGATGGTGTTTCGTCTTCTTTTACGTCGACAAATGCACACACATCCTTTCGATTTGCGTCCAATACCGGTCAAAGTACTGAATTTGGAAATACAAAGAAGACTAAGCTTCGTGATAGTGGAGTGTCAAGTTTTGGTGGGAACAGCACAACAATTGGTGAAAACGGATTTGGTGAAGAACAACCTGCTTTTAGAGCACCTCTTCTAAATCATGGACAAGGATCTTTCTCGCAAGAATTTAAGGGGTTCGGATCTGGCAATGCAGCAGTCTCTATACCCTTAGAATCGCAGAGTACAGCATTTGGAAACCAAGCGTCCAGTGTAAGAGTGCGAAAAAAGACGAGTACTTCTAATGCGGCAACTTTTGTGCCTGTGGACAACCCTTTTGTTGCTACAGCTAGTAGTGACGGTGCTACAACCGCCCCGTCCATCCACACAAAATTTGGCGCAGCAGTTGGCGGTAAAAGCTCAAAAAGCACTACAGCTTTCGGAAAACCTTCTTCTGGTGGTGGCGCTGCTCCTACCACCACATTTGGTGGGGTCAGTGACAATCTGCGGCAGCCTGCCCCGAACTCGGAAACTTTATCGGGAGGGTTCCCCACTTTAGATAAGATGGCTTCAATGAAGACGCGAATGAGTGGCCTTACAAAAGCACCGTCTGGTCAGAGCAAACGTTTCCAAGAGTTTACTGCGACAGAACACGACGCAAATGCTTTTGACGAGCAACATACCATGTCTAGGCATAAGCAAAGACATTCCTCAAGCGGAGACACTATTAAGGCTCCGAAAGCGTCAAAAGTGAGCCAAAACGAAAAGCGTGGGAAGCATCGTCAAGCTCGGCCAAAAAAGAAAGCACCAAGTACGAGTGATGAAGAGTGTTCATTTGTTTCCTTGCCGTCCATTGCTCTTTCGAGCAGAGATGATAATAGTAAGGCTCAACTCTCAGCGGCTACGAACCTAGATGGTCTTTGTGCTGATATGTGCAGTCCAGGAGAAAGAGAGCTGCATATTCGAGTAGACGAATTGAGCGTTTTCGAAAAGTGCTTTCCAGACCGACCAGGGAATGAACGCGATATGATTATCAAACGTTTCCAGCGCAGTTCAGCTGATCACAAGCTGGATATACCTGAGGAAATCCGCCCTCTAGGTGTTCTTCGACGCACACAGCTGTATATTGAGCAAGCCATTATGGATCTAGATCAGTTTGGCTTGGATCCACGTTTTCATGTGCCTCGAGTTCCAGAGCCGATCGAGATTTATAATTTTTGTTGGGACCGATTTCGAATGATTCGCAAAGACTTTATCTTACAAAACTACCGCGGTGCCGGGGGTCGTGTGCACCCCATAGCTCTTGACATTCATGAACGCATTGCGCGGTATCACGTTCTCAGTGAGCATGAGCTTATTGAAACACCAAGTTTTGTGGCTCAGCAGAATATGGAGCAGCTTGGACAAACACTTAAGTCGTTGAACGAGCTGTATGACGAAAGCCACAAGGTGGGAGATCCGGCGTACTTAAGCCCATTCGAGGCTGAGTGTCGCGCATATTTCATCCTCTGCACGCTGGATAATGGTCGCGGCATGGATGTGCTGAAGTATGTGAAGGATCTTCCGTATCATATCTTGCAGAGTCCTCACATCAAATTCGCGATGCGTGTGTTTGTTGCTCGCCACACTGGTGACTATTTTCAGTTTTTCTCGCTGCTACAGCAAGCAACCTATCTGCAATCGTGTTTGCTTTTTCGGTACATTCCAAATGTTCGGTCTTCGGCACTGCTTCGTATGAATCGAGCTTTTCGCGGTCAGACCTATCCACTGGAGGACTTGGCAAACTTGCTGTGTTTTGATGACATTGAACACGCGTATTCAGTGTGCCGAGAGCATCAACTGAAGATATCTGGCAGACTTGACGTTGATGACGATAGCGATTTTATGGTAAAGTTCGGTGGTGTTTATGAAACAGGTACGAATATACGTTGCATACGGATCGCAAGCTAGAGCACGTGTAGTAATCGTATGCTGTCATTGTTGCAGATGCTCAATTACGACGAAATAATACGCCATTAAAGACTCGACGCTCCAAGATCTATGTCGGGATGAAGCAAGGGTACGCTAATGTGTGTTGTTTATGGAAAAGAATCCGTTTTGACTCTTTGTCCTTGATGTGTGCAGAGGTTTTTTACGGCGAGATGTCTGCCGTGGCGTGACAGAATATGCTCGAGATAAATATCCCGCTCTTAGCAAGCTGATCGAAGATACCGAACAGGAGGAACGGTCTCGGCTGTATCCATATCGACCTGTGTCTGACGATGCCTACTCGTATTTCATTGATTACAACGAAGGATGCCCTATGTTGCCTCAAATGAGTGCCCAAGTAGCATCTGCGAACAGCTTTTCCAGCCAACATCAACCAACAGATTCCGATCAGAAAACACATGATCTCGGAATGATTGCACAGAAAAAGCTTAAGCTTGAGCAAGAGAAGCAAGCAATGCTTGAACGCATGCGAATGCTCGAGCAGGTGAAGGAAGAGAAGGCCCGGCAGTATCAAGCTAAGAATGCTGCCGCCGAGGAGGCTGATCAACGTGACGAATTGGCGAAGCAAGAGATGATCGCTCGCGCTAAAGCTGAAAAAGAAGCTGCGCGACAGCAACAAGAATTAGAAGCCCAGCTACGAGAGCAAAAGAAGCAACGTGAACTGGAAATACAGAGCAAGAGGATAGAAGAGGCTGCTCGTGAAGCAGAGCGACAACGACTTGCAGCGGTACAGCAAGCTGAAGCTCTAAAGATAAAGGTTGCTAAAGAAGAACGACATCGACAGGAAAAAGAGCAACGTCGACAGGAACACGAGCAACGTCGACAGGAACATGAGCGACATCGACAGGAAAAAGAGCGACGTCGACAGGAAGAAGATAGACGTCAACAAGAAGAACGCCAGAAACAAATTCGACGAAAGGCAGCAGAAGAACTTGAGCGACGTCGCCAGCAAGATCTAGAGCGTCAAGCCCGTGAAGCTGCACATCAAGCACAACTAGCCAAGGAGCGCGCAGAAAAGAAGAGGGTGCGCCGCATTGAAAAGCAACGCCTCGCTGTTTTGAAACTAAGGCTGCAGCTCTGGAAGAAATATGTGCAAGAGTCACGACACGGTACTGGACCCATTCGAATTGATGCAACTAAGCTTCGACTTGATCGGCCTCATCAGAAGGCAAAAGAAAGTATCCAATGGCTTTTTGGGGAAGCATCTGGTACTCGAATTGGAACAAAGCGACGGAAGCAATTGCCAAGGGCAGAAGAAGACGTGTCGCCTTCGGATTCAGATATCGTAGCGGTTTGGTGCCCCGAAGACATCTTAGGACTGGTTAGTGCTCCACTTCGCCGACAAAACCCGGGGTTACCATCAATCGCGTGGAAGTTGGTGATTGCAGATTTACTGGATGGAGCTTCTTCATCGTTTGGTTTGTGGTGCGCCGTCAGGGCAGGGGCACAGAATGCAGCTGTGCTTGAACATGACTGCTATCACACGTTTCAGTCGAGTGATGGTATGGAGCAGGAAATTGTTGTGTGTAGCCGGTATGTTGATTCGACATTTACTGAGCGGACTAACCACGAGACACAACAAAACAAGCTTGCTGCAGCGTCGGCGATCCTACTACCCGTTGATATGAGCTCACTGCAGCTAGCTGGCAATTGCGATCGCTGGGAACAGCGAGTTGAAGTACTCCTGTCATCTCTAAAGTCAGGAAACCGGGTGACACTATTTGCCTTGGGCTTTGCGTCGGCGGAAATGAGGTCTTCTCGGGAAATTCTCATTACCACTCTCAGGAGCTGTATTGAACGAGTGCAAAGCCGATTTGCTTCGCTGGTGGTGCAGGTCGACGCTGAACTCATTGACGCAGGCGGCCTTCTTCCTCATAAGTTTGGTCAAGTGTTAAAGAAGATTGCAACATTGTCTCCTCGTGTGCGCCATCTCAAGAGCGTTGGTTTGAAAGAGCTTCTAGAGGGTAGTGTGAAGGCAACGATGAACCAGTATGAGTCATTGGTGGGAATCCAGAGCAACATTTGCGCTATCTTTCCACGCTTGCAAGAAGATTTGTTGACGTCCGGTGTAATGGACCTCGCATACCCACCACCAGAGTTGCAATTTGCTATCGTGGAACCACCGCGTGGTTGGAACTCGCAGGAGAAGCGACACGAGATAAGAACGATCCTGACGGCGCTAGAAGTGACACGAATTGCCACTGTGAATTCCCCGTTGAACTGCGACGAGACGTGCGACGCTTACTTCAAAAAGGTTGCGGACTTTATTGATCGACTGTTTGTATCATATCCAGCAGCCACAGCAGTATCGACATACGAGTTGAAGAAAAGAATTTACAGCACACTTCTTCCAGTGCATCAGCACTTGACACGAAAGAGCAAGACAGAGCAAGTGACTCCACAAGATGCTGACGTGTTGTTGCCATGGCGGACGATTTTCAAAGAGATTTACGAGACGTTTTTTGAGACGCTGAGTGACATCACAATCTATTACGAAGCTGATTGCAGATTCGAAGCAAGTATCTCGCACTTAGTCCATGCTGCTACACACTCGAGGGGCATCAAACAGCAGACACATTCCAAGCGTGACCGTGAGGCGACGAAACAAGTTGTGCAAGTTTCTACAAAGAGCATACGCCAAAGTTTTGGACCTTTCAATGCAATGGATGAATCGAAGCAAAAGTATCGAGCAATGGGTGAAATGAAGCGTCTTTGCATGGAAATTGACAAGGAAAAAGCTGCTACGTCGAAATACCAGCGGATGTTGTGCCAGGCACTTCATACGTGGGACAAGTAGCAGTCTAAGGTGTTCTGAATGTACATTGTTCGTATCCGGATAATTGTTCCTCTTAAAATGAATACTATTCTTGTCCTTGTAAATATAAGTTTCTACAAACTCTCTGTTATTTTGTCTTTTTTAGTTATTTTTCATGGAGTTAAGTGACTTACCACGTAATTTAATCATAGCGATACTGCAGTTTGTGGACCATACGAGTCTGTTACAGCTTGAGATTGTCAATCGTCATGTACGGGACATTATTCTACATGGTGGTGCGTTTTATACATGAAAAAAAACGTTTGTTTCAAATCCTTATTGACTTTCTCGAATTTTTAGACATGGGAGGTATTGGCACAACGTCTGGCTCTGTACGAGTATAAGTGTCGCATACGAAGCTGGAAACGTCTCGTTCTCTTGACTCAGTCACCTGTAAATTCAGAATTTTCGGTACTGCGTCAAGTTCGAGGTGAGTACGGTACTATTTATTCTTCAAAATGGTGTACCTCACTTCATTTTCTACTATTTTTTTTTAATCAACCAGAATGTTCTTCAGTGGACCACATAAACGAGTCAGCCGATAATACACTTACAAGGTCACATTGTGACATTGGTGTAACATTACTCCATCATATGGCCGTAGCAGATGATCCAGTTCAATTTGTAGCCATGGCGAAAAGATTGCAACGTGTATGTGGCTGTGCAAGAGAACAGCCATGTTATTGGAGCAGGTGTAAAGAAAGACGCACAGGACATTGGCTACGGTTTCATTGTTGCTGATGGAGTTTGATTTGTTTTCGTAGTGCTTCCACATGGGAATGTACATCGACGGATCATTTGGATTACATCTTGTGGGCAAATTGTCTTGTAAACAGTGTACAAATTGTACCATACCGAGTCTTTTGGTATCCTGATAGTCCCACGTACGCACCAAAACGGCTCTCCTTTGCACTGTATGAACTAGGAGATGACGATGACGTCGAGACGCTCGTTTATGAGTCCATAACGTATTGTATTGCCAATGATATGAAGGTAAGGAAGAGAATGAATGATGCTACAATGTTGATCTTGAGTCCTGACTTGAGGTGAGTGTACGTACGATCAGATGAAAACATTTGAGCTACCACGTCGAGCTTTTCTGTCTCGAGGAATTTTACGATTGAATTTGTTTGATCGACAGGAGGATATTAGTTCGGGTGTGGCTCGATGGATGCAAGAGTTTAATTTACCTCCCTATTACACGTGTTTGAGTTATGTAGGTGTTACGGGATTGCTGGAATTTGAGCTATCGTTGGAGTAGGTAATTGGAGAGATTGAATGAGCTTTTAGTCCATCAGCCTCTCGGTCCGTCGTTGGTGTTGAGAGTCTTCTCACATTGCTAATTGCACCAACAAAACGCATGAGACTTCCAGCACAATGCAGTGCGAGGGTGGCAACAATGCACATGGTAGCAAAGGTGGGGTTCTGTGTGGATTACACGTTAAATTCGAGACAGCCTTCAGTAGCATCAGCACAACAGGCTGACAAGCAACCATTCTCCGCATCTATCGACTTCGAGCACACCTTTGAATTCTAAGCACTGCCCACTTAACTCAATATCAAACTTTGAAGAGAAAGCACGCAAATCCAACCGGCGGATCCATCATTTCAAGACGCTCAGTTAGCTCTTCCTAAGAGCTTACCACCATCATGCCATGTCACCGCGAATGTGGTCTTCGAAAAGGATACTGGCCTCGGACAAGCGCGGCCGGCGTGCAGATGTTCTCGTTTGGGATCGGAATGATACTCTCTAATGTTGTTCATGCTCCTTCAGATAGCTGTAGAGCAGCTGAACGCCAAAGCCTGTGGCTCCTTTAGGAAAGTACGACTTGGCAGAGCTGTAGTTTGACGGTCCTGCAATATCAAGGTGAGCCCAGTCCACACCCTCATAGACGAACTGCTGTAGAAAAGCTGCTGCCGTTGAGGCGCCACCGTAGCGACCTCGACCAGTGCTACGGGAATCCGACTGCGAGCCCTTGAGGGCAGCGGTGTGCTCGGGGAGAATTGGCAGACGCCAGCAGCGCTCATGGCACTTTGTTCCTGTCTCCTGCAGCTTCTCAGCCAGATCATCCGAGTTGGAAAACAAACCTGCGCAGTGTTCGCCAAGAGCGACCACGCACGCGCCAGTAAGTGTAGCCACATCGATAATCTTCTTAGGCTTGTACTCCTTCTGAATGTACGACATCGCGTCACCAAGTACCAAACGCCCCTCAGCGTCCGTGTTGTTATTCTCCACCGTGATACCTTTGTGCGACTTGACAATCGTTAGTGGCTTCACGGCCTTGGAGCCAATGGCGTTCTCAGCTAGGGCAAGAGCGCAGACGATGTTCACCTTGAGACCCTGGCGCGAAGCGGCACGAACAGCTCCAAGCACAGCAGCCGACCCACACATGTCCGTGTGCATGTCTTCAATAGATCCCGTGGGCTTCAGGTTCAAGCCGCCCGTATCAAACGTGACGCCTTTACCAACAAGCGCAATCTTTTCATCCGAGTTATGATTGCCACGATACTCAAGAATGACAAGACGAGGAGGACAGACAGCAGCCTGACCTACACTCAAGAACATGTTCATGCCTTCCTTCACCAAATCCTCCTGCTGCAAGACACGAACTGACATATTGGGAAGATCAGCTGACAAACGAGCCATCTTCTCCATAAACGCCGGATCAACAATGTGCGAGCGTTCATTGCCTAGAAAACACACAAAAAAACACATAAATTATGAAAACCAACGATGAAAGACCTGAAGTACTTACCGAGATTCCGAGCAAAGATGGTTTCTTCACCGACCGTCACCTGCTCCACTACATTCTACAGCATCACAAGAACTATCAGCCAAGAATTTCCACCTCACTCTATCCATAAGTCTCTCACTTGTTGATATTCGACTGATGTGTCCATGTAGATTTTCTCGAGTGGTAGATGTAATTTACTGTCTCCATGAGCGTCCTTGGAGTCCGTCAGATACTGGTCAAACTGGTAATTCGACAGCATTGAAGCTTGCGTCAATAGTTCCACCACTTGATTGGTCTTTAGCTTGCAACCTTCAAGTGTAGGCACCTGCAATACAACGTCTTTGATTTGTTTGGCTTTTAATGCACTCAAGGCGCCGTGTGTAGCGTCTCGTAGGACGTTCGGCGTCACCTTATCAGCATCTCCAAGTCCCACAAGTAGCACGCGCTGGTCCTTGAATTTCCTGTGGTCCACACTTGGATACAAAAGCATTTTTTCTTGACTTTTCGCTTGAAAATCGCTTAAAGCGGCGGTAGAAACGGGAAATGGCAGCGATTGGGGCAACGCTGACGTTGACGAACGAGATACAAACACGACGCGAGTATTGGGAGATGACGATGACGATGTCTCCGAGAGAAGTGATAGTTGACCTTGTACTTGCTGTTTCAGCATGCGAGGCGCAGCGAGAGCAGACGAAGAGCTAAAGTAGCGACGCAACATGATCGACACAGTCCAATTAAATGTGAATAATATATCTATCGGTCAAAATATTAAGTTGAATCAGAAGATTTTATCTGATATGTTTGACCTCATATCGACGATTTCTATCAAAAATATTAAGTATATTTTTATATTAAAAATGTAATCTTTGACCGATAGTCATATTTTCAGATTTCGATTTTTCTTTTTCGTATTCTCATTTTATAAAATCCACTTTTTGTTTTTTCATAAAATTACCGCAACTTCTGACCGAATTTGATTGTTTTCATTCTCTTGCGTGGTGTCGTATTGTCTGCATCCTTAGTATAATCTACTTTTTTCTGCGAGAAGAGCATGCAATTGCAGTAGCCTCTTCTACTGGTTCAGCTGCATCATTCACTTGCACTTTTTCTATATTCTTTTTTCTAGCTTCAGTTACTTCTTGTCGCTGAGTTCTAGCTGCACGCTGGTCTTTTCTTCAGATGAAGCTGTAATTTGATCACTTTTTACCTTTCAATATAGTCAACATATCAATGGCAGTTTTAAGAGTAGCTTAGAGTGATGCACGTTACTGAACTTGATGTTGTGAGGGCAAGTAATCGATATTCAATAGCCGTCTGACGGTAGATCTGAATACTGATCGATGGAATCACTAAAGACGAATGACTCTTTGCTTGGCGTACCGTCAGCTTTTTGGCTTCATGGTGAGCATTAGCACCATGCTTAAGCGTGCAAGATATTCTCACTGATGCATAGATGAGTTTACTAAAGGCATCTTCATTAGAAGTATCTAATTTGTCATATGCTCAGAACGGTTGTTGAAGTGACTGCAATGTGTGACGTGTGAGAACTACCTTATTTAATAAACATGCGACGTGTGACAGCCTCAAATTACTGGTGGCCAATCGTATGGCAAACATGGCACACTACGGTCCTGCAGCCGGCGCGTCAGGAGCTTCACCTTTATATCGTGCATTATGTGTACGCTCTGGCAATGTGGTTATACTAGGAATGCAAAAGAATGCGTCTGTGAATTGCGCTGGTATGGTGCTTTTTCGGGTGTTCCAGGGGAACGTGCAGGTACTGGGCTTTCGACCGCCTTTGGGAGTCTATTTCTCGTTGCATTCACCCAAATGGAACAATCTGCTGGTAATTGAAGGTAGACCGGGCAATGAAGACACACAAGCGCCTTTTGGACCTAGTAATGCTAGTTTATTGCAAGTCATGGAGCCCAATTTGCCATCAGAAGCCCTGAGTGAGGACGAGGAAATTGCGGCAGATCGACTGGCTATGCAGCTCGTAAGCGACTACCCCGTTGTACTGGTGCTTCGAGCAATCCCCGTCACGTTTGGGAATGTCACGAGTTTCTATGAGAATACCAGACCGGAGAAAGTGTCTACGGTACTACCCGGTTTCAAGATGATTATCTCACAATACAACCAGAATTTGTTACGCGACATTACTGATGAGTTCGATATTACGAGTGCTGCACCTCCGAACACAGATCCAATGCATCACGATTGGAAGTCACCGGAGCGTATCCTGGCAGAGCTTGTGGTGGTGGATTCATTCAAGACCCTGCATTTCACAGAGCCCTGGCAGGCAACCGTGGACAGTCTACAGGCTAGTTTGCTAGCGGAAGAAAATCCAATGTCGCAAAAGATCATTGTATGTGGTGGTAAAGGTGTGGGCAAGTCCACGTTTTGTAGGTATCTGGTGAATCGGCTGCTCTCGGAGTTTAAAATTGTGGCTTTTCTGGATACAGACCTGGGCCAGAGTGAACTCACGCCGTCAGGACTCGTGGCGCTTCATGCTCTGACAACGCCGTTGCTGGGTCCGGGGTTCTCGCACATGAGGAATCCGATCCGGTCATTTTTTTGTGGAAACACCAACCCAGGCAATGATCCGTTATACTATATGAAAGCAGTCAAGAGTCTACTGCGTTTGTACGACACCAAGTGGGGAATTCACAGGAGTGCAAACAGTGACAACGAGATTTCTCGGTCAAGACAGCACGCATGTGTGCCGCTTGTGATTAATACGGACGGCTGGATCAAGAGCATGGGCCATGATCTGCTGTGTAACGTCATAGAGACGACAAACCCTGACCATGTCGTGCAGTTAGTGGCCGCAACGAAAAACAAACAATTTAATGTCCCTATAGGAGGCAGCTGGCATATTTACGCTGTTCCGCCTTGGGACCCCATCGGCGTCACACAACCTCCTCGTAGCTCCAAGGAACTGCGAATGTATCGTTTCCACTCGTACTTCTTGGCTCAAAGCCGGTGTGATCTCTCACGGGCCCTACTGCAGAACTTGCAAGTACTATCTGAAAAGAACCGCGTGGACAGCGACATCTATCGCGCGTACGCTCAACTCACGCCTTTCGCCGTATCATTCGACCAGGTCGACATTTCTTTTGCCGGTTCTTCCGTGCCTCCAAGTCAGCTCTTATTTTCACTCAATGCTTGTGTCGTGGGTCTATGCGTCAACCCCGAACACATACCGTTCGAGCAAAATGATCTCGAACTTCGTGAAGGACCACCTCGTATCGTGCTTCAGCCCGTACATGTTCCATGTGTAGGCGTGGGGATCATTCGGGCGATGGATGCCAAGAAACGTCAACTGTTTATCCTGAGCCCGCTGCCCCTTTCAGTCTTGAAACGTGTCAATTTGCTCGTATGCAGCAGTATATCGCTCGACAGTATCATGTTGTCCGCACATGAGCCTGTTCAAGCCCCATACGTTGTCACCGACGTCATATCATCGGAAGGCACTGGTTCTGGTGTCATGCAGAGTCGAAACAATCTTAAACGTAAACGCGATGGCAAGTAGCGAACAGTCGAAACGTGAGCTAGACTTCCGACACATAATGTGGAAAGATGGGTTTCCACTGTCTCATAGAACAACGTCAAGTGATGTGATGTCTGCTGTAGAAAGTGTATCGTTGTCACCTCTTAGCTACCGGCGACAGACTTTGTTGTGATTTCCATCTCGGACTATGTTAGATGCTCGTCCATGTCAATCTCGAGGGTGTGCAGATACGATAGTAGCTGTGTCCGATAAAGTATATGTGGTTTCTACTTAAACTCGAGTTTGACTTACGTTGTTGTTGCGAAAGAGCAAATACATTGATGACCGGATAGCAGAAGCATCTTCGGAATCTGCCACGCATAGCAACACCATGCGACCAAATCAGTAAAGGTGCAAAAACTTAAGATGACGAAGATCGAGGATAACGACGTGTCGGCTTTGCAGCTCTATCTATACAACGCTGGGTCATATTAAGCTTCAGCTGAGCGCGAGGTATTCGCCCAACGTTGCCAAAAACGTTCGTTTTGCTATCCCTTGGCTTTCAAGTTTTGTGTCCTACTCCCGGAAAGAAAAATCCTTGTCCGCAGCCTTGGCGTGGTGTGTTGCGATAACGCCCATGTGATAGTCACCGCACGATACCCTGCGTAGTTACAAAGCAAGCAAATGTGTTAAGAACAGCAACCGATTCCACTAGCAAATAGTCAGGAACGTACGAAGTAATGTTGATGTCAGCCAGAGCCTGGATCTGCACAGGCTGCAGCTGGTTCTTGCGGTCACCGTGACCCAGGCTGTTGGAGCTGCCTTTACCAAATGTAAAGACCTTGCCGTCTTCCGTCAATGCCGCCGTGTATTGTCGTCCACAAGCTACCTGCACTACCTTGTGCTCATTCATAGCCGTCATCTCATGTGGCTCAATCCAGATCTTTGCACCCCACATGTACAATCGTCCGTCCTCCGTCACCGCAGCAGCGTGGTCATAGCCAGCAGCTATCTGCTTAACAGACACCCCGTTGAATGCCTCAACTAGCACCGGAATCGACTCGATATTGTACACATCCATAGCTAAGCTTCCGCCAATACCTAGCTGATTGTCTATAGCAACAGCGTCGCAATAATTACATTAGCGACATCAAAAATAAACACCAAGATCAACCACATTAACGTACGACTGTTGCCACCCCAACTATACAGCTCGCCATTGTCCGTCAGGGCAAAAGAAAAATCACGTCCAGCAGCAATCGAAACCACATTGTCCTTCGAAAAGAACTCAATTGGCTCCGGCACTTCGCACGTGTCGGACTCTCCGTCACCAAGACGTCCGTACTCGCCATTACCCCAAGCCCAGATCTCACCGTCCTTGCTGAGTGCCACCGTATGAAACTCACCACACTCTACCGTAGAGATAGGCACTCCCTGATCCACTAGCGTCGTCAATAATCGTGGCGTAGGCTCATCCTTTCCACCAGCATGACCAAGACCACCAGCGCCCTTCATGGTAGAACCTCCCCATCCCCACGAATACATTTTTCCATCTGCATCCACTGCAGCAGTGAAATAGTCTCCACATGATACATCGACAATCTTGATGCCTTCTAAAGCATCTACTTCTCGTGGTAGCTCTTCCATGTCATTGCTATGTCCTAATCCCAACTTCCCATACTCGTTGGAACCCCACACGAACAATTTGCCATTTTCATCAACTGTTCAAATGCATACAATAGTCAACTAGGCAGTCTTTCAATACATCATAAACACAAAAATCGTACTTGCAGCACTGTGACTGGCACCAAAGTCTAGATGGATAATGCTCTTGCCCTCAAAGGTCTCCACTAGCTTAGGCAAGAGCTCTTCGTATGCACTACGAATCCCAGACTTGACTATCGGTCCGTGTCCTAATTGGCCCAAAGTACCTGTACCCCAAGTGTACACTAAATAGCAAAAAAAAGCAAAGAGAGTATCATTTAGTACTAAACTAATACTAATAATTAGACTCGACATTTGTATTCATTCATCGACGGACCACTCGAATGTGTAGTAAAGGTGGCGTATTGTAACAAGCTTCGAGTGGCATTGAACCGGATAGTTGTTGCACGTTGTCTCACTGTACGAAGAGCGCCTAACAAGACTCGTACCATGACAACTTGAGAGCTCTTTTAATACTTGTGTGGTAGTTAATCAAAGTATATGGACAACAAAACGATGGTGTGCACCACACGACGGTTTATCTTCGGATTAATTTTTCCCGGTACCGCGTGTTTCAAATATCGAACCCTAGCCAATCCCTCCTATTCGCATCCCACTTAATCAACGTGTTAGACGGTACAGATAAGTGACTGGATCAGGATGGTCTACGCTTGGTCTGGTACTTGAAATAGCAATACTAGTGATTGGAAGCAGCTTTTTTGCATTCACGTCACGGTTTTGCGACACTCATTAATTTGATAGAATGTACTACTTGCCAATGCACACATATCGTTCGACTACCTCAGTGAAATGAACCTGCGCTCATTTTTCATTCTTTCGCGTTACATCTTCACTCAAAGTGATGAAGGTCATCGTAATGTTTGTTGTCTGTGTAGCGACATTTAGTAGGACAACAGTGACAACGGCTTATACATTTGACAATGAGACATCATCAACTTTAATGGCTCCGATGCCCTCAATTGATCGTCTGAGCCGGATCAATGTAACAAAATCGACTTACGACTTACCTGCGCATGGTAGTGATATGTCTACGCTACGAGAGAATGATAACTTGGAAAATAGCAGCAGCGATCATGACATTATAAAGAGTGACGATAACATAACTAGATTCGAGTCGGCGACGCCATCAGCAGTGATGAACGCTGTGTTTAAGCTTGGCAGTGTGCTAAATGCAACTAGCACAATTGAGTCAACCTACCCCAATTGGGTCGGTACCGGTCTCACCACTGCATCCTCCTCTTCATGTTGGCGCAGAGCTCATATCGCGAAAACGTGCCCGCTAGGATATGGTAGAAGGCTTGGAATGTGCTGGTCAGAATGTCCGTACTCGTATCCTGGTGAGTGCGGACTCGAATGTATCCGACAGAACGATAACTGTATACTTGCCATTGTGTCTAAGGTAGCAGTTGTCGTCCAGACGTCGCTTTCGCTCTCGGCATGGAGCATTTACGGTGACATGACAAAGTGGTCCAAACGTGTTCAACTCGCGATCAAATGCACTAAGTATATGATCAGTCTCTCAAAGTCGTTGGTGAAATACATCCGCTTTATTAAGGTTCATCATCCAGAAGCAACGGAAGACAAGATCCTAGCAATACTGTACCGAATTGACAACGTCATTATCGACATTCCTGTGAGTATTTCCTACTGCCTTGGAATCAAAGTGGAAGACGATATCAAGTTCGCTGACATGGTGATTACGACTGCAGAGTACGCCTTAAGAGAAATTGTTGTCTATGGTAGCGGCATCACTTCAAGCTGGACCGCATTTACGAAATTCATGAAGAAAATCTCGCTGGGAGATTCGATTGCCGCTTTGAACGAGACTGACATCACGTCCCTAAAGTCTGCACTCAAATCCAATTCAACCTGTGGCTACGACATGAAACGTCTACTAGATCGTACCTGGATGACAGTGGCAGAACTGCGTCAACTAAATCCTGAAATATCTGAAAACGACATCCGAGTGATCATGAGTCAGTCGAACCTCGTGCTAAGGGACATACCTGCCGCAACAAATAATTGTCTGAGTGAGCTAATCAAACACTCGGATACGACTAAAGCATACGCTACTCGTAGTGTTCTGCGCAAGACATTTGGAGTCATCGTAGAGGACTTGGTCAAGTCGGGAACGAGTCATAACGGCTCGTTTCTCTCTGCTCAAGAATACGCGGTAAGAATTGCCGACAGAGCTATTGCCGTCTGGGCCATTTGGGACCCATTTTACATTTCTAGTGTTGTTTCCGAGTACTTTCAGCCCATTTGCACGCACCCCGAGCTCATCGGGGAGATAGACGATGGCGACGCAACAATGGCGCTAGGCATGTCGATTTTCCAAGACGCTTTTAAAAATAGTTACGGCACGTGGACCAAGGTTGGCGATGGATCCGTCACTATTACGTTCAAGAGCGCTGATACAATCGATGTGGTTGCAAATGTCAAGTCCGGAGGTCACACGATTGACGAAGTAGATGTTCCTGCGGGTAAGACTGTGACGTGGAAATCGAACGTGATTACATTGGGAGGGAAAACACTGTACTTGGATCGTTGGCGTCCGGGATTTCTGGGCCTTCCAAGCACTAGCGGCGGTTCAATGCTGTTGTGGGTCCCTCGATCGACACAAGGTGGTTGTCTAAAGCTTACCGCGGTGTTAAATGTAAAAGATTGAGGCTTCAAACGTGCATCAAGCGTTGTAAACGAAAAATATTTATGAAACATGTCGATCACCGTTATGATGATCTACAGCTATGACCGATTCATCTCACATATTTTGCAGCAATCTTCTTTTTCTTCATTGTGCTTTGTTGATGAACGTTTTACAAGAAAGAGAGCAGTTTCATACTCATGGATGCAATATACTTCCTCGGTTGTAGGAGTCAAATTTGAATGTGATAACGCCGGCAAAGAACAAAAGAAAACAAATTCAAGTTGCGTGGACCGATCCCATCACCTTGTCACGAGTTGTGGGGTGCAGAGGTTATATACTGTATGGTCCAGATGCACAAGTAGAGCGAGCGATACACCGTCGACTGAAGCACGCATCACTCGCTTCTTGTCTGCCTAAACAAGAATGGTCGGATCCTTAGTTTTTTGAGAACGACTTTAAACAGATCGTTCCTCTTACCAGTAACGGGCTTGATAAATACAGTCGCGATGCCACTTGCTACGGCGGTCACTTCCACGATATAACCAGCATTGGTTCGTCGAAGCTAATGCGGATTATGACACGGGTCAACGATGACGTTACTGACAGCGGTTGTGATTGGCAAGCAGATCTGATCAAGCTCGTTGTCCGCGCAAGCAGCAGACGAGATTACGGAAATTCAGTCAACGATGATTGTAAAGCAAAAACAACGACCCAGACAATGTCATCAATGACACCAGTGTCGAATACCGTATCTTTAGCATCTAGATCTCTGTTGAGATTTATGAATACCGCGTCCAAGCTCGGCAGTCTGCTAAACGCAACTAGCACGATTATTGGTCGAGTTAGCTTACCCCGATTGGGTCGGTACCTCACTCGACAATTCATCTTCCTCTGCATGTTGGCTCATATTGCAAAGACGTGCCTTCCGTGGATATCTGAAGCTCCCAGGTGATCGATGACACGGTACTTGAGATTGTGCGTTGATGCAATGCCATCCACTGCAGCTGGAATCGGCTTCTTTGGTCTCTTATCCTCTCGCATCCAATCAATTTTGGCCACTCAGTCCATGCCATCATTGATAATATAGAAGGCTGCAACATGACAGAAAGTGCTGTCTACGTTGACCAATTCGAATACGCATCTTACGATCCGACGACTACTCACTTCAGAATAGAACGAAGGAGACCTGTCTCCAAATTGGACGGACTCAGTAGACCACGGTGTGTTGGTACACTAGACAAACTAAAAACTCGATGTGTTCTTATTTGTGGTAGCTCACGGTGGCAAGAGTTTTTAAATGTCGTGTCGAAGCACTATGTGGATGGGAAAGGAGATCTTAGCGTGCTTTGCATAAGTACTGAATTCGTAGCATCTTAGGTGTCAACCTTTATTTTTCGAAGAAAGTGCAAGTCGACGTTTCAGTATTCAAACATTTCTCTGGTTCCAATTACTTAGTTCGTAATAATTGCATGCACAATGTTACAGAAGAGAAGAGGTTCGAGCAAATGTCGGTTGAAAAATATTGTATCTAATACCTTCAAGCACAAGTCGGTTGGGACCACGTACTAGAAGGAAAGATAATAGGTCCAGCAGCTCAGATAATCGACGTAGATGCACGAAGATTCGTTTCTCTAGCAATCAGCGCTTTGACTGATCCCTTTAGTATGAGACGGACGGCCAATCCCATGAAATGGCCTAGTTTATGTACATATAGACTGACTTTGTGCTAAGGCTCAGCTTTTGCGCAATCCAATACTAAAAGCATACAAATCGCTAGTTTCTTTTCATGAAGATTCTTACTAATTATTTGCTAAGATTGATCGAATCTTGAGGTAAAAGACGTTACCTTTGTGGACGACCATATGTATTTCAATTAGCGCATTTATGTACGTGTAATCAACGAATAGACTATTCGGGCAGTCTAGTCCCACATAATGAATCTAAGGTATACCAAGTTATGGTAACAAAGACTGTGTCTTTGCGCTTAGATTCATTTTCACGCTGGAAGGGGCAGATTCACATATCAATACAATGCTGAAGTTGAAAGTCATGCCCGACAACATTATCCACGCTCGAATCTGTGTACAATGACAACTCACTCGCACCCTGTCGCAGGAAGCGTTGCGTTTAGGTTTTTACTAAAAGGTACACCATTCTTCGTTTGGAGTGCTGCTCGGAATGACCACGGAATGACCAGATTATTACTGGTACTATCGACCTTCGTATTCACCACATTTTATCCTACTGCCTCGGCACAATCCTACACATTTGATGGAAGTAAAGTATCCATACCGATTGCAACTGCAGCAGCCGCCAATCTCACGATACATAGCAGTGCAAGAATTTCAAATTCGACAGAGTCCTCCTTCGACGCATTAGGTGGCGATGAAGACAGTGACAACAAAGACAGTGGCAATAAATATAGCAGCGACCAATCCGAACACGCTACAGGAACTACAGATGGCTCTTCGGATTGTGGTGACCACGGTGATTCTTTTGGCAACGTGCTCACTGCTACCAGTACGATCAGGTCTACCTACAGGAACTGGATAGGTCCAGCGCTCGGCCGTGCTAATGGCAAGGCTTGCTATCGTAAAACTCATATTGCCAAGACGTGCCCCGTAGGTTTCGATGCTAGCCTTGGAACATGCTGGGCACAGTGCCCATTTTCATACCCGGTCGAGTGCGGAATGGAATGCATTCGGCAAAACGACAACTGTGCGCTAGAAGTTGTAACAAAGGTGTCTACTGTGGCCCAAGCAGCCCTTTCCATAGCTACCGACAATGTGTACGGGAAGTTTAAATTGATGACAAAGGGCATCCAAATTGCATTTAAGTGCAGCAAAGAGATAATGGGATTGGTCAAGTCGTTGTCCAAGTACGTTCGTACCGTCAAAATATCTGACCCAGACACGACCCATGAGAAGATATTGACAGCGCTTTACCAAACCGATAAAGTGGTCTTCGATATTCCAGTGGCCATTGCTACATGCCTGGGAATAAAAGTGGACGATCAATTCAAGTTTGCGGACAGAGTAGTGAACACTGCTGAGTTAGTACTGAAAGAAGTCATCAACAACGGCATCGCTATTGTTTCCGATTGGACTGCATTCACGAGTTTTATGGGGAGGATTTCTCTTGGGGACACGATCCGGTCGTTGAACGAGTCGGACATTACGTCCTTAAAAACGGCACTGGAATCCAACTCGACCTGTGGATACGACACAAAGCGATTGCTCGACCGAATGTGGATGACGGTGGCAGAAATGCGTCGACAGAACCCGACCATATCAGAGAATGACATCCGTGTTGCGATGAGCAAGTCAAATCTTGCGTTATACGAAATTCCCACCGTGACCAATAATTGCATGGCGGAACTGATTGCCGAATCGGATGAATCTTTAGCTTATACTACTCGAGACAAGCTGCGTAAAGGATTGGGGAGTATTATGGACGACTTGATCAAATCAGGAACAAGTACCAACGGCACTCTTCTGACTGCTGGACAGTACGCGTACCGGATTGCTGACAAGGCAGCGACGTTTTACGCTGTTTGGGAAAAGAAAAATATAGGTAATGTGATATCCGAGTTTTTCCAGACAATTTGCGGTCCCACTGAGTTTGTCGGTGAAATTGACGATGGCTCTGCTAGGGAAGCGCTAGGCTTCGAGAATGTCGGTTCTGCTTTTCGTCACAGCGCTGGAAACTGGACTAGAAAAGGTGATGGTTCCGTCGTTATTACGTTCAGTAGTCTTGACACGGAGGACGTGACCGTTGACATCATATCTGGCGGTAACAAGTTCGATGAAGTGGCTGTTGCGTCGGGTAAGAACGTCACATGGAGATCAAACATTACAGCTTTGGGTGGCAAGACGCTTTATCTAAAGCGATGGCGCCCCGGTTTCCTTGGTCTTCCAAAATCAAGAGGTGGCTCGTTGTTGCTGTGGGTGCCTCGATCCACACAAGGGGGCAATCTACAGCTCAGTGTAAAGCTTAATGTGAGCTGAGTTGTGTAGCTAGTTTAATGTTAAGTTTAGAATCATGTAAAAGTAAAATGATGATAGAGCCTACAATAAATAGAGAAGTGAAGTTAGAGACATTGATGGTGTTGTCCTTGACGTACAACGGTGAGCGAGATTCTCGTACAAGACTAGATTAGACAATCGAAGAGAAAAGTAGCAGCTATGAAGATCTTAGCATTTTGATATTCAGTAACTGTATCCTTACAGATAAGCGCATATAATAGGAGATGATCTTCTTATGGGTAAATATCACTTTGTCTTGGGTCGTTTACGTTACGCACTGCGTGGCTTCAATACTATTACTAGTTGCTCCATAAACTCCGTTCTACGCACAGCTGCTCTTAACACCTTGTTTAGACACTTGGTGAGTATCCGTAGTATAAAAGATGCTAAAAATATAGTACTGTTGTGATATAAATCCGTTATATACTTTTCTACTATCTTGCGTAGTAATAAATGAGGTTTTTCATCAGTAATATTATGTGATCCAGCCACCAAGAACGGTCAGTCGAAAAGCCATCGTTTAGTCATCTACACTTGCGTTTAGGATTGAGACTTTGCGTCTTGATTGCAAGCGGCATGCGTCAGGCCTGTCTGCACGGCGCTTCTTTGAAAAGTATAGCGCTTACATACTTTCCAAAGGAGCGCTGTGGAGGAAGGACTCGTCTCTTTTCATATCTGTAACTGGGCACCTAGTTACACGCAAATATTAATTTATATACTTGATGTTTGGTCTAAAAGTATCCATGATTACTTTTGACCTGCACTTGGGTGCGATACACAAACGTGATCCACCCTCGTGAATGTGATATCCATTTATGGATTCACATGGGAAGGGATGACGCTAGTTGAAGCTAGGCATCGCGACGTCTCAGAAGGACGTCATTCGCAAACTTAAATCTAGATTTAAGTTCATGCGACAGGATACGCTTCTAAAGAGTCGCGTATCCGATCTATATACATATATAGCCAATCAGTAGTTAAGTTTATATTTGATTATAATTCATTAAACATAGCTCAGTCTTGAATTTGCTGAATCGAAAGCACCGCGCACGAGAAGCTCAAGAAGCTTCTGCGTGACGCCGGTGACTTTTTGTTTTAGAAGTTCGTTGCACTCTCGCTTAAGCGAGAGGCAACTGGTGGTACGACTGCTTAAGCAGTCGACCAACCTCCTAAACACCCTCGCACGCGAAGGTAAGACGGTCTAACCGCTTCCTCGCTTGTGCTGAAGGTGTGTGCTAGTAGCACGAGGCAACTTCGTAGAAGTGCCCGTCTACAATTGGTAGCACTAGTAGTCCTTCCCAAGACCCGTCTCTCTGAGCGTGCATGTGGTTAAGATGGTCCTTAATATGGACTGGAGTGACTTCCCTCACCTCTCCCAACATCATAGGGAGTTGGCAGAGCATATGGCGCAGGGACTTGGTGGTCAACCTCTTGCATTGTCCTCCTGAGCAACATGTTGCTCAGTTGGAGCAATTTGAGGCGTTTGTTCTCGGACAGCGTAGAAAAGCGTTCTAGGTAAACAGCCAAGCTACCGCTGAGTCCATCAATAAGACTCAGTATGAGCTTAGACTTGAGCAGGCACGTAACGAGGCGCTCAACAGAACTGTTGAGACGCTCTCTGCCCGGCCTACTCAATCGAGACCCATTCGGATGGACCCTACGAATTTCGATGAAACTAGCCCTCACACGATTGTTCACTGGCTATTAGCAGTTGAGCAATGTGGAGTGGCGCAGCTCATCGAAGACGACACCAGAATGGTGTCGTATGCCATGTCCAACTTGCGTGGCAAAGCGTCAGAGTGGGCATACTCTGCGCTGATGGCTAATGCTGATGAATTTCCATCATGGGCGATCTTTAAGGCAAAGATTCGCGCCATATATCAGCCGCCTAACAACGAAGTGTTGCTTATGGCGCGCTTCTTTGGAGCACGACAGGCGAAACGCTCTCTGCAAGAATTTGTGCAGGAGATGCGTTCGCTGTCGGCGTCCATTAATAGGGAACCGATAACAGAGCGTATCAAGGTGGCCACGTTCATGAATGGACTTAGGCACGGCCCATCGCGCCAGGCCCTTTTCAGAAAGGTTCCAGCGACGATGGAAGAGGCAATTGATATTTCCTTAGTTCAGGAGCAATCCTACAACAGCGCCTCGGCGACAGCCTATTACAGGCCGTCGTCCGAGAAGTCTGATGCCACTCCTATGGAGTTAGGCAATGCAGATGTGATCTGCTACAAAAGCGGCAAGCGAGGCCATATGATGGCTCGCTGCTATGCCAAAGTAGCTGCTGGTGCTAAGGCAGCCAGCAAAAGGTCTCCCAACCCGAAGGGAGGTGCGAAAAACCAGCGTGCACGACGCACGGGTTCAGCACCTGACCAAGATGGGTCGGGAAATGCGGGAGCGCAGTAGGGGCGGGATGCCCTACTGTCGCAGACTCTGAAGCTACCCCTAAGTTCAGAGTGATCGAACAAATGGGTAGCATAGTCCTTGAGGTTCCGAAAGGTCGGACCTCAACCCTTTTGGTCTATAGCGCTCGAGTACGAGGCTATGACCAAGTGATGACCCTTCTCGTGGATTCGGGTGCATCACAAAACTTTGTGAAACTCGCGGCTCTGAAAAAGAGTCCGGCGAGTTATGAGTCGCTTTGCCAGGATGGCAAGCGAGAAGAGGCGATCGTTTGTTTAGCAAACGGCGCGCTCGTCAAATCAGAGGGAGTTCAAGTTGAACTCGCTTTCAGTTCAGTGACTTCTCTTGTACAGAGAAGTTCACAGTGCTAGGTATGGAGAGTCCGTACGATCTCATCCTAGGCATGCCTTGTCTGTCTAAATACCAACCATGGATAGACTGGAGTAAACGCACATTCTCTAGCTCTACGCAAGACACCGGAAAGGATGTGCTCTTGCGAGAGCTTATGTGGCTGGTGCTGTGTCCAACACATTCGAGGTTGCGATGACGGTATGTCAATTGGCACCAGGAACTAACCAGCTCGAAAGGAGTGGTGTAGTTGGAATTGCACTGGCGGAAAGCCAGGTGACACATATTCCTACCCAGGTCGAAAAGACTGGTGTAGTGAATGGGGCGATGACAGATAGTCATGCGTCCAATAGTCCTGCACAGAGCCGAGAGCCTGTGGCAGTTGATGGTGGGCTGACAGGAAGTCAAGCGCCACAAGAAACGGCACAGAGTCATGAGCCTGGTGCGGTTGGAAGGAGTGCGTTAGCCGAGATAGCAACGACACCTTCTTCCAGGTCAAAGGTCGTGGTGACTCGAAGAACGAGCACCAGACGTATGAAGACGATCAAGGGCACGTCGAAACGAGTGACCCTTGGATCAGTCTAGGTCCAAGAGGACGGAAATACGAACAAGTTGTTCGAGGTTGTCGAAGACAAGATGCCGGAGGCATCCTCAGTTAAGGTGCTCCAACTTGTCTTGGCATCTGCCGAGGAGATAGTAAATCTCTCGGAGATGACGTGGGATCTGTTCCTGTCCAAACTAAAGGAAGGAAAGATCCACAAGATAGTCGCGCCAGTTCTAGAAGAGAACGTTGTGGACTGTTGCTCTTCATCCACAATGGATGAGAGCGTCTTGGAGACCGACAAAAAGAAACGGTTCGCTGATCAATGCTGGGAAGCCTTGAAGAGCAGCCCGTTCTATGATGTTCTGTGGAAACACCGTGATGTGTTTCCAGCAGAAGTGCCGAGCCGCCTACCGGCCGATAGGGACATCAGGCACGAGATTGACCTGGAGCCTGGCACCAAGTATTGTGTGACCAGGCAATAGCCGTTGCCGAAGGAAAAAGTCGATTACATCGATAGGTTCTTCGACAAGCGAGCCAAGGCGGGACATGTACGTGAGAGCAAGTCGCCTCACTGCAGCCCGACCTTATTTATGCGTAAAGAAATAGGTGGATGGTGCGTGGTTCATGCTTATAATAAGCTGAACACGGCCACCATTCCGGCTCAAACGCCGATCCCGCGGAAATGTGTCTTGTTGAATTCCATGGGAAAGTCAACTACCTTTTCCGCGTTGGATCTGAAGGATGGCTACTATCAAGTTCTTATGAGATATACCGATGTAGCCAAAACAGCAGTAAGCACCCAAGCGGTATGCTATGGGAGTGGCTTGTGATGCCACAAGGGTTGAAAAATGCTCCAGCAACATTCAACCGAGTGGTGACTCACGTGATGCGTCAGCACCGTGCCTACGCGCCCCATTACTTTGACGATGTATTCGTGCATAGTAGGGCGGAGGACGGTCTGAGCGCGATAGAGTCGCACGAGCGTCTTTTAGACGCTGTGTTGCAGACTCTGGGTGACGCCAAATTATACGTAAACTTGCATAAGTGAGTGAAAAAGGTCCCCGAGATACCTGTACTGGTCTGCATCGTAGGTACACATGGTGTACGAGCAGGCCCAGAAAAAGTAAAGGCTATCAAGGAATGGCCAGTCCCACGACACGTGAAGGATCTGCGCCAATTCCTTGGGCTCGCTAATTACTTGCATAAGTAAAGCAAAAATTATGCGGAGCAGAATAATCCATTGTCTGACCTTTTGAAAAAGGATGCAGAATGGACTTCGTCTAAGGAGAAAGTAGACGCGTTCACATCAGTGAAGCAATATCTTGTTGAGGCACTGGTCTTGGCATTGCCAGACGCGGATAAGCCCTTTAGCGTCGTCTGCGATACAAGCAATTTTGCAATCGGCAGCGCGCTCATGCAAAAGGATGACAGCGGCGTTTACTGTGTCATTTTTTATCTGTCTCGGCTTTTAAAAGCCGCAGAGCTGAATTACCCTGTGCATGACAAGGAGCTACTTTCGATTAAGTATGCCCTTGTGAATTTTCGGGTGCACCTCTTGGGCACCGAACCTTTTGTGGTTTATACGGATCACGCATCACTGCGGACCGTTATAAATTCACCCCAACTCTCGCCAAGAATGGCGAGATGGCTAACATTCTTCTCTGAATTTGATTTCAAAGTTGAATAT